CTGTTTCTCAGAAATTCCTCTACCCACCTTAGTACCTTCCCACCAATTCCATATGCCCTTAGTATCGATATTAGCCTCTTGTGGGGAACTGTATCAAAGGCTTTGGCATAGTCCAAGTAGATTACATCCACTCCACAGTCTTCATCCAGGCTTTTAGTGAGGCATAACCTGTTCGTTAGAATGTGGTAGCAAGAGACCCTAAAAAAATGGCCTCTCTAAAAAAATTGTTCATTTTCACCTCTAATATCCCACCCCAGAGTTCATTTACATACCTCATACATTCAGCAGTCATTTACGAAGCCTAATGATCGACTTGAAACAGACCACCAAAAAAAATGTGAAAAATATTGACGATTTCGGTGGCTTGTCCGTTGAAAAACGCCAGTTCCAACGGCTATCTTCCATTTTGTTTCGCTAATTATGTAAATGTATGCATCACGTGATGACATCAAAAAAATCTGCGCGCGCGATGTGGGTACCACACCGCTTTCAGGCGCCGCAAGTGAGTTTTATTTTCCTCTGGTGCGTTGTCGCGGAAAGCATTCTCGTTGTCTTGCTTTCCGCGACAACGCACCAGACGATTTTTTTAGGGTCTCTTGCTACCACATTCTAACGAACAGGTTATGCCTCCAGTGTTACATGTGAATGGAGCATGTCAGCTGGAGTTACTCAAGCTACTCCACAGATAAACATAGCCTGATTGTCTCACAACTAATAAACAAGGTCTGTTTCAAAATCCTGACATCCTTACAAATCCTGCACGTCTTAAAAGATATATTAAAAAAAAAAGTCTCAACCAATAAACAACCTAAGGTAAGTATTAATTTTCAATTTAAAAAAAAATTGTAATTTGAAAATTTTATAAAGTGACAAGTAGGCCTAGGCCTAACACAAGTAGATTCGGCTTAAATGGATCAATTCAATAAGACAGTTAAGCAAAAGATGAAAAATATTAATGTATTGATGAAAACAAAATAGGCCTTTTTAATCAGCAATCCATGCAACCCAGAAATTTGACTGAATTTGTTTGCGTATGGCTCTGTACACGTCGTGGATACGTCTGTCCATCAAAATCTCTTTGTCAAAAAAAACCCCATAATTGTGTGTAAGAGAAAAATTACCATGGCAACAGCCTTCTGTACGTACAATGTTGATGATTACATCTCTAAATAGGGCAAGGTCATAGTGAGAATGGTTTTGTTATGTCACGAAACGCATAACGTCTGTGTTATGCAGAAATATTGCACGATACTAAGGAACTGCAGTTTGTAAATTGGTTTTTTTTTGTACTCTAGGATTTCACACTGTAGTCATTCCATCTTTTTCCGAAAGAACAAAAACAATAGTAATGTTACAAGCACTCTTTATATAAAAGTGTATTAGTTTTGCCTCTTCATTGAACATTTCGTGAAATTACCTTATAGTCTAGGCGATATTTTAAAAAAAGGCTCATTTAGGGCAAGAAGAGGCACTTTTCCTCAGATAGCATCAAGAAGCCTCGCCAAACGTCAGTATTGATGAACATTAAATTCACCATGTAACATTTTTGTTAATATCGCCTAGTCTATTAATTAATGTCGCCAAGACTTTTAATAGGCCTATCACCTAGATTATCCACCATGTAAAATTTTTGTTAATATCACCCAGACTATTACTGTAAAACAGACTTTTTAAGAAGTGTGGACCTTTTTTAAAAATGGGAAATTGATGAAATAGACCTACTACATGTAACTGTACATACGTAAATTCTGAGACATTTACACTAACCACCCCCCCCCCCAAAAAAAACCCTACAACAAACTGTGTTAAACGATGTACTGGTATTCATGAGTAAAGTTGGCAGAAGCTGGGGTGGGGGAGGAGCAAGCTGGCTAAGGGGGCATATCCTGCCAAAGTTCCTCCTTCTTTAGCCGACTTTTGGTTAACCTACAGTCATGAACTGTGCCCCTCCCTTTTGAGAAACGTTTTGCCGACATTGAATGATGAACACGTATACGTGTAGACATGCACAATTATCCTGCACATATTAATAAAACTGAAAATATGATTATATGCATGTCATATGTGTGTTTCATTTTCCAAAGCACATTTGGTCCAGGCTTGATGGCATCCAGGGTCATTAGTTGCCATGGCAATGATTATTAAAAGGAAACCATTCAGTGCAGCCTTATTTTGCTCTGCGCAATTACCATGATTACACAAATAATTGATGTAGAGTTACCTTGATTCCAGCGCTGAAAAATAAAAATGTTGATACTATAAATCTTGAAAGTTGAATACATTGTAAAAAAAAAAAAATTCACTACGGTCTGTGTACATGTTCGTGCGGTGTAATTTAAAGGTAGAGTCCATCATTTGTAATTTGTGCATTTTTTTCGTTTGAAGCAACAAAAGAGTTCAAAATCTAATGAAGGATACTGAGCAACTAACCTGATGAAGTTTCAGCTAAGCTTCAGCTGTACATTCCGAGAAAAACAGCATTCTAAGATCTCAATTTCAAATCAAAAGTTGCTGAATCATGTTTTGAATTGTTTTGAATTGCAGCCATACGCGACGTCGCGCACTGATCCGACGAATTATAACAACCGCGCGCGCGTGTGCGTCGTTCGAATACTTGTGCGCGCTGCGCTGAATAACAAAACGAACTACTAATTTAAATTTTCCTACGGTGCTTCTTAAGAATCACCGTTGGAAATGCCTTCTTTCGTTGATTACTTCAAAATGACAGCTTCCCAGAAAGAATAATTTCACAGGGAGTTTAGTCTCCTTACTATCTTTCAACCAAGTTAGTTTTTCAACAATAATTTCGCCAGTTACTTTTCGGATGGCTGCAAATGATGGACTCTACCTTTAATGAACCACACAAAATAAGGAGACAAGTGGTCCGAAGCTGTTTTGGGTGTACACATCAATGGAGAACCATAAAGCTACTACCTAGGCTGGACCAAATTAAAATGCCCTAAATCCTTCAAACTCCTCTTTGCCAAAGTGGAGGAATTTGGAGGGTTGAGGTTACATGGTAAAAGTGCATTATTGATTTCATAGGATGCACTTTGTCAAGGTCTTGGGCCGGACCTTGTGTTGTTTTTTGCTCAGCCATGCATACTAAATATAAGCCTGGGTTATGCTTGAAATCCTCCGCACTGCTCCAGGATGTCACTGCTCTGCCTCAGCCTATTGACAGTCACTGCCGCAGGATTTAGCAGGATTCAGGCAGTGGTCACCCCTCCACGGACCATATTCATGAAATATTGAAGAATTTGCAGGATTGAGGCTGTACAATGTATGCTATTTTTCCATGAGGCCAATTGGAGGATTTTGCAGGATTGAGGCTACATCCTAGCAAAAAGGGAGTTAGGGTTAAGATCTGGTCAGGCTTGATATTAACAACATGAAAGTACCGTAATTCAAACTAAGAAACAAAAGAGAATCATCCAAAATGTAGATTAAAGTTGCACACCGAGTTTTACCCTGGAAAGTAGGTTTTCTTTGTTAAAATTGCTATTTGTTGCTAGCCAAAAAAAAACAGAGAAAGTCCGATGGGACATCTGACAAAAGAAATCCACCCGTGTTCAGTCATGGATACAAACATTGAATTGTTTGCGGCCCCATATTAATTCATGCATCTTTTTTGTGTTACAAAATGTATGGGCGCATAAGCTACCAAAATAAATGTGTAAACAAAGCAAAATTGAGAAAATGGAGCTTTTTCCATAATTTGACTAAAGCATACCGGGTACATTGAATTGAAAATTCATTTGGAGAAAAAAAACCAAAAACACCAAATAAGAGCATGGGTAGAGCAACTTAAAACAAAAATTCAAAAATATTCAACCTGACCCTGAATACCGAATAAATTTGTAAATGTTTTACTACCGGTATGTCCTTGCATTAGGCACGGTACATTGTTAGTTCAGTAATTACATGTATAGGGCCTATTGTGCACGTACATAATGAACATACATGTATGGTATTAATCTCGTAAACAAAGTACAGGTATGCATGCAGTAAAAAGATGCATTTTTGGTGTTGAAAATTTACAGATAAGCTGTTGGGATGGCCGGCCACTGATCGTTGTTTGAATCCTTTTTGTCTTGCGTCTTTGAAATTCAGCGTTTAGTTGTGAAACTTAAATAAATAGAATGACACTTTTGACAGCTTTTACTTTCATTATATACTTGAGAACGTTAACTGTTATATTAAACTTCATCAGGAAAACATACAATTAAAAAACAAAAATTCCATGTGAAAAAAATTCAAATAAAAACAACATGCATGAAACCCCTCCCCTCCTAAAAAAACAAAATGCTTTGTCATGATGAGAACAGCTAATTTTGCTTTCTACCAATTATGTAATCTAGATAAACAAAGATGTGTTTATATGCAAATTTGTGCTAGGTGTGGGTCAATACACTTGATCAAATATCAAGCCAAATAAAAACAAAATGCTTGAAACCCCCCCAAGAAAAAAAGCAAAATGCTTTGTCATGATGAGAACAGCTTATTTTGCTTTCCAGCAATTATGTAATAGATAAACAAAGATGTGTAAGTATATTATGCATGTTTGTGCTAGGTGTGGGTCAATACACTTGATCAAATACCAAGCCAAAATAGCTAGGACCCACAATCCTGGCCAAATCTCGCTGGTCCCCGACCCCCCGGCCCCCGTTCAATGTTGTCTCTCATTGCGCGGTGTGTGCTCCATCAACTGCAGAGAACAACATTGACCAGGGGAGCGGGGGAGTGGGTGACCGTGGCAGGCTCAGGAAGTGCCCCAACCATTTTGGCCTGGATTGCAGCTCTATGGTAAACACACCACCCATCCTGAGGTAAAGACTACATGTTTTAGTCAGTGGAGCTTTTGAATGGGTGTCCATGTTGTGCCTCTTACGGTATCTCTGTTCTTGGGAAAAGCATGGAGGAATAAAAACATCATCCATGGTAAAAGATAAAATGTACCAGTACATAGTGCACTCACACAAAACCAGCAAGTACATTTTGTACATGTACATGTATACCTGGGGGTGACACTTGATTTGGAAAGCTGAATGCACTTTATCTAGCAAAAAGAAAATCATAATAGACGCAATTTTATTGGTGACTGTACAATCTATGAATGTATGAAAAGGTATTGAAAGCATGCTAACAGACTGCCAGTAGCCCTACATCATTTCCGGGTAAGTGGGACATTATCGTCCTTATAAATACAGGTGATGGTATAAAAAGGCATTGAAAGCATGTTTTTACCACTACTTCATTTCTTAGAATGAGACATTTTTCCTAACCAGAAATACAGGTTGTGAAAATAATAATAGGACCCAACTCATTCTAGCTCTGTGCTCATATTCATACAAAGTCCTGAATCCTTCAATTTTTATACATTGAGAGGACAAACCCTTGCATCTTCTGAGATTTCACCGCGCTTCAAGTAAAATCTGATATTACTCTCCATATAGCTTATTACCACTTGGCCATACGTACTGCCCCATTGAATGTATGGTCTTTTCAACAACACCTTTTTTTGTGAATGTCATACATGTACATGTTGTAGCTGCAATATGCCTCTTAAGCATTTCTCTTTGTCTCTCATTCCTTGTATGTCATTTTTCAAGGGGCTCCTTCCAAATGATCCTAGAATGTTCTACATATGAAATGTGCTCTCCAGAACTGTTTTCCAATTTTTGCCAAATGAGAAATATAGGCGCGGGGAAATGAAAATAGTTGTTAATAATTCACCAAAGTCAAAAGGAGGAAAACGTATCATGGGTAGATATTCAGTGCATTGCTCTTCATTACGAGTCATATGCGTGAAGTGTATTTTTCGTTTGGAGGGCATCACAGATCCATTATTGTCATCAGTAAATGACCGCTTGCTGTGGAGTGAAATTGCCTAGTAAATATGACATTGGAAGAGTTAATAAAGAACTGATGATAAAGTGAAGGTTCCTGTTGTTTCAGGCTGGTGTTTATCTTTGGTTTCCTTGGCATGAAACGTCGGAGAATATTGTATTTCCCCTGGATGGGATGCCGGTCCATCGCAGGTTTACTCCCCAGCTAATGCCAGAACTCATTTGTATTGCTTGGTGGAGAGCAACAAGGTGGGGTGAAGTGGCTTGCCCAAGGACACAACGCATGGTCAGGAGCTGGTTTCAAACCCCTGACCCTCTGATCAGGAGTCACAAACCCTAACCAATAAGCCACACTCCCAAACGCTAGTAAACATACAGTGTACTCTTTAAACATCGTTAAAGCTACAGTCCATCATTTGTAATTTGTGCATTTTGTTCGTTTGAAGCAACAAAAGAGTTCAAAATCTAATGAAGGATACTGAGCAACTAACCTGATGAAGTTTCAGCTAAGCTTCAGCTGTACGTTCCGAGAAAAACAGTGTCTAAGATCTCAATTTCAAATCAAAAGTTACTGAATCATGTTTTGAATTATTTTGAATTGTAGCTATACAGTCGAGTCTCGTTATAACAAACTCGTTCGGACCTAGCCAAATTGTTTGTTATATCAGAATTTTGTATTAAGAGGAACATCAGTCCCATTCATTGTGCATATAAATGCACAGTCGGGACCAAGGCTTTATGTTTGTAATAACCAGAATTATGTATTAACAGTGTTTGTACTAACGAGAGTCGACTGTACTCGGCGTCGCGCACTGATCCGACGAATTACAACAACCGCGCGCGCGTGTGCGTCGTTCCAATACTTGTGCGCGCTGCACTGAATAACAAAACGAACTACTAATTTAAATTTTCCTACGGTGCTTCTTAAGAATCACCGTTGGAAATGCCTTCTTTCGTTGATTACTTCAAAATGACAGCTTCCCAGAAAGAATAATTTCACAGGGAGTTTAGTTCCCTTACTATCTTTCAACCAAGTTTGTTTTTCAACAAGAATTACGCCAGTTACTTTCGGATGGCTGCAAATGATGGACTCCGGCTTTAAATGTCTCTTTCGTTAAAACATCTGAATTGTACAAAGTGGTGGTTAGCAGGGCATTTAGCTTTGTTGAGAATTTGTGATTAAAGGGGACACTAGGTCCTGGAATAGCCCAATTGGGCTACAAAACGTGCTTTGAACGAGATGATGATAATCGGAAATAACATTTAAAAGTAGGATATAAACATCCACACAACTATCCTTTCAAAACGTTTTTTGCATGCATAATACAGGAGTAACACAAAAACTTTTTGTGTTACTCCTGTATTATGCATGCAAAAACAAATTTCGGGGTCCACTTTTGCGACCCCATAAATTTGAGCTGTTTGGATGCTAGTTGTGATTTCATTCGTACGCGTAAAGTGTTCGCCTTTTGCGGACGTTGAAGAAACCACACTTTTTGCATTGGTGATTGGTCACTGCGCGCTGTTCCCAAGACACACAACGTGTATAGCATACACTGAGAACGACATGAAAAACGTATTTGTACTCCTCATGTCCGATGTAAACAAGTGGTTTGTTTTTTGTCTTTTCTCGGGAACGGTAAGACATTAGGTTGGTTTCCTTTCAACCAGATGTTTGAAATAGGATAAGTATACAATCCAAAACATAAAATATTCGGGGATTTCAGGACCTAGTACCCCTTTAAGACTTCCCTTTTTTTTAATTGGTACACTGAAAGTTCTTTCATAGATGTTGCATACGCTGTTGCCAAGTGGTCTACATACATGCATGTAATGCAAAATCAAGATGTAGTAATTAAGTCTTTTGCTCTGTTGAAGGTGGGTCCAATCACAGCCAATCGGGTTGTAATGCATGCTTTTGTCCTTGGGCAAGACACTTGATCAACGGTCGCTTTTCTCTGCATACCCTGGAAAATGTGGAACAAGTTCTGGCACCGATGAGGGGCTGAGTTGATTTCTATGAGGGCAGAGTTTGTTGTCTTTAAAAGGGACGTGGCTGGACTTTAATTCACTTCATGAATGGTGGGCGTTGATGGAACCAAGCTGTACCAGTCAGAGGTGTCCCCCCCCCCCCCGGAAATGCGTTTTGTTTGATCTTTGACCATGCAATCAATTGAACATGTCATACTGTACATGCAACTCCAGTGACGTGATGCTCAATCAAGTCCAATATCTCAGTATAGTACGGTAGTGATCTGAATTTTTTAGCTTTCCACTCACTCAGCATATGAGTATTTCTTTTTTTATTTCGTTGTGCTTTTTTTTTCTTGGCTGGCATGGTCCTATTTTTTGGCGAATTTTAAAAGGGTTCATTGTGCAAAAAAAAAAAAAGTGGAAAAAAGCATGCCAAAACAGAAAATCTTGGGAACTTGTATCCGGCACGTAAACTCAAGATTTATGAAAGGGAATTTTAAAAGCTTGATGAAATGTCACTTTCTGAAATTTCACTCTCTGTGAAATTTGAGGTAACGATTTTGCTCTGACAAGGTACTGACAAGAGGCAAAAACTCAAAGTGCGCCAGCGCCACGTTATAGGGGCCACTTTGGCGTTACATGTACATCCACAATACTAAATATTGTATTGCTAGAAAAATAATAATTTAGAAAAGGAAATTAGGCCTATATTTCGGGGTATATGTTGAAAAATGCATAGGGAACGTAATTTATAGTTTTTTGCTTCGTGCACAGAGGACTACATGTATGTTGGCAAATGTAACACTTGTTCTTGCACTTAAATTCAGGTTTTTGGGGTAAGAGGCCAACACATTTCTATACACGAGGCCAAAAATCAGGACACATTATCAGCCCCCACCCTATTTCTATAGGGCGTGGGATTATTATAAGTTTAAGCAAACAAGTCAAACATAAACAGTACCAGACAGTACCAGGCTGAGATAAAAATCTGAAATAATTGTTGAGCACTCTTCAAGTTGAATAGTGTGGACTTGAACTTTGTACGTGCTATCTGTCATGTTATTGGTTCAGTTGATGGTTTGTTTGTGATGATCACAAAACGTGACGCCCAAGTTGGTTGCAGGCCATTTTCAAGCGGTTCAGTAGATGTATAGTTTCTGCATGGGAGTTGTGCTCTCGATTCAGACTGTAATAGTGTACAACCTTAAAAGTGAACAGTCGTACTGCCTTCCTGTTCTTTACAACTAGTAAGTTCACACTATATACTGATAGTGGATAGGGAAGTTTTTTTTTATAGGTTGTGTGCATTTTGTTTACACGGTATGTTGCTGCATGTTTGCCTGAATATTGAAACTCCTTTGTACTGTAACATGTCTCTCTCAAATGACGTCAATTTGCCAGTTTTAAAATAAAAAAAATGTATTTTCAGGTTTTTTCACTGAGCGCTTAAAAGCTCCATCACAATGCTGGCATTGCCCACATTTTCAGCCGCTTTTGCATAGTATTGGAAAATTTGGTGGCTTTGTTTTCTATACATGTATATATGCAACGTAATTTTCGTGAAATCTGTATCAAAACCGTGATGGTTTTTGTTCTTTTTGTGTACAAAGGTGTGACTACAACTCGTCCAGAATGGACAGCAGGCGTGCAGTTTGTGCAGTCTTTGTTCTTTACCTAGCGGCAAGTCTTCAGCTGACTTCGTGCCAAGATGTAAGTACAAGAGACAGAAATAGACCAATGCAGTAAGCCCCGCGCTCTGCAACGCCACACTGCATGTTACAGCCACGCACATCATACACGCATGCACGCATTGTCAGACTTTTTTGCACGCATGTCGGACATAAATCACAAATGTGATTGATCAGAACACATTGCTCACTGGATTGGTGTATTATAATGCACCTAGTCAGTTTCTCTTTGTAATGTATTTGAAAACTTGTAAAAAGACGTGTCGTCGTGGTGATCCCTGTTTTGCTATTTCCTGGGTTTGCAACATATTGCTAATAGTGCTAGCATCGTAATACCTGGCTACATGCATGGGTTTTTGACTTCTGACTAGTGCCCCTTGATACAAAGATATTGACAAAATGGGGAACCACCAACATAGGGCTGGATAGCTCAGTTGGTAGAGCACCGTAACGGCAATCCGGAGGTTGCAGTTTCAAACCCCACGGCAGTCAATTTCTTTGTTCGACTTTGAAAAAAGTAAGTTTTCCTTTGAGGTGTATTTGAAAAAAAATGTGTTTTTTTTGTTTCTATTCAGCTTACTGGATGTGGAGGCTCAAAAGGCTGCTACAGGCACCCGTCAGATTGCACCGGCGATAACTGCATTGCGTTCGTCACGTGGGAGAATGTTGGTGACGGCAGAACGCGTTTCTCTATGAGGGCGTCACAGACGGAAAATCTCGCTTGGGTGGCAGTTGGACTGCGACCCGAATCTGTACCCGCTGGCATGGTGTGTATTTGGACTGACTAACCAGTGTTGTAGTCGAGTCACCAACGTCGAGTCCGAGTCCCGAGTCACAAGCCTTGAATCGGAGTCCGAGTCTCGAGTCACAAGCCTCGAGTCCGAGTCTAAGTCACAAGTCACTTGTTCTTAGTTATTCACCAAACTAATTAATTTTTTTTAAATATTTTCAATCACCCATTCTTTCTTTTTTAGTAAATTCTACAGTGGATATAGTTAACGTTGTGCGTGTACATGTTGTTTAGACCCAAAATGTGTTTTGCTTTTAATACCGGACACTTTTTGGCATGACACTAGGCCCTGGTGCTCATCGTGCAGGCACTAGGCATGCATACGCGGCCGCTTGATATAATTTTCCGCGGCGCCGTGTTTCGCTTAATGGAGTAAAAAAGAATGCTATCTTTGTTGCACAGATATTAGACGTTACATTTTTTTTACGTTACGTCACAAGTCACCAATCTCGAGTCCGAGTCATCTTGGTCGAGTCTGAGTCTGAGTCCGAGCCCAAGTCATTTTCCAATGTGACTCAAGTCGAGTCCGAGTCATGAAAATGTGACTCGAGTCCGAATTGAGTCCAAGTCCTGGACTCGAGTCCTACAACATGATTGATCGTCAGACCGTTGACGGTCAGCCGATGACTGAATGGACTGATGGACCAAACAGAATGACCAATTGCACCGACTGACTTACTTACCGTCCAAATGGACCGACTGAGTGAATGAACAATAGAACAACCAAACAGACGGACCGAACAGACCGAACAGAACAACCGATTGAAAGGACTTCCAACCGAATTGATTCATTGACTGACCACACCAATAGACCGGACTGACCAGACTGACCCAACCAACTTAGGCACTTAAAAAAAAGCGTCCATTTCCAAGGAATCTCCAGTGTTCCTTTTATGTCCAAATCCTTAAACTCAGTCAGTTCATTAATGCCAGTGTTGATATATTTTTTCACATGATTAGGTGCCAGCAGATGTGTACGTCTGTACCAAAGATGGGACAGGTGTGGAAAGGAGTGAAAACATTCTAACTGACGCTGGGCGTTGGAACTCGGTTGCAAGATACATTCCTGATGTAAGTGCAACAATTGATACCTATTGCCGTTTTCGAGTTAGCCACGCCCCTTAGACAACCCTTTGACAAGTTTTTGAACACTACGTTTTGGTTGTCTCAGATTTCCGCGTCCATTTGTTTGCATGTAATTGGACAATATTTCACAAGCTGCGTTGACGCGATTCTAACTACTAGGCCACAACCCCAAAACTACCTGTCCAACAAATACACAAAACAGTTCAAACTATTTTTAAAGCCATTTCGTTGGCGAATTACACAGTTCAGAGATGTAGGAAAAATGTCACCCTTTGGGCCTTTTATTTATATAATGACCCTACAGTGGAGTACTGTGGCCTCGTGGTTAAGGGCACTGATTCGTGGTCTGCGGGTAAAGCTGCGGGTTCGAGTCCAGCCGGGGTCATGGTGCGTGTGCCCTTGGACAAGGCACTTTGTCACTCATTGCTTCTCTCCACCCAGGAACAAATGGGTACCTGTGAGGGCAGAGATGGTTATTGTGATTGAATTAGCTTTCTTGCGCCTAACAGGCTGCATCGAGCTGTATACTCCCCAGGGAGCTGAGATGGTATTTGGAGTGTTTCATTTGCCCATTGAGCAGGGGTAATAATGATGTAGCACCTTGAGCACCAGTCCTGGTGGATACGTGCGCTTTATAAATATCCACTATTATTACTATTATTACATTGTAAGAAAAAAAACCCCGCCTGGGTGTGTGTGTGTGAGAGTCGAAAGTCATGTCTGTCTTTTAACCCTGGTTTCCTCGGCATGAAGTGGGACTAAGAAAATGTCCATTCCCTCTTATAATGGAATGCTAGTACTATGAGTATGAGTACAGAAAACTATTGTACTTGCATTGTAAGTATGAAAGGACAAATTGAGAACAAAGAAAATTGTACTGGGCTATAAGTGTATGTTCGAGTACAAGTACAGATGTACATGTACCGTAGAACATGCTGCCACCTTCATTTTGTAGAAGTATAAGAATTGTGTAAAGAGAATTTATTTGAGAACAGATACAAGTCTGAGTATTAGGCCAAAAAAAAAGTCTCCGGTTTCTGGTATGCGCGCGCGTCGCCGTAGCCATGCCCGTCGGCAAAATGAAAAAGTTATTTTGCTGCACAATCTTAACGTGTTTTTAGATTGGGTTACGGTCGAGAATAAGCTTTATGTGGCCTCTCTGGACTCCCATATATTTGCACTAAGTTTAGTCGGGCACCATTTGCAGTCATCAGCCGACATTTGAAGCAAAAAATCAGGCAAGCTCCATACCAGAAACTGGAGACTTTTTTTTTTGGCCTTACAGCATTAATTGCCATGACCTGAGTCAAATCTCATTGTCAAGTTCAAGTTTTGACTGATCATTCTCTCTCAGAATTCTGTAACCACTGAGTTATTGTCTTACGCCGACAATGTGATCAGTTGCGTCTTCACACGAATCGCCAGCATTGCAACTGGCGATGCGACTTTCTACGACATAAGCGGGGACAATGCCTACTACCTTTTGCTGGCTGTCGGCAACGGCATCAATGCTGATGGTAAGATTTCACAATTTGAAATCCTCATTTAAAGGTAGAGCACATTTGTCTTTTTTTTTTAAATTTGAAGCAACAAAAGTACTCAAAATCTAAGGAAGGGTGCTTAACAACAAACCTGATCAAGTTTTAGCTCAGTGAATGCTGTACAGTTTATCTATACATCGTCTGTTTTAATCTAGGGTTTTAATTTTGTGTGGTTTAATTGCTTGGGTTAGGTTAAACATCGTCTGTTGTAATTTAGGGTTTGAATTTTGTGTGGTTTTAATTCCTTGGATTATTTTTTTGGAATGTATTCATTATGTCTTTTATTGTGTGTTTTTTTGTAATTTTTGTCGTTATTATATCATGTTTTTATGTAATCCAGGGCCCACAGGGAGAACAGTTCATTGACAACTGATGGGGCTACCCTGGTCAAATAACACGAAATAAATAAATAAATAAATACAGTATGTTCCCAGAAAACGATATTGTAAAATCTTGATTTCAGTTTAAAAGTTGCGGAGTCATGTTTTGAATTGCGCTCGAAGTCAGCGTCCAGGACACATTCTCATTCAGTCGATTGCAGTTAAGTGATGTCACTCGCTGATCTGAAGAATAATAGCCATCACGCACGCATGTGCGTGTCATGTCATCGCTTGCACGCTCTTGTTCACGGCTTCTCCAAATTTAAAACTAACAACAGGATTCTAATTGTGCAGGAGGAAAATAATATAGCCTTACAAAATCAACGATATCTCTGGTTTGCATGGATGAATTTCCTTGATGTTTTCGCCAATTATAAACAAGACGATAGGCTTTGAAATATTATTAAATTTGATAAGCTAATATGACCACCTTTTGAGCAAAGTAATGACTTTTTCATGCACAATGTTTATTGGGCCACGTTTGTTTCTGGAGTCTATTGCACAGCTGCAGTAGGGTACGTACATGTATGTATCACTTTGGCTGTTTATTTTTTTGCAGGAACCATTAATTCTACTTACCATGCTGCGCGTCGAGAGACCCCCATAGCTTTGAAGTTACAGTCAGACTTTGTCGTGCCGCCTGAACCAGAGGTATGTACAAACAAACCAGCAGAGACATTAAGTACTTTTCCAAAGTAAAAACCATCAGGGCATTTTCATTCTTCGGTCAAAGATTCGGGTATTGATCCATCTGGGCACTATTTGGTAATTCTTTGGGTTTTGACATTAAGGGATTCATTTATTTCTTGTCCAATTTTTTTTCACAAACCCTCGGAACTAGCTACATATAAGAAGCACCGAAAATCAAGTCTATTTTCAGGAGTCCACTGAACATTTTATCAACGCTTTAGCAAAGAGGAGAATTTAATATTTCAGTTATTCTCAACATATCCAACAGGCCTGAGACCTAATGACGTCACGCTTTGTTTACATGTGCGCTTTCCGATGTGGTAAACAGTCCCTACTTTGTCTGGCGGCCAGACTTCGCTCCTATAGGAAAGCGCTTAAGTAAACAAAGCCATTACGTCATGAGGTCTCGGCTCTATTTAAAGGACGGTCAATTGAATTCAATATATATACATGTGTATTCTCCAAATAGGTCAATTGTTAGACTCTAGGTAAAGAGTTTTGACATTTTGTCAACTCCAATTTTTGCCCAATTGTAGCTGCTCGGTTGCGGCACGACTCGAGGCTGCTTCAGGCAACCTCCAACGTGTGAGGGTGACGACTGCACAGCGTTCTTGACCTGGGAAAACACAGCTGATGGCCAGACGCAGTTTGCTTTAAGGGCCTCGCTAAACGGTAGTCTTAGCTGGGTGGCCTTTGGCCTTCGACCAGCGGCAACAACCGAGGGCATGGTAGGTTTAGGTGCACAGACTTGACTTTTTATTACGCTCCTTTTTTCCATCATAATCTTTATGCTTAAAATCCTTAAAAGCCAGAGTCCATCATTTGCAGCTACACTGTATCCAAAATGTAACTGGCGTAATTATTGTTGAAAAAACATACTTGGTTAAAAGATAGTAAGGGGACTAAACTCCCTGTGGAATTTTTCTTTCTGGCAAGCTGTCATTTTGAAGAAATCAACGAAAGAAGGCCTTTCCAATGGTGTGTATTAAGAAGCACTGTTGGAAATTTCCGTAAGTAGTTTGTCTTTTTATTTGGCAAAGCGCGCGCAAGCGTTGACAGGATGCATACGCCCACGCGGTTGCTATAATTCGTCAGATCAGTGCGCGACATCGCGTAGCTGCAATCGGCTGAGTGAGAACGTGTCTCGGACGCTGAATTCAGGTCCAATTCAAAACGTGATTCAGCAACTTTTGATTTGAATTTAGATCCTAGAATGCTGTTTTTCTCGAAAAATACAGCCGAAGTTAGCAGAAACTTGGTCAGGTTAGTTGTTCAGTACCCTTTCTTTAGATTTTGAGCAATTCTGTTGCTTCAAAAACGAACAAAATGCACAAATTACAAAAGATGGACTATACCTTTACATACAATCTGTGTAAAGTTATCCTTTCAGTCAAAATCAGTCAAGTTAACGGGTGAGTCAGCAGGAATGACTGGCTGTGACTGTTAATGTCACTTGCTTTGACTGGAGCAGAGATTGATGATCAAGCCAGCTATGCCTACTGCTTGCATGCTTTTTTCCTTTCGCTAGATTTGACTTACTCACATGGTCACAGAGCTTGCTTGAAGTATGATCTGACTGTTGGTGACCAGCCTGTGTGAAAGGCATGGCAGGGGAACAGGATTGAAGTTTTTTGACTGTCTGTGATTGCTCAGACAGCAGGAGGGTTAAGCCCCATTTACATTACTTACATGTAAAATGCCCAGGACATGATTTTTACTTGGGAACGTATTTTGGGCAACTTTCTACTTTTCCTAAAGAGGTTGTGGAATGCTGAAAGTCCTTTTGTTTTTTATATTTTTTTATTGTAGAGTAGACCCATATATATCATAATGACAAAGTTCCATTCTTTTGTAATGTGCATTTATATTTTTATAAAACTGAAATTCATCGAGTAATTTGTTGGTCGGTGAGTGCATAATTGAAATCAACAGTCGTCGGGTTCTTTGTAAAATGAGAAAAATCGTGACGTAATAAACAGGACCTTTTATACTACGCTGCATCGGGAGTCCTGTTTATTACGTCACGATTAACTATGTTTTGTTTGCTGCCCCCAACGACGACTTTTACACAAATTGCACGTTCGGGTCGAAACAGGACCTGAAAAACAGCTCTCAAAAGTACCTTTTGTACTCATTTCAGACAGACACAATAGTCGTTTTTATTTCATCACACCTAAGGCTACATATACCCGAAAAATAACGGAAATGTCTTCGAGCATTCCACAACCTCTTTAAATGTATGCAAACTATTTCACATCCCTTTGGGATAATAATCTTATTGAAAAATGAGGGAGCTGATGCTGTGATGTCATTTCAGGAAGACACTGTTCAGTTTTGGAGTTTTCTGCTCAAATTGTGCACCCGAAGTGTGCTTATTATGAGAATTATTACTCACTGGGGTGGGGGGGGGGCCTTATGGATCTAGAATGAAATGCCGCTGACTTGTTGTAAATGGAAAAGATTGGAATATTTATAGCATGATTTGTTTTTATGGCAGAGCCCAGCAGATGTGTATGCCTGCACTAGAAACAGTGAAGTCAAGCGGTCAGAAAATGTGAGTCCGTACGATTCAGCAGCCCGAGTCATTCCAGCTGTAAGTATACCATGCTTCGATCAGTTTCTCAATCATACTTTGTTTAAAACTGACATCAACCTGGCACTTACACACAATTGTATTCGTAAATACCTAAGACAGTTTATCCGTTCCCATTGGTCGAGAGCCCGTCACGTGGTCGGTCTTAAACGGATGATAAAGACATTTCTTTTCCAATGTCACATGAAATTTGGACTCCTATGAAATCCAGTGCCTTTTTTACCGTTTTATTGGTTGAACGTTGACAATCCTCACATAGGCATGCGCTATACTACCAGTGAGACAGTTATTCAGAGTCCTAAATCTACATTCAGTAAGTTTCTGTCGTTGGAAATATGAAGAGCGAATTATACTTTGTTTAAAACTGAGACTGACCTGGCACTTAAACAAACAGGAATTGTAGAAAAAAAAGAGCTTTTCTTTTCCTCTTGAAGGCCTTACAATGAAAACTTCATAGACATGTAGACTCCGTGCAGGGGTATTCTGTCAATCTTTAGGTTTGTTTTTGTTGGTCTGTTGGGGTGTCTGTCTGTTTGTTTTTGTAATGCATGTTTTTTTTCCGTGCATCCACCGATTTTCTCCTTTTTTTACTTCTCATGAATACCATTATAAATTAAAAAACACTGTACAAAGTCTTGTGTGCTTTTGAATCCCCCCCCTTTTTTTTCTCTAAATTCTCATTTATATATGCCTAGGTACAGGGCTATACGAGAAATCAAAAGAAATGTTAACAAAGAACGATTAAGGAAGAACCACTGTATGAGCAAACTAGCCCTGTTGGCGTAGTGGTAACTTTCCTCGCCTTCCATCCCTATGGCCCGGGTTCAATTCCTGCCCAGACCACATGTGGATTGGGTTTTCAATCCCCACCTGATTTTTGGGGTTTCCCCCAGAATATTCTTCTGCAGGGTTTTCCTCCCACCTCTGAAACTGTAATTTCTTGTCATTGTCTTCTCTCTACAAGTTTCTTCAGGCTTTCGAGCCAAAGTGTCAAGGGCACTTTTGAGAAATCCTCGGTTTCATTTATTATAAAAAAAAAAAAAAAATAGAACTAATTCCCTCAATCTCTTAATGAATTCCAACTCAGAAACCTAATTTGTTCGTTTGTGATTTCGACGAATCTGATGTTTCTGTGTGCATTTGCTTTAATATCCAGAATACAGTGACCCCATCCCTGGCTGTCTATTATACAATTCCGAATTTTGTGACTGTTATCGAGTGCGTTTTTACGAGAAAAGCCAGCTTAGCAGGCGATGCAACTTTCTACGACATAAGCGGGGACAATGCGTACTACCTTTTGATGGCTATCGGCCTCGACATTAATGCTGATGGTAAGATTTTTTAAATGCACAATGACACTTTTGGGACCTTTCCTTCTGTTTGACCGCATGTTTGTCAGCGTCTTAGAATGAACAACACATGTGTGTGACATTTTTCCACAAAACAAACCTTTTTTGAGAGTCATAAGGGCAATTCCACGATTACTCACGTTACATTTTTGATGTACTTTTGAGTTTCCTTGGGCTGTAATTACCTTACTGAAAAAGTTTAACAACTGTTGTCCCCATGGTAGATAGAGTAGACCTAGACCTACCGAAGCACCAAAGATGACATTCAGAAAAATGTGTTATTTATGATAAACAAGACGCACAAAATCGGTTACTCACGTTTCATTTTCGTAACGTGAGTAACCGATTTGATGCGTCTTGTTTATCATACATAACACATTTTTCTGAATGTCATCTTTGATGCTTAGGTAGGTCTAGGTCTACTCTATATACCATGGGGATAACAGTTGTTAAACTTTTTCAGTAAGGTAATTACAGCCCAAGGAAACTCAAAAGTACATCAAAAAATGTAACGTGAGTAACCGTGGAATAAGCCTCTGGTGGCTGCAGACCCTGGTGAATTAATCGAACGCAACCTTTAGATATTTTCCTCTTTTTTTACCCCCCTGGCTTTTCTTATAATACACACAAAACACTAGGCCAGCTCACTGGTCCCTAGGGACACTGGACTACCGAGCTCAGGTCTGGTACATGTCAATTTCTTTCTCTGGTGTCGTAAAACTTATAACACACACCCAAATGCCTGACAAATTAGGGCTGACCACCAATTTCTTTCGCTGTTATCTGGAAACCTGTAGAGTGAGTAGTTGTATTCTGTTCTCTATTCTTGCTGTAATAAATGCACTGTTCAGATGTACAAGGAGTTTGCCGTTTCAGTGGAAGGTTGCAAGAAATATTTATCATGAACAATAGATCATTGCTGATCAGATACAATGTTCAACTTCCATTCCAGGCTCCCATCTTCATTCCACATTGCCCAGTACAAAAACATGAACCTTGTTAAACCTTCCTTACTAAGTTTATTATTAATCCCTGTTTGCTAGGTATGACACATTCCATTTCGGTTAGGTTCCCTGAAAATTGTCCTCACTAACTGCCTGCACAGTTATGCAAACTGCCAGGATGCCAAGGGGATCGCGCAAGTTTCACGTAGAGTATTTTTTCAAACCACCTACCTGTAGGCACTATTGCTGGGAAGATACACTCACAACGTTGGCCAGCAGCTAATGCTTTGAAGCTACAGTCGGAATTTGCTCTACCAACTCCCCCACCAGCAACCCCCAAACCAGGTGGAGATGTGAGTAAATAAACGTTTTTTTATGGTTTTAAGTGTGTGTATTTTACGGCACACTGTGGTGTTTCATAGGCCTATGGGCTCCGTGCGCCAACAAAAGAGAGCGCGTTTTTACCTCTTTTGAGAGCTCCATGGACGGGGGACACACAGCATGTGCGTATGTACTGTACTGATTTGCGCGTGGAGTATGCACGACTTCCTGAATATGCAAAACCAACTTTGAAGCGATTTTGTCAAGAATAACATACGAATCACTCAAGAATCATCCAGAATGACCCAGAATTATGCCGCTTTAGTGTGTTCGTAAGTTATTCTTTAAATATTCATACATTTCTTGATAAATTTGTAATGATTCGGCATGATTTTGGACTGTTAACACCAAAAATTAAACTCTTACAAAACTTGTAAGAATGCTGTAAGAATATCTAGAATGTTGTAAGAATATCCAGAATTAGTTATGAATACAACAAAAAATAAACCAAGCATTGAAGTTGGTTCCCGAATCACACCGACAATTCCCAATCTTTAACGATCTCTCACCGAACTAGCAGAATCACCCCGAGGCAGCCAAGAACCATCCCCCGATTATTACTCAAGAACTGTTATTCTCGGCGATCGGCTTCAAAATCGGGAATGTGTGAACCTAACATTACACGTAGCTATTCTTTGCGTACATGGCTAGCGCAGAGTTTTTCTGCCGACACTGTCAGCACTAAACGGTGATTGTCTAATTCTGTGGTTACATGTATAGCCCTTCAATATTAGATACCCCTGATACTTAGGGTGTCATGTTTGTTCACTGTCTAGCTGGTTGGATGTGGTGAAACCAAAGGTTGCTTCTCGCAGCCGACGGGTTGTTCTGGTAGTAACTGTCAGGCCTACGTAACTTGGCAAGGACTGCAGGACGGTCAGGTTCGCTTCGTCATGATGGGACAGGCTCAGGGGTGGGTAGCATTCGGGCTACGACGGTCAAACATCAATAACGGGATGGTAAGTTTCAGAAATTCTCATTAGTCAAATTATACGTCATTCACAAGTCAGGCACAAGTAAATCTCAAGTCAATCACAAATAAATCACAAGTAAATCTCAAGTCAATCGCAAGTCCATCACAAGTCTATCACAAGTCCATCGCCAGTCAACCTCAAGCCAATCACAGGCAAATCACAAGGCAATTACAGGAAAATCACAAGGCAATCACAAGTCAATCACAAGTCAATCACAAGTCAATCACAAGTCAATCACAAGTCAATCACAAGTCTACCACAAGTCAATCGCAAGTCAGACACAAGTCAGTCACAATTCAATCACAAGCCAATCACAAATCAATTATAAACCAGTCACAAATCAGTCACAGGTCAGTCACAAGTCAATCACATGTCAATCACAAGGCAGTCACAAGGCAGTCACAAGTCAGTCACAAGTCAGTCACACGTCAGTCACAAGTCAGTCACAAGTCAGTCACAAGTCAATCACATGTCAGTCACAAGGCAGTCACAAGGCAGTCACAAGTCAGTCACAAGTCATTCACAAGGCTGTCACAAGGCAGTCACAAGTCAGTCACAAGTCAGTCACAAGTCAGTCACAAATCAGTCACATGTTAGTCCCAAATAAATCACAAGTCAGTCACAAGTCATAACAAGTCAACTTCAAGTCAATTACAAGCCACTCACAAGTCAAGTAAAAGACAATCACAAGTCAATCACTTGCTCAGTTACAACCGCCTCTAGTTTGTACTTCCTACTTTGAAATCTTTTCACACAGTAGATTGTTTGGGACCCGCCCACTGTGAATGTACGCGGGCAACATGTTGTAGCTGCACGCGTCAGTTGGACTTTTGCACAACATGGAACATGTTGTACATGGAAAAAAGATTGAAATAGTATTTTGATTTTTTTTATGGCAGAGCCCAGCAGATGTGTATGCCTGCACTAGCGATAGGGAAGTCAAGCGGTCAGAAAATGTGAGTCCGCTCAATTCAGAAGCCCGAGTCATTCCAGCTGTAAGTATACAACGCTTCAATCAGTTTCTCTATCTTGTTGGAAATATGAATCATATTTTGTCTAAAACTGACATCGACATGGCACTTACAAACAATTGTATTTATAAATGCCAGCTTTGCAGAACTTGTACCCTCTGCTGTATGAGATTCAAACTGGCCAGGCCAGCCCAACAAGCTCTGTGTTTTGAGTGCATAAGACGTCTGCACTAGTAAGCAGGAGGTCGTGAGTTCGAGTCCCACCTTGCAAATGTTTCTTCGCAAGCTCTCAAAGAGAACTGGTCAAACCATGCTCCTGAAAATAATTTCAGTGAAGGCAAAGACCCAACATCTCCCTGATGCAAAATTCCATCTTACAAGATAAGGCCAAAAAAAAAAAGTCTCCGGTTTCTGGTATGCGCGCGCGTCGCTGTAGCCATGCGCGTCGGCAAAATGAAAAAGTTTTTTTTTCAATGAAAGATGATGTCTCAAAACCGCTAAACTCACTGGTTTGACTGGAATCCTGCTGCTGCACAATTTTAACGTTTTTTTAGATTGGGTTATGGTCGAGAATAAGCTTTATGTGGCCTCTCTGGACTCCCATATATTTGCACTAAGTTTAGTCGGGCACCATTGCAGTCATCAGCCGACATTTGAAGCAAAAAAGTCAGGTAAAAAAAAAAAAAAGCCGCGTCGCCGCACCACTTTTTGGGCAAGCTCCATACTAGAAACCGGAGACTTTTTTGGGGGGGGCCTTAGGTTTACCATTTAATTACCTTGGGTCTAATTTTTATCCCACTTTTTTCCTCCTATCACAGGACACCTTGACCCTGGAAACTATTCAATTTGAGAATAACGCGATCACCTGTACCTTCACCAGGCAACCCTTTTTGCAAGGTGACGACACGTTCTACAACATCAGTGGCGATAATGCGTACTATGTCTTGATGGCAATTGGAGCGTCCATCAACGCTGACGGTAAAAAAAAAAAATTAGAAAACATTGCCTTTTTTTGCATATTGATAAAAATGATAGTCGTCTTTTATTTTTGGGGGGGTCAGATTGGATTTGATCAAATTTTCGAATATTAAAAATGAGGTGAAACGTTATAGGCCTATATTGGATATTTAGTGGATGATGGAATATTCACGCATCATCGCATCAGTGCAACAAGGTCATAACTCAATTCTGCAACAAAGTTTCATCTTCTGTGTATACGCTCCGTGCAACAAGGTCATATCTCGGCATCCATTGACTTGGTGTGTCCCCCCGGGTTATTTTAAAGCCAGAGTCCATCATTTGCAGCTATCCAAAAGGTAAAACTGGCGTAATTATTGTTGAAAAGCATAGTTGGTTGAAAGATAGTTAGTAAGGGGACTAAACTCCCTGTAAAATTATTCTTTCTGGCAAGCTGTCATTTTGAAGAAATCAACGAAAGAAGGCCTTTCCAACGGTGTGTCTTAAGAAGCACCATTGTAAAATTTCCGTTAGTAGTTTTTTTTTATTCGGCGAAGCGCGCGCAAGTGTTGGCACGATGCGCGCGCGGTTGCTTTAATTTGTCAGATCGGTGCGTGACATCGCGTAGCTGCAATCGGCTAGTGAGAACGTGTCTCGGTCGCTGAATTCAGGCCCAATTCAAAACATGATTCAGCAACTTTTGTTTTGAAATCGAGATCCTAGAATGTTGTTTTTCTCGAAATATACAGCTGAAGCTGAGCTGAAACTTCGACAGGTTAGTTGTTCCGCACCCTTCTTTAGATTTTGAGCACTGTTGTTGCTTCAAACGAACAAACTGCACAAATTACAAATGATGGACCATACCTTTAACGATATACAACCTTTTGATGTTCTAAAACTCACATTTTGCATTTATGCAATTTCAAGAGATATGACCTTGTAGCTCTGACGCAACAATATTCGGTATATTCTAACTTATGTTAGAATCATCTACAACACTGTCATTTTAATAATCTTTATCCAACCACAAATTGATGAACCCAGTCAATTTCCTTTGTGGCCATGGAAGGTAATGCATGACCAATGACTGTCAAATGAATCTGTATGTATCGTCTTTCAGGTACTATTGGTGGCAACAGACATACAGACAGGTGGTCTACTACCGAAACACAGAAGCTGACGGAATTTGGTGCAGCTACTGGCGAACCGGACCCTGTTGGCTTGGCCAAAGCTCATGGTGAGACACTAAACAAATGAAGGAAACAAACAGAGGAGGCAATGCTAGATTAAAAGTTGATTCAGAATAGCTTTTCACTAGAAGTCTTTTCGTGCATCTAGTCTTCACCATGTACCAGATTTAGACCATTCGGGGTACTCCTATACAACAGCACTGCCCGGCTGATGAGCGACAGTGAGTCAGTCAGTCAGTGAGATAGGTACGAAGAGGACTGTAGGCTGGCCCTCTGGGACCAGCAAAATATGATGGGGAGAAACTTTCTTTGGCCGAACATAGTCTTTAGTTGGCGTCTGATTTTGAACTTGGGTTCAAACATCACAAAGAATACAGGGTGAGTCAAAAAAAAAATCAAATGTCGGGACTATTGTTTTATTGATGTTCTGCATGTAGCACTTTCAAAATCTAGGATATAAACACCCAATTCATAAGCTTTCTTTTAGTACAAGAATCATTCAAATCACTCATGTACTTTTTAAGTAACGGAATTTTTAAACACAACCACCGTTTTAAAGTTGTGTCCACGGATCACAACAAAGGTGTACGTTCTTTCAGCAAAACAGTTCACACACAGCCCTATGTGATTTGTTTTCGTTTTGCTGCAAGAACACTGAACTTTTTTGTGATCTGTGGACAGAACCTTAAAACGGTGTTTGTGTTTAAAGTTCCGTAACTTGAAAAGTACATGAGTGATTTGAATGATCCTTGTACTAAAAGAAAGCTTATGAATTGGGCTTTTATGTCCTAGATTGTGAAAGTGCTACATTCAGAACTTCTCTGAAACAATGGTCCCAACATTTGGTTTTAGTTTTTTTTTTTACTCGCCCTGTACAGTGATAGTGTTTGTGTTCTTAGGCAAGACACTTTACTATAAGTTGCCTCTCTCCATCCGGGAGTATGCATAGGCTGAGGTTAGGGACCAGATTGCGCTGATCTCAAACTCATGCAGGAAACTGGCCTCATGTCCTGATGAACAAGAGTGCGGATTCCAAATGTGAAATGCTTCGAGACTTTGGTATAAAATGCTATATGTGACCTGCCTTTTCATAATGAGGAATAACCCCCACCTTTGACTTTTTAAGTTATGTACGGTACATCATGTTTAAGCACAAATCATTGGCTTTCCAATGATGCCAAATTTATTTATGCGGCTTAATTTATTCCAAAGATATGCCACATGAACTTCAGCAGTGTCCCACCGAACTTCACCAACCTCATTTGGAGAAGAATGGTTTAAAAAAAGAAATACGCATTGCGCTGCTAAACGTTCATTTAGTTTCAAATTTTTGGGGATATTGTTTTTTTCAATAAAAATGCATAGTGTGAATGTTGGATACCTTGGCTACTCAAAAATAAGAAAAAAACAATGTTGATTTTGACATGATGTTCTAAAGTAACCAACTTCAGGCGTTGATTACTCAAAACATGGTTTGGCGGGACGTTCCTCATTTTGCCACAGAAGGTCACATATTTTCAAGCAAACTTGATTACTTGAATCTTCATTCCTGATTGGTCGATCTATGACATTGACCGTGTAATATTATACCATATACCATGGTCCGTTTTGCACTCTGTGTGATAGGAAAACCCTGAAAAGTCTGTACAGGGTTTGTGTGCGTGTTCCATCTTTTTATGTCAAGTTTGCTTGAAGATAAATCCGTTATACCACTCCGCTTGTGGAATACGGAAAATGCAATGTCTGTGTCCCATATGCCAATTTGGCCGAGAAACACATGGGACATAGACGCACTACATGTACATTATTACATGTTCGGCTCGTGCTCCTGGGATAACTAGTATACATGAATATGTAAGCACCATTTTTTTTTTATTATCCTAAATATTTATTTGTCCAGCTTCTCTGATGATGATTGCCTGGATCGGTTTTGCAAGCATCGGCATCACACTGGCCCGCTTCTTCAAACCACTGTGGCCTGATTCGAAACTCCTTGGTCAAAAAGTCTGGTTCACTGTAAGTGGTTTCTTGGCTTGAGGGCTCCATGCGCCAACAAAAGAGGGCGCCTTTTTACCTAGCAATGACGTCCCATGGGCGGGACATTTAGCTGGTTGACGCGCACCGTTCCTTGTGTGTGCCACACGTACACCAGGGGATTTGTACTATGTACACACGGCCGCGCGTCGCGGCAAAATTGCAGTCAGGCAAGATGGCGTCGTTCAGTCACCCCCAACTGTACTTTCTTTGCCAGTGAGGGGGTACTTGTGAACGGAGCGGATACCTAGCCCATTATGTAAATAGCAATGGTACAGGTATATTCTTTGTACTAAGTAGTGTGAAAAGAAGGAAACCCACTTTTGACAGTAATTTCCACTTACTTGTTTTAAAATATTGATCTTTAAACATAAGTGACAAAAAAAATGATTGCAAATGCATATTTTGTCTCTGAGATATGGTAGTTTCAAAATGTACCAAACCTGTTTGTCCACGGATGGCTTTATTTCATCCGCTTGACTGAGCTCCGAAGCTTTATGTACATAGACTTACACATGGTCAACAGTGATTTTGGTTACTTGTATTCAAATTAGCATAGTAACACTAATCGTGCGATTTTTTTTCACAAGATTTTGTCACCATCTTTATGACAATCATGGCAACAATTCCCAAACACATTTCAACGCCGGTAAACTTCATGTCGATTTTTTCTGACTTCAAATTCCTTTCGCCACATGAACCGGCCATAACTTTGCTAGTGTTGTGATAATAATAGATATCATTCCAACTAAATCACGTTACTTTTCTGTTCATGAATACTGATACACCAGCAATTCATTGTATCGTAATAGCGTAGAACACATGCCCTTAATGTTTCCGGCCAGTATTTTTAATTGCTCATTTTCTAGCAATACAAGTATGTTCACTTTTGAATGTTCCACAAAAAAAAAAAAAATACTGCCCGCATTTAATAAATAAATGTAAAAAGACTGTAAATAAATGAAATTTTCTTTAAGTATAGTTCAATCTTTTCAGTGGTTGACGATGCTTTTGGTTCATTTGGTTCATTTCAGATCCATCGGGCATGCATGGTGTCCTGCCTCTTGTGTTTCTGCGCTGCCTTTATTCTGATCTTCGTCTACAAGAGAGGCTTCGTCGACACCGGGGTGAGTTAAACTTGAACAAGAATTGAGCCTGGTGAATTTTATTTCTGCGTATCTCATCGCCAAAAGCCCGGTTGATCTGTTTGTTACAAATACTAGAAATTAAAATTTAAAGGAAGTACAAACAAAATTTCGTCAAATAATGAAATTTTATATTTCAAAACACTCAAGTAGCACTTAAAACCAACATTGCGTGGGCTCCTTGCACTGTCAAGAGAGGGTGTGTTTGTACCACGTTTGGGAGCCCCTTGGACGGGACACACTGTATGTGCTAATGGCGTTTGTTTATGGTGTAAATCGAGGACACACACACGTTCAACATCATCAATGAAGTGAAGACAGAACCGGAATCGAGGACTTCTTGGTTAGAAAACGTGTACAAACGAGTATAAACAAAGGAAATGGGAAGAATCCTCAATTTACACCATAAAAAAACGTGCTGGTTTGCCATGGCGTCTTAGCGTGAGCGTCAGGCGTCGTCTGGGATGCGTTCAATTTGCTCACCTGATTGTCTCCCCCAATTCTCTCTTTCTTGCCAGCGAAGGGGTGCCTGTGCACGGAGCCCATACAGACGAAAGAAATGAAACAAAAAAGTAGCAACAGAAAACTGGACTAGACATTTACACTTATTTTTCGTAAAACTTTTCCTCCCGAACGCCGTGACCTACTGCTAGAAATAGTTTGGATTTGTAAATATGGGTGTGTCCATTATTTTTTCCTGCACAGAATGCCGTGACCGTCGCCCACGCCATATGCGGAATCATAGTGACGTGCCTGGGGATCGCCAACCCAATTATGGCCATCTTCAGACCTCACCCAGGCACGCCCAAGTAAGAGTTTTATCAGTAAGATTTGAGGCTTTGCATGGTGGAGATACTAAATAATGAAAGGTTTGCGGAAACACCATGTGCGAATAATTTCTCAACTAAGAGAATTGTTCTGAAAAGAACCAGAGGTATAAACTCGACGTTCCGGTCAGTATGCTCTGACCGTCTTCTCTCCTGAAGACGGTCAGAGCATACTGACCGGAACATCGAGTTTATACCTCTGGTTCTTTTCAGAACAATTCTCTTAGTTGAGAAATTATTCGCACATGGTGTTTCCGCAAACCTTTCATTATTAAGAGTTTTATCACTTGAAGTACGCCGTCAGAGCAAAACTCAAAAGTTACAGCACACATTGAGGGGGAAGTTGCTGGCGGTATAGAGCGTTGTGGTATCATGGTCGGATGCCTGAAAGGCAATATGTGGCAAATTGAAGGGTTATGGGGAAGGGTCCAGCCTGCTAGGTTGTGGGACGTGTGTCCTTGGGCAAGGCACTTTGTCACAATTTGCATTTCTCAGGAGTAAATGGGTACCCGTGGGGTCAGGTATGTTGGTTGTTTGAGATATTTGAGGTAGCAGTCTGTGCTGAAGTGGAAGCATCAACGTGAACAAGCTGTATGCTCTCCAGGGAGTTAAGTTGGTCTTTTAAGTCGGAATGCTTTATAAGCCTGATGATCAGGGGTAATATAATACATGATTGATAGTGCCCAAAATTGGCATTTGCATTTTATTGATATATCTGGTCTGCACCCAAACTGCTTCCGAAATAAATGCAGTCAAACTTAACTAATTCTAGGGCACTGACTGAAAGTGATGCTTAGAATTGTTGATTGTGCTTCTGGGTGTCTGAGTATGTACCACAGACACATGAAAAGACGGAGGTTCTACACAGTATTCATGTAGAATATTAAAAAACGGTAGTCAATTAACTGTTTTAATTGTCAGATTTAAATTTAGCACATCAAAATCCATAATAAAAAGCACATTTTATCTCTGAACCAGACGACTTCTAAAAAATTGTAGACCATGCAGTGAACATATGAAAAACCAATTTTTAGACGACGATAGCATCAATGTTGTCCATTCATTTCCTTTTTTTTCAGACGACCAATCTTCAACTGGGCCCATTGGAGTGTGGGAACCCTAGCCCACCTGTTGGGATGTGAGTAGTGTGGTGACCTTTGAACTCCGTTTCTCTCGTTTTTGTTGTCTGCTAATGAATATCACCCCCCCCCCCCCCGAAACAAAGTAATAAAATTTGTATTTTGTAAGTAATAGTTTATTTAGAAGCAAGTTATTTTAATTTATTCTTCAGATTTGTTCCTTTTTTAGGGCCGGATTTCCTTTTTTATTGGGAGTGGGAAGGAAGGGGGTGTGTAGGGAAGGGGATGGGGGAGGGGTATAGGGGAGGGGGAGGGTTATAGGGGGAGGGGTGAAGGGAGGGGGAAATGTTTCAAAGAGACTATTAAATATTGTTCCTCTTAACAGCATTTTTGTATATTTCTGGTTCTTCGCGGTATCTTGAAGTTGGTAATCATTGTCATTTTGATTCATTATTCCTTTTTTTTATCTCCCCCCCCCCCCCTTAAATCCAGTGGTGACCGTCTTCTTGGGCATCGGCTACCAGACGTCCCTCCTGAGTGGCCTGGCCAGCTACAGCTTCTTCATCATGCTGGCCTTCGTTATCTTCCACGTGGTCATGTGGGTCCTCTTCGAAGTCATGGGACGCATGGCGGAGAGCAAAGGTAGCAAATATAACCAGTCGAACGATGACCCGCAAGCCAGTAAGAACCATTTTTATCGGCGTGGTGTGCTCCAAATTCTCCCTACTTTAAATCTGCAACATCTTCTTCCAACTTCTCTTTTTCCAAACTGTGTGCCCTGAGAGTGTAGTTTGCATGCCTTGACAACTAACTTACATGTAGTAGCTCTTGCGATACAGGAGAATTTAGAAAATTAATTTATCCCCGTACGTAATTCCAGTTCTTTCCCAATTTTAAGACCCACAAATTTTGCCCTGGAGAAACCATTTTACCTCCAAAACCGGGTTTCATTCTAACCATTTCTTTCATGAAAACAGTAGCGGTAAAACCAGCCCTTCCTCAGCAACCTGACACCGATCCTAATCCGGATGAGCCAGGTACCCGAGACATCAAGATGTTTATAGCATGTGCCATGCAATTGTGCAAGTCTAGTTACCATTCATTGTTGTCACCAATAGAAAATAAAAAGACCCTTGATATATACTGGGGAGTGTGTGGCCTAGTGGTTAGGATTCGTGACTCATGATCAGAGGGTCCGGGGTTCTAATCCAGCCGCTGGCCATATATTGTGTCCTTGGGCATGGCACTTCACCCCCACTTGCCTCTCTCCACCCAGGAGTATAAATGGGTACCGGCATTAGCTGGGGAGTAATCCTGCGATGGACTGGCATCCCATTCAGGGGGAGTAGAAATATTCTCAGTCGTTTCATGCCAAGGAAACCGGAGATAAACACTGGCCTGATGAGCCACATTGGCTCGGGACAGACTTTACTGATATAAATAGGCACCATTCCAGGTATTGTAGTCTAATGAGTATTGCATGTGGTTCCAAGCATTCATCCAAGGCCGCCCTCAAGTTGACCTTACGATGACACAGAACAGTCGGCGACTGACTTTTCAGGATCAAGCTACGTCTGAGCTACAACTGTCAGGAACGTATCGGTCGCCAATTTTTGGAGACCCGAGTGTAACTGCAACGATATTAAGAAGATCGCCATCAGTCGGCGCTAAAAAAAATCAACAGATGCACACAAATTTCAACTTCTGCATGGCGATGGAACGTGTTTCTGACAGGCGGGAATCAATCGCAGTCGACCTGTGTCAAGTTACGACGTCATGCGTGCATCCTCATCATCTTATTTCATTGTGTAGCCAATCAGCATGCTGCAAATTTTTTTCAAATGAACAGACGTAGTTATTATCAACATTTGTTATCAACGCGTCATTTTGAAGACCTCACATGATCACATCTTCGCCACGGAATCATCGTCGCGGGTGACGTGAGCATGGTTGCGATTAATTTGTGTCAAGTTGCTGCTTGGCCCACAATAATCACAAGATTTCTCAGCTTTGTTACCTCAGAATTACTTTTCTGCTTGATGCTAATGGTTACGTCGCGGCGCAAGGAAATCGTAGATCGACCTGAGACGCAAATTTTTCTGTTGCATTCATAATCACAGATCACTCGCATGTTAATCTGATTGCAAGTAAGGCTGGGATAGTAAAATGGGTATCTGTATAACCAACTGGAAATTGGAAATTTTTCCGAACAAATTGAAGGGGAACACAATGTGGTATGATCACTTCAATTTTCTATTCCTAAGATGGATAATGGATAGATGGGTCGTGGGTTCGAGTCCCACCCGAGTGATTTTTTCCAACTTGCACTCGGGAGGTAACACACTGAGTATACAGTGTTTATACGTTGGTGAAGGGCAAAACCTAAATGATTCAATTTCTGTTGTCCACATTATCATTACCAAAAGTCCATGTGTAAAAACAGTCCTAACGAATGTGTTTATCATCATCTTGTATGAGTAATTTTTGTTTCTGTCAAACTCGCAAAAGGTCCACAACGTTCATTTTTATCATCGTGTTGGTTTTGAGTTGTGTCATCACGACAGATTGTTGGTCTGTAATTCTCTGTAGCTGTATGATTGCCCCGCCATGCATGATTGTATCTCACTACCTCAGCATTTGTCAGTGTATCGTGTTCATTTCCACTTTCAAAATTCCTTCTGAATGTGAGTGAAAACCGTGTTGTGAAGTTCAGTTTGGTTGTGAACAGTTTTGAGACAGTATAAAGAAATATATTCTCTGTTCGAAAAGTTTGAGTGTGTTCAGTTAAAAAAGAATACAAAAATATAAATTGGAAAACATCTTGCTGAAACTATTTTCAAATATGTTAGACAAACTTGTAAGAACTTATAATAAATTTTGAATGGAATGGAAAAAAAATCGAAGTACATTGACAAACTTAAGTCAAGTTAATTGAGCTACTTATACATTTAGCCATAAACAAACAGAAGATGCTACTTAGAATAATAATAAGTCACAATGGCATCTTTAAAAATGGTAGGTTACTTCAGTGCAAAACACAAACTAGCAGCCACTTTCACAAAACAGTGCATAACATATGCCTTGCGCAGGATTTACGCAACAAACTTGTTGCCCAGCTGTGCAATAAACTGACGATCAATTTCACGAAACTTGGACGAGGATAATAACAGCATTTTCGATGGCTGTTTGTGTATTTTGTTCATTCATGAAACAGTCCTTAAATCACCTCCGCCTGCCATTTTGAGAATAGTTTTGTCCAACTTTCTTTGGAATCGTGCGGCAACTCTAAAAATTGTCACGAGTAGAATAGAAATTTGTTTACATTGTACTGAAAATACAAAGCTGTGAGTGTCTTGTATCAACCTTGATAGGTTGTGCAACAACAGGTTCCATGACGATCACAAAAAATGATTGTGCAACTTAAGCCTTAATTTGCTGCCCTAGTCGTGGATTAACATATTACGAAGCTTCAGTACAGTTGTCATAACTGAAATGTTGGGCAGCGTGAATGTTGCGTAACTTACACAATAAATTGTTGTGCAAATGGAGTTACGCCACTGCGTAAAGTTTCGTGAAATCGGCTGTAGACTTTCATAAGTGCCATAAATCAGGGTCTCTATTATCACAGTTTAATAATTAGAGTTGCCTTGAAACACCTTCACCAGCAAATACAGGTTCCCAAATTTCCAAATTCATGATTGTTTTCTTTTTTCCCCCTCCACTCTACTGCAGGTCGTAGCAATGACATGCCACTCAAGACGGCAGGTGGGGATTCGAACCAACAGCTAGCTAACACAGACACCGAACCACCGGCAGTAAGCATCTATTCCCCTTTACTTTTATTTTTTATTTAATTTATCTTATGCATGCCGGGCCATTATAACTTCCCCAAATTTACCAAAACCCAAGTTGAATAGTGCTTTTAGTTTTAGTTTTCAATATCCTAGAATGTCAAAACAGCAACAATGTCGTCAATCATTTATACCCATTCTCATATTCTACATCCCTACATTTTACTTACTGTTTACTGCCTCAAATTTATTTCAATCGTATTTTAGGGTTGTTTGATTTTAAAGGATTTCAGTACTTTTTACATATCTCTGGAGTTTCAAAAAAATGCAAATTGCAAAAATGCAAATTAAAGATCCTACATTTGTGTAGTTCCTGTGAAACCTATCTACCAAATTACTGAGAAAGTCTGACCGGAAGTACAGTTAAAATGGCTTTTGGAAAAAACTCCTTTTGGCTGTTGTCATTAGAGAAGAAACATGTATTATAGGGAATTTCCAAAACGTTGATCGAGTTATGCGAGAGTTTACCTTCACAGTGTGAGAATCAAATCATGCCGATTTACCGCGTAGACTCTAGGGAATAATTACGCCCTAATTGTTACAATGCAAAACGAATCGTTAATGAAGGATAATTGTACATGTCATGTGTCTGCCATGTACCCATATCACACTGAATTGTGTTCCTCTCTAAAAAAACAAACCCCAAAGTATGATTTTATGCACATTCAGTTAAACTTTGGAGTATGCTGTCCGTGCCGTGTGGGTGTATGAGTGGGTAGGCATTACATTCACTGTGTGGACTTCCGAACAAAAGATGTCCACATAAACCAGGTAGCAGCGACGTTGTGTGGACGTGGGCAAGTCCACACAGTGTTTCCCCATTTCTGGAAAACAGGTTTAGAGACATTTTTGGGTTAGGTTTATCGGTGGCAAAATGAAGAGAAACACTAAAAGGGAATCATAGAAAAAAATTGGGTTGAAAGTGTTTTCACAGTGAGAGTAAAATGAGTTTTTTCTGAGCTTTTTCTGAACTGCACGAAAGCAAGGGAATGTCCACACTAGGTATGTAACTTAAATATGTGTGGGTTTGTGTGCGCTATGCGTCCTTCATTGTCTCTCAGGAGTAAAACAAAGGGCCTACAATCTTCGCATACCGTGTCCACACTTGCAAGTATCGTTTGATTTGTCAGTTTGCCTCGCTTTTGAATCCTGAATTTCAAAGCCGTTGTTCTAGCTTGCTGATGTTGATATTTCATTCCGTGCCGATTTGACTTTAAATGACAGGATGAAGAAGGGGAGAATTTGTCGCAGATCACAGATGAGGTCAGAGTTCAATTGCCTTGCAATCTGATTGGTCTAACCTGCTGGTGCCGGAAACACTCATATGCAATACTATTGTAAAAAAAAAATGCTAATGCTTGTTTTATGCTTCAAGCAGTAAAGCTCTATTTGCATTTCTGGTATTTTGTATTGCATTAACAACAGCCCTCGATATTGAATGGAGAATGTTAAAACACTAACCGCTGAAAAATGCCAACAAATTGAACAGTGTTTTTTCTTTCTTAAAAAAAAAGTAGGGAGGCAACTTGGTTACAATTTGCATGTTCAATCTTCCATGAGAAAAGCACAAATAATATTGTTATTCTCAGTACTATTGAGAATAATTAATTATTTGTTTTATTAACACTGTGCTTTTGAATTACATATGCCAAAAAAGTGCTTCTGCTTCTGATTAAATGGCATTTGAAAATATGGTAGGTAGGCAGGGATTTTTTTTTGGCACTTTTTTTTGTACATTCATATGGAGGTGTCTGCGTGTAGTCAAGAGTAAAAGGTAGAATTTTTTTTCCTCATTTTTCCCCCCAAAAAATTAGGGTAGGGGCTGTCCAAATAGGGTAGGTAGGGTAACCGGAAGCAGAACCATTATTGTTTTTGGCCTTATTGGCTAAAAAGGTTGGAAGGTATGTTGAACGTATAAACGAAACATTGGTGACGTTTGGTGACTTGTTCTATTACTAACAGTTTTCAGCATCTGCCTGATTATTTTTTGATTGGTCACTTTCAAAAGCTGAACTCTGCTTTTGATGATTGCATTTGCTTATCGCTCACAAGTAAATAGTGGGATGCACTAATCATGCTTCTGCCGTTTATCAAAAATGAAAAGAAAAAAGAACGGGCTAACTCTGCAAATAACATTATTTTTGTCTTGATGGGGACAACATGCACACAAACCAACAAGTACCCCATATTGTTGCTACATGCACATGCACGTTCAAAAATGGCAAAATCAGAGTTGTAATGACTCGAGTCAATGACTCGACTCGAGTCCGACTCGAGTCACAATTTTGGGTGACTCGACTCGACTCGAGTCCCTAAGGGTGAATGACTCGACTCGACTCGAGTCACTGCGAGCAAATGACTCCACTCGACTCGAGTCCTTCATCAGAAGACTCGACTCGACTCGAACGAAGGCTAATAAGACTCGAGTCCCAAAAATAAAAGCACAACTTTGCGAAAAGTATTTGCAATGACTTACGGTGCAAAATTTATGCTCTCTTCGCTTTGCGAGTTAATCATGCATAAAATACAACGTGTCACAGACTCCCACCTCATGGTTCTAGAACGCACAAAATACTATCCAGGAACCAGATTTTTCGCTTCATCAAATTAGGTTTGCCCTTCACCGACGTATAAACATTGTTTACTAGGTGTGTTACCTCCCGAGTGAAAGTTGAAAAAAATCACTCGGGTGGGACTCGAACCCATGACCTCCTGCTTTCTAGTGCAGATGTCTTACCACTCGACCACCGAGCTAATGGGATCGGTTGGCCGGTTCGAATCTGATGTACACAGCAGCGGGTACCGCATAAACTATTATAAGATGGAATTTTGCGTCGGGGTGATATAAATCAAATTAGTTTGCCCTTCACGGACGTATAAACGCAAGAAGGGCAAACCTGATTTGATTTATATCACCCAACGCAAAATTCCATCTAATAGATTTTTCGCTGTTTCATCATTGGCTTTAGGCGATTTCTTATAAAGCTCTTGGATTCGAACGCTGGCTAAACTTATGGCCTCCTTTTATAAATTTTGTTATAGGCCTATAGTGTTCAAATATTCGTGACTCGAATTGACTCGAGCTAAATATTTGACTCGACTCGACTCGACTCGACCTTTCGACCTAATGACTCAACTCGACTCGAGTCACTTCTTTAAAATGACTCGACTCGACTCGAGTCACTTCTTTAAAATGACTTGACTCGACTCGAGTCACAAAAATCAGTGACTCGTTACAACTCTGGGCAAAATGTTAACTCTTTATTTTGGGCAACGTTAACTGAAGATTTTAATGAAGGTTAACTTGTGTGAGAATTAAAGAGTTTATCAAAACGGTCTCATTTGGTGCCAAATATTTATTTTGGGCCAAATTTTTATTTGGGGCATTTGCTAGTAAAATATAGCATCAATGAGATAAGGGAGCGGGAATTTCATTTGTAGACATACTACAGAAAGTTTATCAACAGATATATATGACAGTGATTTTAGTTTGCATTGGTCAGACATTATGCAGTTGTTCTGTTGACTTTGCTCAGACATAATAACTAGACTGCAGTTATTGTGTTCCAATGAGCAAATTTGTAGGCATTAGGGGATCCATTCTTGACTTGTTTCGTTTGGCTTCATTCAGTCGGACATTTTTCACGTGAGATCAGTCAGTCAGAAATTTTGCAGGCATGCTGTATACACTTTGCTCAGAAAGTCTTGTTTACATTGGTTAGACTATGTTTGGCCTCATATCTATGCAGTCATTCCGTTTCACTTCAATTATTAATTCAACGAGTTGTCTTCAGGAGACTTCAGTCAGAGAATCTGCAGGATTTCTGCATTCATTCATTTATCAGGCATTCAGCTTTCAACTTTTAAAACGTTGGTTGCCCACCGTCCGTTTTTGTTTCCTTTTCTGCAGGGCGCAGCAGCCAAGATGATCCTCCTCTGCATCTACGTCGTGGGCGTGGTCGCTTTCCTCATCTGTTTAGTTGTTTTCGTTGGACTGGCTTGAGATTAGGTGTCTTCACCGTGGAGCAAGAAACAGCACAAAAGTACTCAGGTAATCATCGTCGTCATTTTTTCCAAACTACAGAAGAAACTACTCAATTAACTTCATTCTCTTTTGTATAAACCCAAGACATGACAATACTACTGCATTGTGGGAAAAGCAAGCTAAGTCTGTAATTTCTCCCAAAAATAAGAAATTCTGGTTTGACACTTTGTTTTGTAAGGTTTTTTTGTTTTTATATCTGCAGATATTGACAAGTACCCACATGGAACAGACACATGTTGACTACTTTAGGCCAAAAAAAAAAAAGTCTCCGGTTTCTGGTATGCGCGCGCGTCGCCATAGCCATGCGCGTCGGGAAAGTGAAGAAAAAAAAATTTTCAATGAAAGATGATGTCTCAAAACCGCCAAACTCACTGGTTTGACTTGAATCCTGCTGCTGCACAATTTTAACGTGTTTTTAGATTGGGTTATGGTCGAGAATAAGCTTTATGTGGCCTTTCTGGACTCCCATATATTTGCACTAAGTTTAGTCGGGCACCATTTGCAGTCATCAGCCGACATTTGAAGCAAAAAAATCAGGTTAAAAAAAAAAAAAGCCGCGTCGCCGCACCACTTTTTGGGCAAGCTCCATACCAGAAACCGGAGACTTTTTTTTTGTTTGGCCTTATGGCAAGACACACATGTAAAAAGTGGTTTTCCTAATGTTTTTTTGGTCTAAATTAATGATGTCAAGTTGTGTTTTTAAAGTCAATGGTTCGCATACTTCAAAGTAAAGTGCTCTAATTTGATTTGAACGTTTTATACTTAATTGCTATTATTCATGTAGTATCATATCTGCAGGAAGAAAACCATGCAAGCATTTTGATTATTTTCAACAATGTAAAACACAATTGAATGAGCCTACTGTACATGTATTTCATTTCAGTATGTGTTTTACAGTAATATGCGACTTGTCTATTTCTTCGGTATTAAAGAAAATTGTTAACTTTTTTACACAAATTATGAAGTTGCAATTGGTTGTGTTTTACTCCGTTTTGAGTTTGTTTACTGTGTTTTGAAGCAGTGGAGAAGTATGTGTTTAAATTAACATAGGTTAGTTTTATGTATAATATGAAAAGTATGATTACGTTCAAATATTATGCATGTATATTGTGAGAGATATGTATGCATACAGTTTTTCAAATTTGGGCGATTCACAATGCAGTGCGCCACCAAGAGTTTGCCACGGAGAGTTCGTTTTTCAAGTTTACGGTCGACAAAACATAGCCCATTTTGAACGAGTGTCAGTAGAAAACTTGAGCTAATTTGTGTTAGATTGGGGCATAGCGTTCTGCCGCCTTACAAAACACACCATATTGATAAAATGATAAGAAAAGGGCTAACAGATACTCGAATCATATGCTTACGAACTTTCTGGCCGGAAACACTAACCATTTCAAATGTCCCGTGCTGCAAATTTGTCGACCATCTCCCACAATGCACTGGGAAAAATGAACTCTCCGTGGCAAACTCTTGGTGGCGCACTGCATTGTGAATCAGCTCAATTGAGAAAATATGTACATGTATGTGCAAAGTATTTTGTGAAAGTATATTTAATACAAATTCATCCTATATAATCAAAAAAGAATAGATTTTGATTAATATTTCTGTAATGGAAAGAAAATATGCAATGATGAGTGGAATTGTGTAATATTCGGAAATGTAGAAGAAGAAATTAAGCTTGTTTTTAATGGTGTATTATGGTTTGAACAGAGATGTGATACATATTTCACATTGAACTTTTGTACATAATTAAGTGTCTACTGCAAACGAAAACATCTTTGGTGCCTTAATATTTCACATACAAGCAAAACTATTTTTCAATTTGAAAAGTGAAAAAGTAACACTCTTTTGGATGATACATATTTCACATTGAACTTTTGTGCATAGTCAAATGTCTACTGCCTACGAAAACATCTTTGGTGCCTTAAATATTTCACATATTCATACAAACAAAACTATTTCCAATTTGAAAAGTGGAAAAGTAGCACTCTTTTGGATGATACATATTTCACATTGAACTTTTGTGCATTATCAAATTTTTTCTGCCAACGAAAAAAACAAAATTTGGTGCCTTAATATTTCGCATATTCATACAAACAAAACTATTTTCAATTGGAAAAAGTGAAAAAGTTACTCTCTTTTAAGTACTTTTTTAAGGGCTTGATCGATCAGAGACTATAACAAAGTTTTGTAAAATATCTTCTTGTGGGTGTTTTCTCCCTGGCATTTTCTGAATAAGTATAGTTTTGCTATAGTTTTAATTGTTTCAATGAAATGCATAAAGGTCAAATATTGTCAAGAAACTCAAAGTTATTAACATAGGGTTTCCTGAGTGTTTTAAAAGATGTCGATTCAAATTGACCAACTCAAACATTCAATTTAGTCCACGAAAAAAATCTCACGCTTTCACCGAAACCAATTTCATAATTTCCTCAATAATAACATCGTTCGATTTTACTGTATTCGACTCAATTATTGGCTTTTTTGTACAGCACAAAAGTCGCGGCAGTAGTAGCTTTGAATTCATAATATACCTTATCGAAAAGTTGTTTTTTCGTACTTTTTCTTTTTCAATTGTTGGTGCTGACTTTAACTCTATGAGGTATATGTAATTTATGGAGAAGGGGTTTAGCAATTTCAGAAGAAAGTCTTAAAAAGCAGTCTTTGAATTATTCAATTTCCGAGTAGAATTTTAAAAACTCTTATCTGTTTGTAAATTGTGCAAGCATGTTAATTGAGTCTTTAATTAAAAGAGCAACAAAATTATATTTTACTTTTTAATTGTTGATAATTTGTGAATTTGATGTACACCCAATTGGTATTTCTAATTTAACCTTAGTTTAACAACTCAAAGAAATGTTGTGTGGCACTTTCAGTAGTTGAGTAAGCACTTAATTGTCTATATTTTGAAAGCATTTCGTTGCCATGGCAATCGTTATGATGGACTTGAGGGGCCAAAAACTTCACTTCTGTGTCTCCATGACCTGGTTTCTGCCTTCTGTCAATATCCGGAAAAGCAGTTGTAACCATGGCAACACCATATCCATAATTTTAGCAACATTATACTGCCTGGCTATCATTCCATCATTTCTGTAATAGTGTGCTTCAATATAGTAATTTAGCATTTGCAATTTTGAAAGTTATCTGTCTTTGTTTAACTTACAAGTCTGCTGCACCGTTTGTGTCTTTTTAAATATAAAACGTTTCATTCCACAATGTAGAACAAATGTTTGTATTTATATGTTTTAATCTCCATTAAAGTAATAGGAAATTAAAAGAAAAAGAAGTTTAATTTGTGTTTTGTTTGATTTTCTGAGCAAGTAACAGCAAAACGAGAAAGTGATTGTTTTTTCATATTTTATTTTAAATATTTCAAAAGTCACTTATATATAATTTAAAAGAAATGCTTTTGTCATTTAGGGGCTGATTATAGAAGAAACAAATGTGAAACCAACGAGAATTTTGGAAACTCCTGAAATATTAATTTTTACTTTGTCTATTGATTTCCTTCATTTCTTTTTGTTATTTTATTTATTGACTTTTTTGCCGCCCCCCCCCCCCCCCCCCAAGGGGTCCAAAAATTATGGCGCGGGGTTCGGGGCCCGCTTGAGGGTCCCGCAATTTTAATTTTTTTGATGTATACATGTCGATGCTCTGTGGTGCGATCGTTTTTGACCACTCTTACCAATTTTTTTTTTTTTTTTTTTTTGGGGGGGGGGGGAGGGGGGGGGGGGGAAGATAGTAGTGCACGCAGTGCTTGTCTTCATTGCAACGTCACTTAAAAAAGGGTTCTTTTTTTTGGGGGGGGGGATGGCCCCCATTGACCCCCCCCCCCCCCACCCCCCTCCCGGGATCCGCCCTTGTATCCTTGACGCTTTCTGATGTGACCTCCCCAGTATCAAGCCGAGAAGAAAAAGAAAAAAAAATACTACTTAAGCTATACGGTACGGTACCAAATAAAAAACAATATTTTCACTTGTGACGTTCTTATCAAGATCTCTAGAGGATGTTTCGGGAGGAAACTAAACCAAGCAGTAGTATATTTAATATACTACTACTATTAATATTCGGTCTCTGGTCAGACCAAAGTTCCGGAATTGACGCGGGGACGCGGCTTTTTTTTTTTTTTTTTTTTTTTTTTTTTTTCTTTCTTCAAGCTTGGATTGTACAGACAAGGTGGGGTACTATTTTGCTTTTTGGGTGTCCTCATGTACATTGGTGTACATGATTGACGCGCATGATTAACGCGCATGATTGACGCGCATGATTAAAATCGACGCGCGCGCTGACCAGAGACCGACTTTTTTTTTTTTTTTGCCTTAATATGAAAACTTATACGCAAGTTTGATTGACCCACCGCGTGAGGGCGCCCTATTCAAAACACAGGCGGCAAGATTTGTGAGCGGTGGGTGTAGATTTATTTATCGCTGTAAAAATGAATAAATAGATGATTTTTCTCAAGTAAATGTAAACATTGCTCAATCTTATTCAGTCACCATGCTGCTGAGACGTCTGGCGGGGAGGTACTGTGTTCAGGACATGCGTAAGCTCTTATTTTCAGGACGACAAACTTTTGCCTGTAATCGCCATCATGTGAACTCGAAATGTGCATTGCATTTCTACACGTCTATGAAATCTAGGCAAACTTTAGTGTGCAGAAGTTTATATAGCGGCACTGTTAGCGCAAGTGGGTATAACACCTGTGACAAAGGAATAAGCAGGTGTTACACAACACCTGCAGCAACAGCATCCAAAAAACCACGCCCAGTTTTTAGGAAACTGGATGGAACCGTCGACACATCGTGCAAGGAATTTCAGGCCAGACTAGATGGAAGCAAACAACTCGAGGAGAAACACAAGCAGATGGTGGCAGTCGCCAGGTCCGGAGGAGGGCCTAAGGCCATGGAGCGACACGTCAAAGCCAACAAGAAGCTGTTTGTTCAGGATCGGTTGAGGCTGCTGCTGGACGAGTACAGCGACGATACGTTCTTGGAGATTGGCACGCTTGCGGGGTTCGGGATGCCGTACGGCGACATACCTGGTGCCAGTGTTGTGACAGGTATAAATAATCCATAATCATAATACTAAGTGCACAAGATACATATTGTCTACTTCTAGCATTAGAAGGCTCTTGTATCGTTTTGGTTTGCGGTAACACCATGTGGTTATAACTACTGCTTAGAAGATATTAGTTCTGAAAAGAACTTGTCCTGCTTATTATCAACTTTGCTAAGTAGTTTTTTTGTTCTGATAAGAACAGTCCTGCTGTAAGTTCTAAACAAACTTGTCTTTGGTCTCAACGTTTCGACTAGCCTGCTCTAGTCATCGTCAGGAGACTGGCTCTTGTAGTTCTAGAATTAGAAGGCTCTGTGAGCATGGTGAGCTCACAGAGCCTTCTAATTCTAGAATTACAAGTACATGTGTAGGTACATGTTGTTTACTTCTGGAATATCTGATTCCAAAAGTATTGTCATGCTTTCTATAGGAAAGATTTCCATATACGAAGTTCACTCAACACCCCATGTACAAACCCTATGAGATTGGACTGAAAAATTCCAAGTGTTTTCTAAGAAAATGCTTGTATTTTCTCACTGCTCAAAATGACTTTGATGACATGATATTGCTATCTGGGGACTTGTTAGTCAATACAGAGAAAAATTAGTGAACTTTGTATTTATATGGAAATCTTTCCCATTTCTTTTCTATAGTTTGCCTACCATGATTCCCAGCTTGAAATTTCCAGCTTGCTAGGTACCCTAGCCCGACTGCGTCTGGCTGTACAGTACTAGGAAAGATTTCCATATACGAAGTTCACTCTACACCCTGTGTACAAACCCTATGAGATTGGACTAAAAAATTCTAAGTGTTTTCTAAGAAAATGCTTGTATTTTCTCACTGCTCAAATTGACTTGGATGACATGAAATTGCTATCTGGGGGCTTGTTAGTCAATACAGAGGAAAATTAGTGAACTTCGTATATGGAAATCTTTCCCAGTACAATCGCAAGCTCTGTAGTACGGCCAGACGCCCGATGCTTCCACAGAGACTGAATTTTTTTGGCCGCTGATGTAGCGATTTTGCTACATCTTTCGATCGAGATTATCTTTTCATCCAGGACACAAATTTCCAAAGTTAAGGTTCTTAGTCGTAGAGCAACTCATACCTTTTCGAAAAAACGTTCTTTGGTCTCAATATTTTCATCCATCTGGCCACAAGATGAATTTCAGTCATCAGATTCCACAAATATCGTCTGTGACGTATGACCTCGTGTTTTTGGACGTTCGTGCGGCGGGGCCATACGTACATGTACATTACTTGTAGACAACAACAGCCCAGTACGTGCATGCACACGTACGTCCGCACGGCGGCCCTGTGGCGCGCATTCATGTACATGTACATGTACGTACGGCCCTGCCGCACGCACGTCCAAAAACACGGGGTCATACGTCACAGACTGTCTATGCATATTCATGAGTTTGCGCGGGCGCGCCTGCATATTGCATACATTACAGAGCGGCCGCCATTTTGAAATCGCATGGGGGAGCATTTTCGGGACGATATTTGTGGAATCTGATGACTGAAATTCGTCTTGTGGCCAGATGGATGAAAATATTGAGACCAAAGCTTTAAAGAACATTTTTTCGAAAAGGTATGAGTTGCTCTACGACTAAGAACCTTAACTTTGGAAATTTGTGTCCTGGATGAAAAGACAATCTCGATCGAAAGATGTAGCAAAATCGCTACATCAGCGGCCAAAAAAATTCAGTCTCTGTGGAAGCATCGGGCGTCTGGCCGTACTACAGAGCTTGTGATAGTACTGTACAGCCAGACGCAGTCGGGCTATAGGTACCCCTACTGCCCTAGCCTAGGACTATGTGGATTGCTTGGGTAGCAAGCCCCATAGTTCTAGGGGTACTTGCTCATGACCTGGGGAGATTCTCATTAGAGCGGAAATTAATTTCCTGAGTTCGATCGTGGTTTCCACGTTTTTGGCCAATATTTTCCATGTTTGTTCAAATTACAAGCAAAAACTCACCTAAGACAGCAGATACCAGATCCACTCAAAATGAGAACCAGACAAAAACGTTGGTTTTTTTTTGTTTTTTTCTTTTCCAGGCGTGGGGAAAATCAATGGTATCTGGTGTGCAATAACAGCCAACGATGGCACAGTCAAGGGTGGTACTGTGTACCCCATCGGAGTCAAGAAACAGCTGAGGCTACAGGAGATAGGACTGCATAACCGACTACCGTGTGTGTACCTCGTTGACAGTGGGGGCGCTTTCCTCCCATTACAGGTACCGGTACAGTGTCAAGTCCTTCATATGCAGCGCCATTAAAAAGCCATTTGCACCTGTGCTACATTGTATTACCTTGTATTAAATTTTATTCCTTCATGAATCCGAGTGCTGGGGTGGTTTTGGGCAGTACAGGGAGTAACAGGCAGGTGGTTTGGGGCGGTACAGGAAGTAACAGGCAGGGCGGTTTGGGGCGGTACAGAGAATAACAGGCAGGGTGGTTTTGGGGCAGTACAGAGAGTAACAGGCAGGGAGTTTAGGGCGGTACAGGGAGTAACAGGCAGGGCAGTTTAGGGCGGTACAGGGAGAGTAACAGGCAGGGCAGCTTAGGGCGGTACAGGGAGAGTAACAGGCAGGGCAGCTTAGGGCGGTACAGGGAGAGTAACAGGCAGGGCAGTTTAGGGCGGTACAGAGAGTAACAGGCAGGGAGTTTAGGGCGGTACAGGGAGTAACAGGCAGGGCAGTTTAGGGCGGTACAGGGAGTAACAGGCAGGGCAGTTTAGGGCGGTACAGGGAGTAACAGGCAGGGAGTTTAGGGCGGTACAGGGAGTAACAGGCAGGGCAGTTTAGGGCGGCACAGGGAGTAACAGGCAGGGCAGTTTAGGGCGGTACAGGGAGAGTAACAGGCAGGGCAGTTTAGGGCGGTACAGGTAATAACAGGCAGGGCAGTTTGGGGCGGTACAGGGAGAGTAACAGGCAGGGCAGCTTAGGGTGGTACAGGGAGTAACAGGCAGGGCAGCTTAGGGCAGTACAGGGAGAGTAACAGGCAGGGCAGTTTAGGGCGGTACAGGGAGAGTAACAGGCAGGGCAGCTTAGGGTGGTACAGGGAGTAACAGGCAGGGCAGCTTAGGGCAGTACAGGGAGAGTAACAGGCAGGGCAGTTTAGGGCGGTACAGGTAATAACAGGCAGGGCAGTTTGGGGCGGTACAGGGAGTAACAGGCAGGGTGGTTTTGGGGCAGTACAGGAAGTAACAGGCAGGGCAGTTTAGGGCGGTACAGGGAGTAACAGGCAGGGTAGTTTGGGGCGGTACAGGGAGTAACAGGCAGGGTAGTTTGGGGCAGTACAGGGAGTAATACTAACAGGCAGGGTGGTTTGGGTTGGCACAGGAAGTAACAGGCAGGGCAGTTTGGGGCAGTACAGGTTGTAACAGGCAGGGTGGTTTGGGGTGGTACAGGGAGTAATAGACGGGGTGATTTGGGGTGGTTATATGAAGTATAAACAGGTTGGGGGGGGGGTGGGGTACAGGGTCTGGCTAAGGCTGCTTAAAATAGTATAATTTAAACAATTGAATTCTGGTATCCATAAACCAGGAATTTTTCAATTTTGTTTTCTCCTCATTCAGTCAGAGATTTTTCCAGACAAGGAGCAAGGCGGCAAGATATTTTACAATGAGGCTCGGTTTTCTGCCCTGAAAATCCCCCAGGTGAGTTTTTTTTTCCCTGGGGGGGGGGGGGGGGGGGGGGGGGGATATGGGGGTTTGGGGAGGGATTTAACCCTCCCACTTGTTTAAGCTGCCAAATTCCTTCAAAGTTCATTCCCTTGTACGTGATGCTAAAGAGGGAAGAGGTTACTATAAACTTTTGTGGTTGGAGCTGATGTCAGTAAACTCCGAATCTCCCTGTGATCATCATGCCAATAAGCCATTCTGACCAGCATGACTAAGGACCAGCCTAGTATTAAGAGACTTGCACTAAGAACCATGATCCCCTGTTTGGGGACCATAGAACCACCCGCCCCATCCCATCTCTGTGTGGTAACCCCAAAGATAGCGGTATTTGTGAAGTTGTCCTTGACATTTGGTCAATATCTTGAGTCTGACCGTCCAATACTCTGGCCCACAATAATCCACTGGATGTCATTCTCGCCATTTTGTCTCCACGTCACAGGTAGCCATTGTGGGTGGTTCCTGCACGGCAGGCGGGGCCTACGTGCCTGCCATGTGTGACGAGGCCGTCATGGTTGACAAGATCGGGACCATATTTCTTGGAGGTCCCCCCTTGGTGTATGCCGCGACAGGAGAGAAAGTCAGCGCGGAGAACTTGGGAGGCGCCACGCTCCACTGCAAGTAAGTGATTAAGCAAATTCTCCCCCCCCCCCCCCCCCCGGACTGACTGGCACAAAATTACACACCGAGAGCTGATAGTCGCACAAAGTTTATGCACCCATTTATCAATTTGTCCAGAGTCAGTGGCGTCATGGATCATTTTGCTGCCACGGAAGAGGATGCCTTTGAGACCGGAAGGGAGATTGTAGCAAGTCTCAATGAACAGGGACCCGTGGAATACGAGGGTTGGGAGGAACCGCTGTACAGCGTAGACGAACTACCTGGTTTGGTTGTAGACAACCCGGGAAGTATGAAAAAGGTACGATAACTGTAATTCCGGAGGTCGCAGGTTCATACCCCGCTCCAGTCAATTTCTTTGTTCAGTTTTATAATGTTCACAAAAATAATTTGAGTGTTTTAAAAATCTGAATCTTCGTCAATTTTCACTACCAAATTTTTTCTTACCACCTACGTAGACATTACAGGGGGTGGCAAATTGGACGGTGTTCATGACTTTTTATTTGACGGCCAGGGTTTGAATCTAGCAACTGAACAAGTATATTTGCCGAAGTACTGAACTCCCCCATACCATGTTTGATTAGTTTTTTGACTCATGATCTAAAGTCAGGGGTTCACATCTTTTGGCGAGGCAATAATCTTACCCTTGCCTTTTTGGTTAGCTTTTTAGTTAACATTTAAAGGGAAAATACAACATTTGCAAACATCAAAAAAAAGAAAAGATCAAATTATCACGAAATATCTCACTAGATTGTTAGGGAATGACAGTCCAAAGCATCCATTAAAATCGTGGCTCCTGGTGAGCTGACATTTTCAAGAAAACTTGTATTTTTCCAACGCTGGTCGGCCGACCAGCGTTGGAAAAAAACTGACTTTTTTCAAAAACTGCTCCTAATTTTTCATATTTAGTTATTCCGCATTTACTTTGCAATTGTTTACACACCTGTGAAATGGATCAAGCCTGCTAGACTGATTATCTGACCTAACAATTCCCCCAGTTTATAAATTGCTCCGTTTAATCTTAAGTGGGATCAGGGAACCAGACTACACGAACATGATTGGTTTTCTTGGTTTTTCCAGCATCTACTAGCCCAAAATGTGAAACAAGTCAGTTTAACGAAGTTTTGCTATAACATACTTATCCTCCAAATCCATTTATTTCTGAAAATTGCAGCAAAAGCAAATGCTGTACATTCCCTTTAACCTTTTTGGTTTGAATCTGAAATAATATGAAATCCAATTGCTTGCAGGGTTGCTTGTCCTTGGGCAAGCCACTTTACCCATACTTTACCCCTTTCATCTCCCAGGAGTATCAATGGGTACCAGTATTATCTTGTGTGTAACCTGCGATGAACTAGCGTCTCATCCGGGGGAACATTTTTGTGTGGCTGGCCCAGTGTCCATTAAAGCCTGAACGGTCTGCTTCACATTAATCCCATGAGTAACTTATTCTCTATAATTTGAATGATATGTTCGACATTTGATTAAAAATGTATGCATTCAAAATAGTTTCTTTTATCCTTTAATTATTATTTTGACAAATTTGTTTTTTCTCTCTTTGTGCAGGTTATTGCTCGGCTAATTGACGGCAGTCAATTCCATGAGTTCAAGTCCATGTACGGTCCCAGCCTAGTCACAGGAATGGCATATATACAGGGGTAGGTATATCAAGGGCCGTGTATGTAGATATTGGCGTTGGGCCCAACTTCTCCCTCAATTGGTGAAACTTGGAAACTTGTGTCATTTTGAGAGCACTTATTACTTTCCAGTGCACAATTTCACGGTTGACATATGCCTTAACAATTTTAAACCCTTGCTGTTAACAACTTGAGTTGAGCCCAAGTTACTCGTAAAACCCAGTAGAATCTCATAAAAGCTTGAGGTAAAGTTTAAAGTACTGCCTATGTTGCGTCGCATTCTCCCTTAATAAGCAAGTGCATGCAAAATGGTATCTTTTCTAAACTGAATGATGAATTTTTTGACAAATTTGGAAAACCAGCAACATAGCGCTGGATAGCTCAGTTGGTAGAGGGGCGGTACGGTATTCTGGAGTTGCAGGTTCGAACCCTTCTCTCGTCAATCTGTTCAACTTTTTAATTAAAATCTTTACTACTACCTGCCTCCCTTTCTGACCCTAACTGCATTCCGTCCATCCAACAGTCATCTAGTAGGCATCATCGGCAACGACGGCCCCTTAACGGCCGACGCCGCGACCAAAGGTGCGCACTTCGTGGAGCTGTGCTGCCATCGACGGATCCCGCTGATCTTTCTACAGAACCTGACGTCAGACGCCAGCATGCCGGAGACAGAAGACGGCGAGGCCATGGGGAACGTGATCAGAAACCGAGCCAAGATGATGATGGCAGTGGCCTGTGCTCAAGTGCCCAAGATGACGGTGATCATCGGGGACAGTTTTGGGCCCAGTAATTTTGCCATGGTGAGTAGCTTGATGTCTCTTTTTATAAGAACAAACGCAGGGAGTATTTTTTGTTTTATATGGAAACTACGATTTTGACTCAATTCTAAAGGACTATATTGTTGATATTGAAATCTCATCTTAAATCGTTCTGGAAGTCATCCTTGTGCAATTTCCAGGATTTTTCGTTCAATCATTTTGGCTTTATTCCTATTCGTTATGGCTATTAATAAATGTGAATGTATTGTGGATGATGTAATATTTGATATTTACATTGGTACTCATTCATATTAATCCACAGAAAAAAAGTTAAATATCAATTTTGGATGAACATAAAAATGTCACAAACATTAATAATTTTCTGACAGCCGTAAGTCTAAATCCTCATTGAGTTAGTTTCTTTGTTTCCAGTCAGTTTCTTAAATTGACCAAAAGTGTCCCTTGTCAGTTTTTCTTTGCTTCCCCGCCCCCATTTTTAAAATTTAATAGCCAGTTGGACAGTTGGTTCGACAAGGTTGCCCAGTGCATAAAGCACTCGGCTCTCACCGCTGTGGCCCGGGTTCGACTCCCTCCCTAGGTTATATGTCAATAGAGTTGTTTGTTTAATTCTCTCCTGTGCCACCAGGGTCTTTCTCCGGGTTTTCCGATTTTCCTCCCTCCGCAAAAATCAACACTTTCGATCTCTGGCTGTACTCTGTGGGTCGTATGGCAGCTGCCTAAAATGCCTTTTATTTTATTATTTTATTTATTACTTCTGGCACTGAAACCAAGGATTCCCCAAATAGCGCCAAAGGCACTGTAAGCTCGAAAGCCTGAAGAAACCTGTAGAGGGAAGTGAATGAGAAGAAATGACAGTTTTAGAGGTGGGAGGAAAAGCCCAGAAGAATATTCTGGGGAAAACCCACGGAATCAGGTAGGGACTGAAAACCCAATCCACATATTGGCCTGGCCGGGATTCGAACCCAGGTCACACAGCGGTGGAAGGCGAGGAAAGTACCGCTATGCCAACCTGACTCCCCATGCCTTTACATGCCTTCTGCTTGACCACATCATAGCTATGTCCTTCGCAAGTCAGCTACTGCTGCGAGTAAGGACGATAAGCCCCAAAGTTATTTTCAATTTTGATTTTTTTTTTATCCCAACTAATTTGTGTTTTAATCTGATGTCTTGTTCTCCTAGTGTGGTCGTTCATTCAGTCCTCGATTTCTGTTCATGTGGCCGTCAGCGCGGATAGGAATCATATCCCCGGAGGAGGCGGGGCATGCTGCAGCTCAGGTAGGGGGCATTTTATTTAATCAAACTTGGCACTGATTGAAACAGAGGTTAACTCCTCTGGTCCACTTCAGAAGGACACTTCACAGATCTGCAAACTTCTCCCAAATTGTACATGTTTTAGCCACCAGAAAGAAGCGGCTCTGATGGGAATGGGGTCATTTTATAAATTAAGGGTCCAAAGTGTGACTTTTTTCCTGCCCCTGTTACCTTGGTACTTTGTAATTTGCCATTCAAGTATAATTAAGAATGACTTCAAACAATGTTTCATTTCTCGTGTACGTAGTTTGCTATTCATAATCACTCTTGTAGGATGACTGCATTAAGGAGTGCATCCGTAATTAAAAAATCATAAATGTCAGATGTAACAGGGACAGGGAAAAATGGACCCCACATTTATAGAATGACTCACATACATGTACATCTGAGGAGTCAACAGGACCATTCTGTTGGGTATTAGCAGCAGGATTCTGAGCTACTACCCCAGAATCTTTCTGCAATGAAGATATTAGTTTGTAAACAATGCTGACCCACATACATTTTTAAAGAATCCTGCAGCTAGTACCTAATACATTGGGTCATTAAAGGAACAGTTTGCCACAGTTTATCCTGGATATTGAATGAAATGTCCCAAAATCACTTTACGGTCCAAGTCTAATCTTTGTTGATCACAGATGACTGGCGAATCCAATAGCAGCGACAAGACTGACGAGATGAACAAGAGATATCAGCGACAGGTCTCAGCGCTTTACTCCAGTGGGCGACTGTGGGACGACGGGATTATTCTACCGCAGCACACACGCCAGGCATGTAACGACTTAAACCCACTTAGGATCATTTGCAATTACCCCGGAAAAGCACCTACTGGTGGCATGGGTGGCTTGTGCGTAAAGCGCTCGCCTCTCACCAAGGTGACCATGGTTCGAATCCTGGCCGTGGATCACGTGTGAGTAGAGTTGTGCGTTGGTTCTCTCCTGTGCCACGAGGGTTTTTCTCCAGGCCCTCCGGTTTTCCTCCCTCCAGAAAAATCAAACACTTTCGATCTCAGGCTGTGCTCCGTGGTCATATATGGGTCGATGTGGCCGGCAGCCATAGGCGCCTTTACATGCCAGCGGCTGGACCACGTTGTAGCCGCGTCCTTCGCAATTCAGCATATTAGCTGCGAGTAAGGATGATTAGCCTCCTAAATTATTATTATTATTATTATCTAATAACAGAAACCTTGCTGGAAGTGAAGATAGTACTGGTATCAAATACCCAGTGAAGTTATTCCGCCTGAAATTGTATCATTACAAAGAAAAGAACCATTAAAGTGTGTCAGTGGGCACACTTTTACGTGCATTAGCAACAGAATCTATGTTGTTATTTCTGTTGACTTCTTTTTTAATTATTCCTGTTCCCAGGTTCTTGGCATGTGTCTTAGTATCGTCTCGCAACGTAGGGAGGATGGCTACACGGACTTTGGCGTCTTCAGGATGTGAGAGCTGGACGGTGGCATCATTCATCAAGCTGGTATCCCGTGAACTGGTGTCCATTTTTGATTTTCATAACCTGACTACCCCAAAGCCTCCCAAAATTACGATTTGGAGCACGGAAGATCAGCAGCTAAAGTTTACAAAACATTTGTCATATATTGTGCATTCTGATTTTGTTGATTTATTATCATAGAGCTATATTAAATTACTAGAGCGCTAACTCCTCATTCTTGCGCGCGGAGCGCTTTGAAGCCGTCCTGGGCGCAGACATTTTGAATTTATGTGCGTGTTTGTAGAACACAATCAAAATAGATGGATTGAATTTTAAAAGTGTACTCTAAATGCAACGCACGGTAGAAGATACGCAAATAACTTAAGCACGTCATGACGGTTCAAAAAACGTTACGGTGAAAAGCATCTGCAGCGGAGGGATGCGCACGCGTTGCGCTGTTTGCGTAGAGCAAAATGCAACGCACATTTGCTGATCGTGCGTTTCGGTTTGGGCGTATCGGCTTTGATGACGCACTGGTATGGAATACCAACGCAGATATGCAAATAGCCGTACAAAGCCGTACAAAATTTCAAGTTTTCCATAGGTTTGTGCACAAACATGGATGCGCCCATCAGGCATTACTTTGTACATCGAGTTAGTGCTCTAGTAATTTAATATACACGTAGCTCTATGATTATTATGATTTTATTTTTGGTAATGAAACCAAGGATTCCTCCAAAGCGCCCTAGGCACTGTAGCTCGCTAGCCTGAAGAAACCTGAAGTAAGCAATATTTTTTTCCGATTGGGAGATGAGATTCGGCCTTAGACTCTATTCTAGAACTGAAGAGGGCGCTTTGTTGTGAAGGCCACAACGCAAGTGCGTATAGATTCAGCAGGCACTTTCCGATTGAATGTGTGCACGAACATGTAGTGGGTGTGTACAGTTTACGCAATGGCACACGGTATCCTTTGAAGGAATATAGTATCATTTGCATTTATCCTAAAAGTAACCTGCAAAATGATTACCAAAAATCTTACTTGGATTAATGGTAGTACTGGTGCTAAACGCCCCGTGAAATTATTCCGTCTGGCTTGCTGTCATGTAGAGGAAATCAAGAAATGTAGGTGATTTCTAATGATCAGTCAATTGACTGATTGTTGAAAATAAAGAGTAATCTCTGACACCGGCCATCTTTTCAAAATACCAATTTCATTTAGTACACCCATGATGGAATTTTTGTCTTTAACAAAGATGGTTGTGTCATCGGCGTATTGGGCGGTTTAGATTTGCATTCGATTTCTATCTTGATCTATCTGAATACCTTTGATGTTTTCGTTAGCTTTAAAGGGAATATACAACATTTGCAAACATCGAAAAATAAAACTACCAAGTTTTTACGAAATACCTTACTTGGATGTTGGTAAATGACAGTCAACAGCATCCTGTAAAATTATGGCACCTGGTGTGAAGTCATTTTCAAGAAAAGTGGTATTTTTGTATACATTTCCAACAGTGGTCGGCCGATCACCGTTGAAAAAACCTAACTATTTTTCAACTTCTGCTTCAAATTTACCATTTTTTCAGTCCAAATTTTGTATGATATTGGTATGAATGGGTGCAGGCCAGCTTCACTGGTTCCCTTACCGTATAATTTTCCGGCATCTATGAATTGATCCATTTTATCCTTAGTGAAGTCAGGGAACCAGACTACTTGAACATTTTCGTTTTTCTTGGTTTTTCCAGTATTTTTCGAACACAAAACTTCAAACATGTCAGTGTAACAACATTTGATCTATTAGACTAACCCCTCAAGTAGTTCATTTCTGAAAATTACAGCAAAAGCCAATGATGTACATTCCCTTTAATCTTTAATGAAATCGTGTTTCGTGATCAAAAGGTTGTGCATGGTTTTCATTTTTCTCGAAAAGTGTAATATCCACTGAGCTGAAACTTCAACAGGTTAGGTTTTGAAAGTTCTTTTTTTGATTTTAAATGGTGTTATTATTGGAGCAACAAAATGCATGAAAAATAATGCATGAAATGCAAATGATCATACATGCCTTTAAAATTTTATAGGTTGCAGTTTAAACTGCTAGCAGTACACATGTAGATATTCATAGACTCCTTAGCATAAAAAGTGCATTACCAACATGACCAATGCAAAAACATTTTTTTTTGTTAATTTGTTTTGTTTAGTTTTATAATGCACTTGATCCACACTGACATTTTTAATTTTGACTGGTGAACAAAACTCATCTTTTTCTTGGGGAAATTTGTATAAGAAATGTTCATGTTTTGTAAATTGTATGGAAAATTGGCACTGAAAAACTACTGTAATATAGCATCACCTTAAGATTCATTACTAGGATTTTTACATGATAAATCTACGAGCATGTCAAAGTTGAACGTCTCATTTTAACTTTGTGGTATTTCATCAGTTGATTATGCTATGGGTCAGCCTCATGTTTTATAAATTATTATTGATGGACCATGAATAAAGTCAATTGCATTATAACGATATTAAAAACTTGTTGGCCAGTTTTATTTTGCGGCTTCGAGTTGAGTTTTTTAGTTGCAATTCATTTTGAGAAATTGATATTTGACCTTTGAAAAATAAAATCGCAAGCTTAACCCCTTGCAATTAATTTCTTTTTAGAAATTGATTTGTGACTTTGATCAAAATGCAAGGTTAACCTCTTGAATTTGTATTTTTGGAAAATTTGATTTGCGATTAATTTTTGATAAAAATACAAGGATAACCCCTTGCAATGAATTTTTTTAGAAATTGATTTGTAAGTTACAAATTTTTGATAAAAAATGCAAGGTTTAACCCCTTGCAATTTTGTCTTTCAGAAATTGATTTGTGACAAATTTTTGAAAAAAGTTCAAGGTTAATCCTTACAATATATTTTGGGGTTTGAGAAATTGATTTCTGCACATTGTTGATAAAAGTATAAGGTTAAACCCTTGCAAATTTTGTTTTGAAATTGGTTCCTCAGTTGTGTTTTTAGTGCAAGGTAAATCCGTTGCAATTAATTATATTCTAAGAGACATTGATTTTGACGAATTTTAGATAAAATACAAGGTTAATTCCCTTACCATCAGTTTCCTTTTCTTGAGAAATTGATTTGTGGCAAATTTTGATAAAAGTGTAAGGCTAACCCCTTGCTAGTAATTTTTCTTGAGAAATTGATTTGTGGCAAATTTTGAGAAAAGTGTAAGGCTAACTTGCTATTCATTTTTCTTGAGAAATTGCTTTGTGGCAAACTTTGATAAAAGTGGAAGGCTAACCCCTTTGAATTTTTCTTGAGAAATGTCTTTTTTGGAAAATTTGGATAAAAGTGTAAGGCTAACTCCTCGCTTTTCATTTTCCTTGAGAAAATGTCTTTTTTTGGCAAATTTGGATAAAAGTGTAAGGCTAACCCCTTGCTATTCAGTTTTCTAGAGAAATTGTCTTTTTTTGGCAAATTTGGATAAAAGTGTAAGGCTAACCCCTTGCTTTTCATTTTTCTTGAGAAATTGTCTTTTTGGGCAAAATTTGATAAAAGTGTCAGTCTAACCCCTTGCTTTTCATTTTTGGAAAATTTGGAAAATTTGGAAAAAAGTGTAAGGCTAACCCCTTGCTTTTCATTTTTCTTGAGAAAATGTCTTTTTTGGCAAATTTGGATAAAAGTGTAAGGCTAACCCCTTGCTAGTAATTTTTCTTGAGAAATTGCTTTGTGGCAAATTTTGATAAAAGTGGAAGGCTAACCCCTTGCTGTTCATTTTTCCTTTAGAAATGTCTTTTTTGGCAAATTTGGATAAAAGTGTAAGGCTAACCCCTTACTTTTCATTTTTCTTGAGAAATTGATTTGTTGCCAATTTTGAGAAAAGTGTAAGGCTAAACCCTTTGAATTTTTCTTGAGAAATGTCTTTTTTGGAAAATTTGGATAAAAGTGTAAGGCTAACTCCTCGCTTTTCATTTTTCTTTAGAAAATGTCTTTTTTGGCAAATTTGGATAAAAGTGTAAGGCTAACCCCTTGCTAGTAATTTTTCTTGAGAAATTGCTTTGGGGCAAATTTTGATAAAAGTGTAAGGCTAACCCCTTGCTATTCATTTTTCTTGAGAAATTGTCTTTTTTGGCAAATTTTGATAAAAGTGTAAGGCTAACCCGTTGCTATTCATTTTTCTTGAGAAATTGTATTTTTTGGCAAAATTTGATAAAAGTGTCAGTCTAACCCCTTGCTTTTCATTTTTCCGAAGAAAAAAAATTTCGGCAAATTTGGCAAATTTTGATAAAAGTGTAAGGCTAACCCCTTGCTTTCCATTTTTCTTGAGAAATTGTCTTTTTTGGCAAAATTTGATAAAAGTGTAAGTCTAACCCCTTGCTTTTCATTTTCTTAAGAAAAACAAATTATCGAATTTGGAAAATTTGGATAAAAGTGTAAGGCTAACCCCTTGCTTTTCATTTTTCTTAAGAAATTGTCTTTTTTGACAAATTTGGATAAAAGTGTAAGGCTAACCCCTTGCTTTTCATTTTTCTTTAGAAAATGTCTTTTTTGGCAAATTTTGAAAAAAGTGTAAGGCTAACCCCTTGCTATTCATTTTTCTTGAGAAATTGTCTTTTTTGGCAAATTTTGATAAAAGTGTAAGGCTAACCCCTTGCTTTTCATATTTCTTGAGAAATTGATTTGTGGCAAATTTTGATAAAAGTGTAAGGCTAACCCGTTGCTATTCATTTTTCTTGAGAAATTGTCTTTTTTGGCAAAATTTGATAAAAGTGTCAGTCTAACCCCTTGCTTTCCATTTTTCTTGAGAAATTGTCTTTTTTGGCAAATGTTGATGAAAGTGTAAGGCTAACCCGTTGCTTTTCATTTTTCATGAGAAATTGTCTTTTTTGGCAATTTTTGATAAAAGTGTAAGGGGCAAACCCCTTGCTTTTCATTTTCTGAAGAAAAAAATTTCGGCAAATTTGGACATTTTTGATAAAAGTGTAAGGCTAACCCCTTGCTTTTCATTTTTCTTGAGAAAATTTCTTTTTTGGCAAATTTGGATAAAAGTGTAAGGCTAACCCCTTGCTATTCATTTTTCTTGAGAAATTGTCTTTTTTGGCAAAATTTGATAAAAGTGTCAGTCTAACCCCTTGCTTTTCATTTTTCTGAAGAAAAAAAATTTCGGCAAATTTGGAAAATTTGGATAAAAGTGTAAGGCTAACCCCTTGCTTTTCATTTTTCTTGAGAAATTGTCTTTTTTGGCAATTTTTGATAAAAGTGTAAGGCTAACCCCTTGCTTTTCAATTTTCTTGAAAAAATGTCTTTTTTGGCAAATTTTGATAAAAGTGTAAGGCTAACCCCTTGCTATTCATTTTTCTTGAGAAATTGTCTTTTTTGGCAAAATTTGATAAAAGTGTAAGGCTAACCCCTTGCTTTTCATTTTTCTTGAGAAATTGTCTTTTTTGGCAAAATTTGATAAAAGTGTAAGGCTAACCCCTTGCTTTCCATTTTTCTTGAGAAATTGTCTTTTTAGGCAAAATTTGATAAAAGTGTAAGTCTAACCCCTTGCTTTTCATTTTTCTTAAGAAAAACAATTTCGGCAAATTTGGAAAATTTGGATAAAAGTGTAAGGCTAACCCCTTGCTTTTCATTTTTCTTGAGAAATTGTCTTTTTTGGCAAATTTGGATTAAAGTGTAAGGCTAACCCCTTGCTTTTCATTTTTCTTTAGAAAATGTCTTTTTTGGCAAATTTTGAAAAAAGTGTAAGGCTAACCCCTTGCTATTCATTTTTCTTGAGAAATTGTCTGTTTTGGCAAATTTTGAAAAAAGTGTAAGGCTAACCCCTTGCTATTCATTTTTCTTGAGAAATTGTCTTTTTTGGCAAATTTTGATAAAAGTGTAAGGCTAACCCCTTGCTTTTCATATTTCTTGAGAAATTGATTTGTGGCAAATTTTGATAAAAGTGTAAGGCTAACCCGTTGCTATTCATTTTTCTTGAGAAATTGTCTTTTTTGGCAAAATTTGATAAAAGTGTCAGTCTAACCCCTTGCTTTCCATTTTTCTTGAGAAATTGTCTTTTTTGGCAAATGTTGATGAAAGTGTAAGGCTAACCCGTTGCTTTTCATTTTTCATGAGAAATTGTCTTTTTTGGCAATTTTTGATAAAAGTGTAAGGCTAACCCCTTGCTTTTCATTTTCTGAAGAAAAAAATTTCGGCAAATTTGGACATTTTTGATAAAAGTGTAAGGCTAACCCCTTGCTTTTCATTTTTCTTGAGAAAATTTCTTTTTTGGCAAATTTGGATAAAAGTGTAAGGGTAACCGCTTTCAAGTTAGTTAATTTTGAGAACCTGATTTGTTACCAATTTCCTGATAAAAGTGTAAGGTTAACCCTTTGCAAATGTTTTTTTAGACACTGATTTGTGAATTTTTTTAAATATAAAAGCGCAAGATTAACCCCTTGCAATAATTTTTGTGTTCTTTCTGAAAAATAGATTTTCAACCAATTTTGATAAAAATGCAAGGTTTAACCCATACAATTTATGTAAGATGTAAAATGGGACCCAATTTTTATGAAATGCAACTTTAATAATGCCTTGCATTCAAATTTTGAGAGTTGTAAATTTGAAGTAATATTAGATTCCATTAAAAATGCAATGTTAACCCCTTGCAGTTCTAAATCAAAAAAGGCATCGTATTCTAAAACAATTTTCTTAAAGTTGAACTCTTAGGATTTAACCAATTTCATAGAATATTTTTCAATCAAAATTAGCCAAGCTTTAGACTTGCTTCTTTTTCCAAAATTGAAAAATAATCAAAGAAAATAGACATACAAGTGTACAATGTTACCAGAAGTCAGATGAAAAGTTATTTAATACCTTTGAATGCTTACATTTCCAAAATTTAAGAAAGGGTTAACAATATGATGATAAACCTTAGTTGACGAGAATGAAATGAAAAATGTTACACAGAGACAAAGTGCAACTTTTGTTTTAAAATAGTTACTGTAGTCATACAAACAGCATTCGTTATTTAGTACTTTACTTTAGTGCAAATGGTTGACAGGAAAATGTATTTCAAGAAATGGTAACTACAAGAGGAAGGTTTCAGCTCAAAACAAATTAATAAAAGAAAAACATGGCAATATTCTGGGTAATAATACATTTGACAAATTTCAGGGTAACATGAATAAAACTGATAAAACTAAAATAAAACTGACCGACAGCATATGTTGGCATGTTGGTATCACCTGTAAGGCAGTTTGGTCAGAGACAGATTGAGAAATGCCCAAGTTTATTCAAAGAAATGGACCAAAAATGCGCTTTGAATCCCACGGACTACCAAAGTTTGGATGGAATCTCAAAAAAACGTCATCCTTTTGTTATGGCAGTTAGGCAAAATATGAAGCCGCCTCAAACTTGCAACGACACAGAAAAGTCAGCGACTGGCTTTTGAGAATCAAAGCAACGACCATCGGGAACAAATCAGTCGACAATTTTTTTGCGACCTGATGAGTGTAACTGCGAAAGCCGAGTGGCATCAGTCGGTACTCCAAAAAAATCAACAGTCGCATGAGTAGGACAATTCCAACTTCTGCGCCGCGACGGGACGTGTTCCCGACAGGCGGGAATCAATCGCAGTCAGCCTATGTGAAGTTACTGGATCATCTTATTTTACTGTGAATCGTCATCACGTCATGGGTGACATGATCAAAGTTGCGATTATTTTATGTTGAGATACTGCTTGTTTCCGGACAATCACACAATTTCTCAGTTTTGTGACCCACAGAGCATGACTTTTCTGCTTGATGCTGAAGGCTCTGTCGCGGCGCAAGCAAATCGCAGGTCGACCTGAGGCCGGCTTATAATATTAAGGTTCATTTAATAAACATAACAAAATCTCCTTCCGTTGTTTGTACACAATTCTAATTTCAGGGCATTGATCAGAGATACTTTTCAACACCTCAATAATATTTATACAAAAAAAAATTGGCAACATTACACTGAACGTAATTTGTCTCACAATGTTCAGCAAACTGCAATCTACAGCCTCTAGTCTAATTTCAGCGCAATGAACAAATTCAAAAACGTTTAAAATAACTGAGTATTTCAAAAAAATAATACTATACAAAAAGGTTGCAACATACAAACATAGCCCAGCAAGTACTTTAAATTTTCTATGGATAAAAGCAACAATGCTTTCAACATTTCAGAAACCTTTTTTGGGGAAAGATCCTGCACAAGTGAGTGTCTAATTTCTAGGTCAGAACGTGATTACATTAAAGAAAAAAACAAAAGAATTTTGAACGTTTCTAAAACCAAGGATTAATTAAACAGAATGTCAACATAGTAATTTCATGTTTAGCTATGTTTTAGGAACCAAGTCTATCACGTTCAGTTCAAAAATGTACTCATTAATGCCCCAAATTACAGGCAGTACACGTATATATTGAAGGAAATTTTGACAGCACCAGAAAATCCATGGATAAACTCCAGCACAAAGGGGCCACATGACAATTGAATAACGTGTACGGTTAAAGTTTCTCTGTTCTGTGATGACACAGTGAACAAAAAAACGGTCTGAAAGCTCATTTTTTTTTCCATTTAGCTTTTTAAATATTCAAAAAGAGTTGCCTGGTTTTAGTGCGTGCAGGTCTATTATAAAGCATCACCGAAACACAAAGGGCAGAATGCTGTCAAAACAGTTATACAATTAAACATCAGATAGCATTTTTCTTTCTTACTTTTATTACTTTTATGAACATAAAAAGTACAGGGCAAGTCAAAAAAAAGAAGGAAACCAAACTGGCAGGACCAACTTTGTAATGAAATTCTGCATGTACGGGTAGCACTATCAAAATATAGGATATGAAAGCCCAAATAATAAGCTTTCTTTTAGTACAAGAATCATTCAAATCACTCATGTACTTTTCAAGCTACAAATTTTAAACACAACCACTGTTTTAAAGTTCTGTCCACGGATCACAAAAAAATAGCAATTGTCGTCGACATGCTTTTCCACCAAAAAGTTGCAAGAATATCAAGTCAATGGAATTACCTTAATTTATCCTCATATTTACATAAATCTTGAGAGTATGTATGAAAGTACTTTAAAATATACTTATCATATTATATAATATCATTACTGAAAAACTGAATTTTTTTTGTTGTTAAAATAAATTCTAGTACTTTTGAATTAGATAACCCTGATTAGAATATCGTGAATTCATTGCATCACTCATTAGAAACCGGATTGTACAATTAGTATGCTACGAACAAAAGTACATGTGTAGTACTGTTTGCTAATTGATGATTTTGTTTAATATAAAAATATACAGGCAATTTGATATCATCACAAGACGCAAAATAGGAAAGAGTACTTTGAGCATTCGGATTATGGTTTCCATTAAAAATGAAAAAAAATAAAATATTTTCACAATAAGATGTTCACCCTTACAAAGGGATCCCTGTTTTGTCTTAAAATTATAGAAACGGCCTTTTACTTTTGAATAAGGCCAATTAAAAAATGAAATAAAAGATTATCATCAGCATGGATCGACGGCTCCTGCATAAAGGTACCATTATACTGTACATTTTAAGCAGAAGAAGTTAAATCCATCTGCTTTAGGATGCAGCAATGCTTGGCCAACATCAATCCTTAGAATCCATCCACTGGCAGGAGGTACAAAACATGGCTACCCTCATCCCTGCCCCGACAGATTCGCAAGACTTACACATAGTACTGTTAGAATTCCTAGTACAAATTAAACAAATCAGCCTAGCATTTTGCATTACGTTTTTGCATGTTTTAGAAAAATCTGGGTAAATATTTCGGCAGAATCTTGAGATGGCGAATACAACAATGGCATGCACCGTTTAATGCAAAATGTAGTGCTTGAAAGTTTATACAAAACATGACACGTTTCTGATACCTTTTTTCACTACGCCCAAGACTCGTTTTCTGCATCAGGTTGGAATGGGAGCGCGGATTCCTCAGGCTGAGCGCGAAGAAGCATCTCAAGGCTAGAGGGCTGCCCAGATGTCTGTTCTGGGGTGTGCCCTGGGGTTTGTCCTTGGGTCTGCCCGGACGCCTGTCCTGGGACATGTCCTGCTTTGTGTCCTAGGTTGTGCCCTGGGGTCTGTTCTAGGGTCTGCCCCTGCTTAGGAATCAGGCAATCATCCAGGACATCTTCGTCGCTCTTGTTTCCGTCTTCGGAAGGCACAGGATGTGGCTGTCGCAGAACGTCTCTCCCACCCCTAGCGGCGTTGGAATTATTGCTGTTGAGTTGCTGCGACGGTACCCGGTTATGACTGGACTCATACAGGGGGTTGGTAAACCCCTTCCCGTCCGGCTTGGCTTCAGTGGGTGGGGGCGCCATCTGGTTGTACATGGGGTTGTTGAACCCTGACGGGTCATCGTGGTGAAGCACACCACCGTAGATGTTGGCCGTGGCAAAGGCAAAGCCACCGACTGAGCTGTTTGTTGGCACATACTGAACTGAACCCAGCTCTGTCAAACAAAACAAAAATAACAAGAAGGAAAAATAAAACAATCAATCAACGACTTCTTGGCTTGCTTGTAGAAATGAATATGCTTACAATTTGGGAGAAAAGAGCATGGGGAGACAGGAGCCAGTCGACACTTGACAAAACCATGTCTTGCAAATCACCCTACGTTCAGACTGTCGATACTCCCAACACCCTACAGGACATATGACCTACCAGGAGACATGACTATCTGGTTACTGTCCGGGGCGTTCACCACCGTCACTCCTGTGGGTTCTGCTTCTTGTACCGCCTCATCACCTGTCTTCTGCTCCTTGGCAAAGTTGATGAACACCTGCAAAGATGGGACATAAAAGTGAAGTCATTTACAGTTATGTACAAACAAACCAATGCATGGTTATGGACTCCAACCCATTAGCACCTCTACAGTGTATTACACTGCATTTATTTCCCTGTTGATTCCAGAAATATAAGAGTGCTTGGGTTTTTTTGGGTGATAAAGGGAGCAATAGGTAGGGCAGTTTAGGGTAGTACAGGGATACAGGCAGGTGGTTTGGGGCACTACAGGGAATAACAGGCACCAAGGTTTGGGGCAGTACAGGGAGTAACAGGCAAGGCGGTTTTGGGGCAATACAGAGAGTAGCAGGCAGGGTGGTTTGGGTCAGTACAGGGAGTAGCAGGCAGGGTGGTTTGGGGCAGTACAGGGAGTAACAGGCAGGGTGGTTTGGGGCGGTACAGGGAGTAACAGGCAGGGTGGTTTGGGGCAGTACAGGGATTAACAGGCAGGTCGGTTTGGGGTAATACAGGGAGTAACAGGCAAGGCAGTTTTGGACAGTACAGGGAGTAACAGGCAGGGCGGTTTGGGGCAGTACAGGGAGTAACAGGCAGGGCGGTTTGGAGCAGTACAGGGAGTAACAGGCAGGAGGGTTTTGGGCAGTACAAGGAGTAACAGGCAGGGGGGTTTGGGGCAGTACAGGGAGTAACAGGCAGGGCGGTTTGGGGCAGTACAGGGAGTAACAGGCAGGGCGGTTTGGAGCAGTACAGGGAGTAACAGGCAGGGCGGTTTGGGGCAGTACAGGGAGTAACAGGCAGGGCGGTTTGGGGCAGTACAGGGAGTAGCAGGCAGGGTGGTTTGGGGCAGTACAGGGAGTAACAGGCAGGGTGGTTTGGGGCAGTACAAGGAGTAACAGGCAGGGAGGTTTGTGGCAGTACAGGGAGTAACAGGCAGGGTGGTTTGGGGTGGTACAGGGAGTAACAGGCAGGGAGGTTTGGGGCAGTACAGGGAGTAACAGGCAGGGTGGTTTGTGGCAGTACAGGCAGTAACAGGCGTGGTGGTTTGGGGCAGTACAGGGAGTAACATGCAGGGTGGTTTGGGGCAGTACAGGGAGTAACAGGCAGGGTGCTTTGGGGCAGTACAGGGAGTAACAGGCGTGGTGGTTTGGGGCAGTACAGGGAGTAACATGCAGGGTGGTTTGGGGCTGTACAGGAAGTAACAGACAGAGCAGTACAGGAAGTAACAGGCAAGCCAGTTTGAGGTCGCGTACAGGGAGTAACAGGTAGTTTAGTTTGGGGTGTTAAGTACAGGGGGTAACAGGCAGGGTGGCTTGGAGCAGTACATGGAGTAACGGGCAGAACTTTTTGGGGCGGTACAAGGGAGTACCAGGCAGGATGATTGAGGGTGGTTCAAAGACTAATGGGTTATTGGTTTATTGTCAGAGGAACTGGGAAGGTAAAGGGATTTAGTTCTAAGCAGTCATCGTCCACTCTACTCACCTGATCTAGAGTTGTCTGGCAGATGGAGTAATCCTCAATCATAAATCGTTCCTTGTTGGCCCCAAAGACACCAAAGACCTTGGCCAGGGAGGTGCTGGCGGTAGGCATCTGGTACTCCAGCATGTTGAAGTGTCGTTCACGGAGGACAGTGTGCGGGAACATTTCCGCCACGAAGCACATGAGTGGCTCCATGCGGGGCGGGTCACCACCAACGCGGATGGATATGGTGTAGCCGTCACCAAACCTGAGATAAAAAAAGTAGTCCACATTGTGAAAACCAAAATGAGTCTTTTTTTTTATCTAATGAGATATTCTTAGACATTCCGTTTGAAATTGTACAGCCACAGAACAATTCAGAGTTTTTCTCAAGCCTGACTTACTTGGATTTGAGATGCTGTGTGCTGCCGATGCATTTGAAACGTCCGTTGACCATGATGGCGACACGGGTACACAGGGCTTCACATTCCTCCATACTGCAAAACACAAACACACAACTCGGGTAAAACTGTGTCATCTTCTTGCTATAGCTTGCTGTTATTAACCCAAAACCTAACTCTGTTAGTTATTAATAACAAAATTTGTGGTTCTTAAGTTTGAAGGTGTTGAACAGCAGATTGGACTTTCATTCCATAGATGCACAGAATCATATCATCCTGAAGATTTGAATGAAGTACATGAAAAGTTCAGTGTTTGATACATGAGTGACTACATTGTGAGTTTGACTGCTGCAGCAGTTCCGAACATCTCAAAACTCTTGTCTGTTCGTCTGTCTGAAACTAAAATTCTACTTGGTTTGGCGTGACTCTGAAACACCAGTCTGAAATGGGTGTTACTCTGAAAGATGTGCGTGGTTCAGCAAAAGACTAGAAGTATTAAATCTTTAAAGGCATATATAGAATCATTTGCTTTTCATGTATTTTGATCGTTTCCAATGATAACACCACTCAAAATTCACAGAAGAATGTTCGAAACTTAACCTGCTGAACTTTCAGCTCAGTGGATATTACACTTTTCGAGAGAACAGTGAAAACCACGCACACAAACTTTGATCACGAAACACAAGTTCTTCTTTAAACTCTTTCTTTTCAAAAATCAGTCAATCCAATGATCGTTGGAAATCACATACATTTCATGATTTCTTCTAAATAACAGGCATGCCAGACCGAATTATGTCACAGGGTGTTTAGTACCAGTACGATCTTTAATCAAAGAAACATTTTTGATAGTAATTCGGTAGGTTACTTTTGGGATAAATGCAAATGATCCTATATGCCTTTAAAACCACACTTCTCTTGTTCAATTGTTTATCTGCAAACTTCTACCAAATTGCAATCTCCCGCTTGCAAAGCCTCAAATCACATTTAATGAGACTTCGGCTGCAACCAAATGACTCGGCTGCGGCTGTCAGTAACACACATGTCTATGAGTAGTGGCTGTAGCCATATCCATAGCCATATGTGTAATGCAAGCCATATATCTATGGGTAGTGGCTGTAGCCACATGTGTAATGCAAGCCATATATCTATGGGTAGTGGCTGTAGCCACATGTGTAATGCAAGCCATATATCTATGGGTAGTGGCTGTAGCCACATGTGTAATGCAAGCCATATATCTGTGGGTAGTGGCTGTAGCCACATGTGTAATGCAAGCCATATATCTATGGGTAGTGGCTGTAGCCACATCCATAGCTGCATGTGTAATTGCAAGCCACAGCGAGGTCATTCAGAGCAGCCTAAGATAAAGAGAAGTGCAGCACTGTTTCGGCTAAGCCGCCTGCAAGTTTCTGCAACCCCGCCCCTTAGGACTCAAGCTGTACCTATGTGATGTGAGTATGATGGAGCGTCCTTCTTTGATGATGCTGGTGATGCGATTCCAGAGGAAACGTCGAGCCTTAGGGTCCATGCCGGTCGTCGGTTCATCCTAAACAACAAATATGAAAACATTCATTCTCATACCCAACATAGTATTTTTCCAAGGTAAAACATTATTACACATTGGTTTATTTCCATCTCATTAAGGCAATTAAACCTATACTCAAGCAGTCAAATTGAAGAAATCAACGTTTGCTCTAACAGGTTATAAGAAAGTCAAATGCCCAACTGACAGAAAAAGTTCACTTTTTTTCCAGGGGAATATTTAAAGGGGAGCCAAGGCCATTGATAGTCTATGGAACAGACGTTTGCACGGCAAGTGTCTGATGCATGCAGATTATGCAAAAAACAACACTGCGTCTTGGCCTCCAGATTCTGAACATTCAGCGATCGCCTTCTATTGTATCTTAGGTAACCCAATGTATGCGACAAGCATACCAGCTATTGACCAATCAACAGCTTTGGCCGAACTTCTGCTCTGAATGCTGTCATAACTTCTAAAGACGGCTCCATTTGGCTGGCTCGCGGAGTCGCAGAAAATTGACATGCACAGATATATCAGACGTTTGAAGGAACAACTGATCTACAGACAAGGCCATCGAGGGACAACTCACCAAGAATATCAGTTGAGGGTCTCCGATGAGAGCTATCGCTGTTGACAGCTTCCTCTTATTACCCCCACTGTATGTGCCTGCAACGCGCTTGGCGTACGTTGTCAGGCCAAGCTTCTTGATGCCCCAGTCCACAACCTGAACAAACAGACAGATAGTTGCAGTTTCGTAAATCCAAATTACAAATTTGAGTAACAAAATAAAACGGGTCTGATGCGACTGTTCTGGATTGGGAAAGAGTACGGCGCAGTTCAAGCTTTGGTTTTTTTTTACATAGAGATTCACCAAAAAGATTTACCAAAGCAGACAAAATGTTGTCAAGATCAAACAGTTCTCTTTTGAACCCCAACAGCGCTGCATTTGAATCTTCTAGTTTTAAAAGAGAGTTTCGAAAGAGAGTTTCAAAACAGAGCTCTGTCAATCTTTAATCCTATCCTACCTAGATCCTCCAAAATTGAAATAGTGGTTTTGGAGTTTATTTCATAGATTCAGGTGTTTTACTTTGGGCTCAGGACTTTATTTCAAATGGCGTGCGTGGGAGTCGATGTTACAATTTTGTTCGACTACATAATATGTAGTAAGTAAAGTAACGTGTGTCACAAGCCAATATGGCCCGTCAGGCTGGCGTTTATCCCCGGTTTCAGTAGCATGAAACGACTGAGAATATGTCTATTCCCCCTGAATGGGATGCCAGTCCATCGCAGCTTACTCCCCAGCTAAAGCCAGTATCCATTTATACTCCTGGGTGGAGAGAGGCAAGTGGGGGTGAAGTGGCTTGCCCAAGGACACAACATATGGCCAGCAGCTGGATTTGAACCCCCGACCCTCTGATCATGAGTCACGAACCCTAACAACTACTCCACACTCCCCGATAACAAAAGTGCCAAGTTATTTTATTGCAATGTTGGATTTTATTTGATTTGAGAATCTTTCTACGTATAAAAACAAATGTGTCCACGTACACTCTTGATATCCCGTTCCGGCACCCCTCGCAGCCTGGCGTAGAACGCCAAGTGTTCCTCCCCTGTCAAGAGCTCATTGAGAGCATCAAACTGAGGGCAGTATCCCACGCTGTGACTGATGCGCTTCATGTCTTGTAAGATGCTCAGCCCGTTGATGTACGCACAGCCGGAGGTGACCTGTGTGTCGCCGGTCAGCATGCGGAACGTGGTGGTCTTACCGGCACCGTTGACTCCCAGGAGGCCGAAACACTAAGGATTGAAACGAGAGAGTAACGGAAAGTCAGGAGCATAATCAAAGGGCTAATCAGTGCATTTTTTTTAATGCAATTCTTGAAAATGCACCTTTGTGTCCCCTTTAACATAAATTTTCGTTTTGCCATTTTCAAGGTTATTTTGTTACCTTTTTGGTTGTTATGCTAATGCAAATTTCCATATTCATGAGTAAAACTGTGATGTCATTTCAGGCAGAAACCTCAATGTTACAGCTATTTCAGCACTAAAAGTTGCCAAAATTTTGGATATTTTGCTGATGTAAATTTTTGTTCTTCTTTGGTGATTAGTTGTTGTGTCAGTACATGGCATTAAGCCAATGAGCAAATTTTTCTCACAAATATTTTCAATGAACAAACTTTTGGGTTTACACTTTGAACAGAAAACCCCTAATGTGAACAGTGTCTTCCAGATAATGACCTAACAGGAACAGTGCCCTCAGTTGTCCGGAAAAGCATGGACAATTTTAAACATACAAAGAAATAAACTTTTCAAAAATGCCAAACAGTTGAAAAGTTGCACAAAATGTGTTCTTAAGAAAAAATAATCTCATGGACTTAAGGCTTGAGGCCCCACCCCATGACACCCCCAGAAGAATAACTATCTATCTATTACAAGAATATCTAAATTTTTGATTTACTATCCCAAAACGCAGCAAAATATGACACCACACACAGCAGCAATAGTGTATGGCATATCCCATTTACACTATTTATTGAAAACATTGAAGTACGTTTACCTCTCCGCGTGGAATGCCAACACACATCCTATCCACTGCTCGACAGATGCCGCGACTCGTGTTGAAATCCTGAAAGAGACAGAGCGGTCAGATTAGTACCCAGATGAATGAAAACTGTAAAATGGAAATTAGTCAAATAAAACCGATTCAAAATTATTCAGTCAATTTTTAGTTTTTTGAATTCTTTGAAACTTAATACAAAGAATTGTTTTTGAACTAAAAAAATTTAGGAGATTGAACTTGAGTTTCTCATTTGGATTGATGCATCTCTCTAAAGATTTTGGGGCAATTCTAAAGATCATGGGTTCGAATCCAGCCAATGTGATTGCAGTACATGTGTCCTTGGGCAAGAGGCTTTATCCTAATGGCTTCTCCCCACTCAGGAGCAAATAGGTGCCTCTGAATGCAGGCATGATTATCATGTTTGAATAAGACATCTGCTCCACAATGACAGCATTAAACTCTTCATTTCCAAGAGAGCTGAGATGGTTTGAGGAATGCCTTATACGCCCGATGAACAGGGGTAATAATAATATCTAAATTGTTGTCCATACCTTGGTGAGGTTCTCCACCCTGACGACGTCGTCCGCGGCTCCTCCAGACAACACTCTGTGTCTCTCCCTCACCACGTCATCATCTTCATGAGCCAGGGGCACATGCTCCGATTTGATCAATCTGGGGAGAAAAGATGACGACAGTGAACATTTCATAATTTTAGAGTACGAGTTGTGCAGTCAAAATGGTGCCCGACCATGATTTTTGAAATATTGCTGGGTCTGGGAAAACTCCCACCAGGGTTGGTAATTATGGCATGATTTATAAAGGTCAGGACAAAATGTAAATTTTTCTAACAAATTTTGGCCAAATATAAAGTTGTCTTCCCTTCACTGATGCAATTTCATAAGCACTGCTAACTGAGTGCTGCCCGTAGTTTGCAAGAGGAAAATTCACTTTCTTACTTGGTGGGACTCAAACCCACGACCTCCTGCTTACTAGTGCAGACGTCTTACCACTCGACCACCCACCTTGCCGGGGTTGGCTGGCTGGTGCAAATCAGATTTTATTCTTACATTGAAGTTATTTTCTCCCCAATGAAAGAAATCCACCATACAAAACTTTGTGAATGTTCAACAGTACCTTGGTTTGAAGAAGAATTTGTGTTCAATGAGCAGCGTCAGGGCAAAGAAGACCACACCAGTGACTCCCAAGGCAAAGATGTTCCTGCCGACTAGGTCCCAGTCTAAGAGGTTGGGAGGAGACGAAACTATGTCCAGCAAATTCTCTGCACAGTCACAGAAAAACAAACAAAACAGGAGTAAAATAAAGGTTCACATTGACATTTGATGATAACTAGAACTGACCACAATCAATGAACACCGCCCATACATCATCCACGTATCCACTGATGGTATAGGTAATTCATGATGTTACCATTATAAAAAAATTGAACCCCCCCCCAAAAAAAACACCCCAGCTTCAGAATATCTACATACATTTTGAGGTTTGGAGCACCCATTCAGCCACGTGATGAAATAGCATGCAGTTTGATAAACGGGACCTGATCAAAACTTTCTCATTTTTGCAAATATGGCCATCATGGAACTTTACATAAAACATCTTCATTTCAATCATTCGTTGATAGTGAAAATCCAACTTTTTGATATGCACAATTTGGGGGCTTTCTTACCGTATTTACTCTCGACCTCGGCCTGCAGAGAGACGTTGGACATTTTCATCAGTCCTTCACCCAGACAAAACGGCGGGAAAATCAGAAATAGCTGCTTCAAGCTCTCGTTGGTTGCCAGCATGTTCTGTAAAAGAAATAAGAAGTTAATCACAAGTCAATCACAAGTCAATCACAAGCCAGTCACAAGTCAATCATACGTCAATCACAAGTCAATCACAAGTCAATCACAAGTCAATCACAAGCCAGTCACAAGTCAATCATACGTCAATCACAAGTCAATCACAAGTCAATTACAAGTCTGTCACAAGTCAGTCACAAGTCAGTCACAAGTCTGTCACAAGTCCATCACAATTCATTCACAAGTCAATCACAAGTCTATCGCAAGTCTATCGCAAGTCACTCACAAGTCATGTGGTATTGACATTGTGAGCAGGTTTTTAAAATATATATTTTTTCATTACTCTGTCATTTTTCACTGAGACACTTTGAGAAGGGATTATGTTCACCAAAACGCCTACTGAAGAGATTGTGTTCAAACGTAACACCCATGCAACGTCATACTGAAAAGTTAAGTAGCCTGGTAAGACACCACCAAAATAATGCGATGGCAATTAAGCAGAAAAGATTGCTTAAAAAATTCATGCGCTTAGCAAAAATCAGCCCTGTTAACCGAGAACCGGTTTAAAGGCTGTAGACATCCCTTGACTTTTTAGCCGGTAACCTGTGTTTGCTAACCAAAATTATTTTTAACGCTTAGCAGAATTTTGTGCTTAGCAGCTCTTTGAAATTCAACCCAAGGACACTGATCAATTCATTAACAAAGAGAAAACGTTGTCACGGATTATCGCAACGTACAGGATCATCCATTCCCAGGAATTCCAGGATAAATGTGGTCATGATGGTGACGATTCCAATCAGCATGTTGGAGCAGGCCATGGACAGATACGCCGTGCTGGGAGTTGAGAAAAAGAAGGACGCAGGGTAGGACATCGGTGTGATTGCCCATCTGTAAAATAAGAAAAAAAAATGATCAACAAAAATAGAAAATTTAACATTTTTGCCTCTATTAACTAATCTGCAGAACTGTTCTTATGACTATACGTAATTTTTATATCCCATGTTTTTTACTGATGAAAGGTTCTTTTATCTTCATAATTTTAACTGTTTTGAAACCATTTTATATAACTGTTTTTTTCCTTGTTCTTGTTTTTGTCCTTGTCTAGTCTTGAATGTAATGTATTGTCAGCCTTGTAATGTTCTGCTCATACAGACATTAGCCTAGGCTTGAATGTTATTTCAATCTTTGTTTTAATAAAGTTTGATTCAATATATATCATACAGCCAGCTATTATGGTCTGAAACTCACAACACAATGTGTTTATTCTGTCACGTCAAAGGGCTTTATTTCCGACTACACAGATTTGAGCTAGGAAAGAAAGGACTCAGGTTTCTGGACTCATTTAAGTGCAATGTCTTTTTCTTTTGGTTTGGGGTGGGGGAAGGGGTGGGGGCTGGCTATTCAAAGTGGACCAGGATTTCACTTGACATGCACGGTATCTCATTGGGGCCATTTAGTTATGAATATTGGGAATATTTTCACAGATTACTCAATTTGGCAGATTACTCAAACCATTTCCATCCACTTCAAATTGAAGGGGAAAAAATGAATTTTGATGAGTTTTTCAGGTGAATTCATATGACACATTAGAAATAAAAACAAAAAACAAAAACCGAACAAAACAACCACAATTCGGCTGTAATTCTTCTATACTTTTCACCAACCCATCAAGACAAAAATGATTTCAGCCCAAAAATTGTCTGGTTTCGGACTCACCCATACATCAACAGCAGAAGGACAGTGGCGGGTAACGCCTCCGTACTGACGAATGCTTTCTGATTGAAGCATTTAAACACCAACATGGTCAGGATGGCTGGGATGAGGTAGTTTATCTGTCAATGGAACGAAAGGACAGTTTTCATTAACCCCTTCCTTACCATGGGCGACTTTAGTCAATGAGGAAACCACACACAGAACACCCTCAACACAGATTTATTCACTGCTTTTCAGCAAGCTGCCATGTTGGTGTGTTTGCCGCCCATACATCAATCATATACCAGCTAAAAGTGTGTTTTAGGATTGTTCTAATGGTGTAGTTTATTCACAGTGTTACCATTACGATAATTTGAGACAATTGCTTGAGAAATATCCTTGCAAAATTTGAGGTATGGAGTGCCATTTGGTCAGGTGGTGAATGGCTTGCAGTTTATAGATAAATGGGACCAAATCAAGAAACAGGTATTTCTTAGTTTTGCACATTGTTCCTTAATTTTTTACTTCAAACAGACGTGCAACTGTGAAGTTACCCAAAACAAGAGGATATTCCAAATTTTACAAGACTTAGTACATTTTTTTTTCCAATTTTTAATGGTATAAGTGTGAGGTGAATAACGAAGAAAGCAGCTGATCCGAGAAAAACTTGCATGCCTGTTTAAATGAACGAGTAAAGTTCAAGGAACAAACATTACACACAACACTTTTGACTTGAATCACTCCCCGACTGGGAAAATATGGCTTGAAAAAAAAGTGAAACTTGTGGTAAATAAATTCATGCAAATAATTCAATAAACAATGTGGTATTTCTAATCAACTGACCAGGTCCCAGAGCAGGGTAGACACCCAGTACGTCGTGGGGCTGATGCCGCTGATGATCTGTAGATGCTTGGACTTGGACTCTCGTTCCGTAATCAGGAAGACTACGAAGCTGGCCGGGACGAAGGCGAGGGCAAACACCACGAAGATGGCTGTGCTCATGCTGATGGGCAGCTCTTTCCTGAAATGGGGGGGAAAATGACAAACGGAAAGGAATCATTGCCGTTGATCTGATTAAAATCAACTCAAATAACTTATTTCTCGAAAGCAGACATCTGAAACTCTTTGCTTTTGTATTTTGTTTCTTACTCTTTCTGATATAACACCAAGACTTTCAAAGGTGCACAGGCCTTAAAAACTTGGGCCGGTGGGGGGGGGGGGGGGGGGGGGAGGTATAGACTATGAAGAAATGAAAGAAAATTCAGAAGAAGATTACAGGGAAACTTACAGAATCAAGTAGGGAGTGAAAATCCAATCCACATGTGGATCAGGGCAGGATTCGAACCCGGGCCATAGAAGTGGAAGGCGAGGAAAGTACTGCTGCACTATACTGACTGCCCCCTCCCTTGTTTGAGAGGGGGATGGGGTGGGTGACAAGGGTGTATTCTGAAAAATTAACTCACATGATCATATCTTGCAGTTCGTCAGTGGTCAGATTGATAGGGTAGTTGTAGGTTGAGATGCCGTACTGATCTCGTTTGGACTCCTCAACGTTGCCACGGAACAGCATGTTGTTGGCGACGTTGATGAAGGCCGGTAGGGCGTGGTAGCCGTTGTTATCCCACCAAACCTGAGAAGAACAAAAGAAAATGACAAATCAGTGTTCCCTGTGAAAACAAGATCAGAAGATTGCTCGGGTGGGACTCGAACCCGCGACCTCCTGCTTACTAGTGCAGACATCTCACCACTCGACCACCGAGCTTGCCGGGGTCGGCTGCTTAGATTAAAGGTCGTAATTCTTTGCACGTGGTATAAATTTTATGGCTTCTGACTAACTCTCCAAAAATGACAACACACTGACAAATTCGAAAAGCTTTTAGTACAAGAGTTGGAACAACAGCTTAGCATTCTGTAGGCAGCAGATTTAAATCCCACTAAAAGCAAATTAAAGTGTTTGTAAACTGTATAAAAATAATTATAAAAACTTATAAAGCGCTGGTATCTAGATACACCTATTCACTACGCTGGGGTCTGCGATAACTTATGAAGAGGTAAGTTTTGAGACAAGTTTTGAAAGAGACAGCGTCAGGTCGTGATCTCATGGCTATTGGCAGACGGTTCCATAGGCGAGGGGCTGCGACAGAAGAAAAACTTCTGTGTCCAGAAGTCTTTAACTGGGAAGATGGAGCCACAAGCAAGTGTGCATCACTAGACATGCTGGAGCGTAGTTGGTGATGAGTTGTTGCGTGTAATGGGGCGCTGTTCCGTTGATAGACTGGTAGGTGATGTGGAGGAGTTTGAATATGTGACCGGCTCCACAAAAAAGGGTATTATGTCGCAAAAAAAATTGAGTTATATACATGGTTGGAAAGCCCACAATGTAAGCTTTCATTTGGTATATAATAGAGCTCCATGGCCCCTCCCGTTCTAGAGATATCATGTATTTGCATATTAATTACTTCCTTGGAGTTCAAATTACACAACTGAAAAAACAGGCTTTGAAATAGCTGGCTTTGTTGTAGAACAACAGAACGATGCACACAAAATGGTTGTTTTTTTCCACTTTGTTCATCAAAATCAACGTTTCTGTGAATGAAACCTGAAACTGTAGGTATTAAAGATGACATTCATGACAAAAAAATGAAGATCACATTTTGACAAAATGTTCACCCTCTCAGTGTTGAACGGGTCATTACACAATGATGCACAGCGCGACTTAATACCCTTTTTGTGGAGCCGGTCACATATTATGCGTTGCTCAATATGTACGTTGAGGAAAACATTGGAAACGGTTCACACTTACCTTCATGTTTTTAAAGCGAGCTAGCGATAGCATCACCGAGTAGATGTCATCCATGGTGATATCTGTAGGTAACAGGTCCTGTTGAAAAGAAAATATGGATTGAAATCGTTTCACTTGAACTTTTGTATTATAGGCTTGGTTGCCATTACAGAAACTGTTTTAGTTCAGATCGTTCATTTCAAAAAGACTTTTTGAGTTCCAAGCAACTTGTTTCAGACTGCTTTTGGACACTTGGGTTGATCTGTCACAAATGGAAGAGTTTTAGAAAAGGGATAGTAAGTCCGAATTTCAGCCCAGGAAATTAATCCTTGTTTAAATAAGAGCATTTTGAAGTTAGTACACAAGAACAAAGAAATGTCTCCACAAGGATACAAATTTCAGTATGTATGCGTGTGCGTGTGTGACGCAGCCACTTATCAGCCTCGTGTCAATTGTCCACTGACTTAATTCCTTCGACTATAGAAAACTCCCAAAATGAATACGAGTTCACCAAACTCACGTCAACTGGGCCGGGGAGGTTGACATCGGAAGGGACTTTAGTGCTATCCCAGTCTGCAAGTAACTCCGAGCTGATGTTGGGTGTAAGTGGAGCCAAGTCGTCCGTGTCTAGGAAACTCACTCCTCCAAACCTGATGGACAGCAAAAAAATTGATTGATGGACAAATTGTCCATTATAGAAATGAACAAGTATTTGATTTTAGGAATGGACAAATTATAGCATTTTGGGAAAGTATACAATGTAAGAATCATTGATTTCATTTTTACTGAAAAGAAAACAACAGTGGGATAGTACAATTTTACATTTTTTTAAAAAGCCAATTAATTTCAACTGAAAGAATTCAACATATCTGCCAAAAAACCAAAAGATGTCCAGCTTAATGAGACAACCATATGCAGAACTTTGAATTAGTTAACATTTGAAATCTCTCAAAATTAGTCAGAAATGTAAGTAATTCATTTTTTCTCCAATAACAATCAGAAATTCTTTTCCCTAAATTTTTAACATACTTTTGAAAACACAAGGTGAAAGAAACGGACAAAAGACGGACCACCACAATTAGCCATTGCTAGAACACATAGGCCATAAGCTGCAAAATAGTCTGGTGCCGTTTCATGAAAATCACATCAATGAGTCACGCAGGCTTTGAATGATTCCTACCTCTGCCAGATGAAGTCTAGGGTGGTGGTCTTGATGTACCAACTGATGTTCATGCCCGTGTAGTTCTGGAGGACATCGGTGGTGGGTACCGACCGTTCAGGAGGGGGTGGGCCTTCAGCCCCCTCGTCGCAAGTCTCAAAGGCCTTACCACTGCACTCGCACGTCAGTTCCCCGTCCAGGTATTTCTCATAGAGGTCTGGGTCCATGGTTTCGGTCGACCAGTCACCGGTCAATTTGGGTTCGCAGGGGAAACCGCTGAAAAAAAGAAAAGAGAAAACCTCAACATAGTTATGAAAAGCATTAGCATTCACCTTTAAAACAAAAACACATAATTTTCTATTGTCAAGATTTGTAATTAATTGATAATACAATGTTTACTTAAAAAACAGGAATACCTTGGAATTCTAAGAACTAGATTGTCTAAATTCCTTTTCAAATGGGCTTAGGTCTTTGGGGTGGATTGAGATAAATTCAAAATCATTTCACATTTTTTTCAACAAATAACCGAACATTTGAGTTATTAATGGTGTCTCAACTGCTAGAATATCAATATAAAAAATCATAAATCACAAATACATGTTTCAGTGCAAGTTTTGATGAGGTTCCATGTTTAAGTTGAATAATTTTGATGAGGATAGCAATTTTTATGGGAATGTACAAAAATGTGAGGCGCTCTGGCAAAATGAGAAAAAACTTGGCAGGCATCGAAACTGTTTGGTGCATTTCAATCGGACCTTTCGTTGACAGGTTATGGCTGTTTAAGTTTGCACTTATCAACAGCTCAAGAAAGTAAAATACTGAGAAAAAAAAAGACCATTAAAGTTACAGGTTTTGTATTTGTGGAAATGAAAGATGGCAAATGTTTTTCCTAAAAAAAAACACTTTAATTCCACAATTGTTGTACTATTCCTGTAACATATGTGCAGTAGACATATCAAAGATTACAAATATCAATCATTTTGAAAAAAAAAGATCAGTTTTTTGCATTCTTCTCCACTACAGCCTATGCCCAGTTCTGTCTCATTTTGGCACAACGCCTCACAAATGTGCTCGAGTGTGACTTTTCAATGGAAATAAAAACTTCTATCCAACTCACTCTTTTGCAAATGGGTTGTCAGCCATACATCTGGTCCCGATCCCTGGGTCATCCTGAGCAATGCTAGCCTCCATTGCAGCGGACAGCTCATCCCCCATCATGTCGTTGCTGTAGAAGACGTAGTTTGGGGTACCGGTCAGCCAGGGCACCATTGGGAGTTTCTTTGTGTCCGTCTGTGGCGGCATGATGACCGTGAAGAGCATGGCGACGCAGACGAAGACAACTGGCAAAATCACCTGGAAATGAGGTTCAAATCAGGAATAAATAATTTGTCATCTCACAGCTACGGGCTCGGTGCTCCAACAAAAGAGGGCGCACTTTTACCACTTCTGAGGGCCAATTGGACGGGACACCGCATGTGTGCACTGTAATTGACGCGTGATTTTTTTTATCCTGAATGTGCACAAAGCCAAGGCACAGCGTCTTCGCGCGTGAGCGTCAGGCGTTGTCGGCGCGCCAATACGTTCGAATACGTTCAAATTTAACTTGCGATGGTCGCACAAACTAATCCCCGACCCCAATAACTTTGGATCATTTGAAATACGCAGTGGATGGATCGGGAACCATTCTAGGTCTTCCCAAACTCTCCTTTTCTGGCCGTTGATGGGGTACTTGTGCACGGAGCCCATAAGAACCAACTGAAGCTTTGGATGAAAGGTGCTTATTTTCAAATCAAGAAGCAATAAGAAACAAAAGTAAAGTTGAAATGTCTCGGAAACTGCAGGCCAACGAATTTCTGTTCACGTATGAGTCACGCGATTGTGCCATGTAAAGTCTGGAAGTAGTAGTGTTCAGAGTAAAAATCTAAACTGGAGTTTGCCAAATCAGAAGCTTGAAATCTCCTTGATAGAAGTCCGAGACAAAGGCAGTTTTTGGAGAAGCCCCTTCTTGGGATGAAGAGGATGAGGTAATGTTTTTGCGGGACTGACCTGTGCAAAGAAGCCTTTCTTGCTGCGTCGGAAGTGATGGAATCGTTTGACCATGAGAGCATAGAACTGTCTTCGTATCAGGTTGATTCCTTGCACCTCACTGCCTGACAAGTCAGCGGCTCGGCTGCTGGAGCTCTCGGCATCCGGCATCCGAACACTGGACATGGTGACTGTCGATAAAACAAACCAAGATACTGAGATGTTAAATCATATATCATAAAGAAAGATAAATCAAACTTTTTATAGTTTTTGGTTTCATGACTTCATGACTGTTTTGCCTTACGGAAAGCTTGGAGTTAAATTTGTTTTGGGTCTTGTGGCTGAAATGACCACAAAAATCATAAATTTGTGTTCAGTAATGGACATTTCTATATATTTTTTTTTTTTTGGAAAGCCATTTCATCAAAATACAATATTTGAACACCAACCAAAAAAGGAGGATTTTCTGGGGGTTCAGTATATTTTCCAGGGAATGCCTGTCTTGGTTTCTTCCAAACTTCCAGAGTAAAGAGTTTTTGGTAAACCTTCTTTCTGTAATTTTCTTTCAACTTCAAAGCCTTAATCATTTTTTTGTTTGATAAATCCTTTGTTTCACATTTACAATCAAAAAGACTTCAACAAGTAATAACAAAATGCATGCACCCTCTGTTACTGAATGAAATCTGTGTTATTTGAATGAGATGTAACAAAATTTGAAGTTGCCATCACCGTTTCTAGAACATTAAAACAAATATATCTTCCAATGGGTAACATGCACATGATGAATCATAAAATAAAACTACTACAAATTATCTAGCTATCTAGCAATTTTTCTTACAGGCAACCAGAGCTGTACACCCAACAAAAGTATGATTTGTAAAACTAGCAGGAAATGACAAACAAATGCAGAAAGAATTTTGAGCCGAACTTTATTCATGCAGTTTGCATATCTTTATGGGATATGCACAATTACATCACCAGCATTTCAACCAATAGCTACACGTTTGAGTCAAGAACTTTATGATATTGTTATACACATTCCTCCCATTTTACTTAATCCTTGTTTTAACAGGACATCCCAGGTAAATTCAAGCGGGGGCCGCATTATCCAATAGCCTCAGTAGACACTAGGGCCTACGAAAAATTTGAGGGCCTACAAAATACCAGTGTGCCATAAAACACACACACCCACGCAGACATACATGTAAGAAAAGTTTCAGCATCTCTCTCTCTCTGACTTTTCCATTTTGGGAAAGCTTCAAATTAGCTAGTACCAGTACATAGCCGACCGCATTGTAATAACTGGTAGCGAACCCAATACATGTATTAAATGCATTGTACCTTTATCAGTTTGGCCTGGCTTGCTTAGTACGGCTTAGCATATAGCTTAGCATCAATATGAACTGCGAGGCTCCAGCGCTCATACAAGAGCTGTGAAGTTGGTGCCGGTGCCTAGGGCGAGGTAGGGCCTACGGGACATTTACAAAATGTAGTCCGGCCCTGACATTACAGTTTCACATGTGTACTTGAAGTACATGTGGAGCCAACTTTCAATGCAGCTTGATCAATCTGTGAGGATGGCACCATCAGGTATGTTGATACCGCAACCCTTTTAAGGTTCATGCAAACTCAATGCTGATTTGACATTCCCATTCTGACTTCATGCAAATCATATCACAGTCATCATACATGACTTCTTTACCCCCTTTACTGAACTAAGTTTTCATTCCAACACCTGTGCTAAAATAGGTGACCACATTCTGAAGGAAAAAGAAACAGATGACAGAAAATAATTAAACTTTGAAAGGGCAGGACTGTCACATTTGATTTGTAACAAACAAGTTTCCTTTTTTATAAATGGAGGCAGTGCTGTAGTAAGTACAAAATAAAGAGTTATAGTATGAGTACCACAACCATTGACCCTACGGTCATGAAGGCCATCAATAAGTGAGTAACAAGCAGCGCAGTTTGGGTGCTTCAGTAACTAAAGGGTTAAAAAACTGTTTTTATCATACAATTTTGGGTAGTAAAGTAAAAAAAAAAGTAAAGTCTGTCCCGAGCCAATGTGGCGCTCATCAGGCCGGCGTTTATCTCCGGTTTCAGTAGCATGAAACGACTGAGAATATTTCTACTCCCCCTGGATGGGATGCTAGTCCATCGCAGGTTACTCCCCAGCTAATGCCGGTACCCATTTATACTCCTGGGTGGAGAGGGGCAAGTGGGGGTGAAGTGCCTTGCCCAAGGACACAATATATGACCAGCGGCTGGATTCGAAACCCCGGACCCTCTGATCATGAGTCACAAACCCTAACCACTAGGCCACACACTCCCACACAATGTTGGGTAGTGGGGCTAGTTAAATTCAAGTGCAGGTGATTTGCGAGTGCAGAAAATTACATGATGGCTCTTGAACTTGAAAAATTCCATCTTACGAATAATTTGGCTGTAAATTTTAGCTGAGCCCTTTAAAGAATTACATTCATGCCAGTGTTCAGAAACAATTTTTGAGCCCTGAATGGCCAATTTTGTTGTTATTTTTGCCCATTAAAGCGATAGAAAGGTTTTACAGACAGGGGCAAATTACGAACAATAGAGAATATTTTAGCACCAGGTCAAGCATGCACTGGGAAACATTTGCAAGAAAATTGTGTTATCTCAACATCTTAATCAAAATTGGACGATCCTGCCCCCTTTTGGAAAATGTAAAGGTACAAACGTTGGTGTACATGATAACAAATGACTATTTGTTGCTTTAAGGAAAAACGATGGAAAGATTAAAAAACAAAGACAACAAAAATTGATCAGAGTATTTTTGATGATGGACAAAGATTTGACTTGGGAAAATGGGTCGAATGCTCTATCATGGTTTGAACAGGTTCTACATGTATTTCATCTCCTTTTCATTCAAAAATGTGAGTTTCCAATTCCATTTTCAAATTTCAGTTTTGAATTTGAATTTTAAATTTCAGTTTCAAATTTCAGTTTTAAAGTTGAATTTAGAATTTCGATTTCAAAATTCAATTTCATCTCTCAATTTCAACTCGCAATTTCAAGCGTCAATTTCAAATTTCAGTTTTCAATTTCAAATTTCAAATTCCAATTACGAAAGCAAATTTTCCAATTACGAAAGCAAAATTTTCATTTCATATTTCAGTTTCAATTTCAAATTTCAAATTACAATTACAAAAGCAAATTTTCCTCCCTAAATCACCCAACTAGCTGAAACGATCCACTTAATCAAAACACTGGGTAAGAACATTTGACACATTTTCACACATTTTTGTCACAAGGCGAGTCAAGGCAAGGATCCAAGAACATGCAGGACCTGGAAATAAAATAAAGTTAGCAGACAAAGAGAGAAGAGTTGGGGCAAAGATGACGAGGGATCAATACCTTCAGTAGGCACTGCATGGAATGTCGGATGAAATAATGACTGCACACGTGTATACAATGAGGATGATCCCATAACACTGTCGTCTGAAAGGTAAGGCAATGGTTATCATGAACAAACTACAAAATTTAAAAAAAAGCTGTGTACTTAAACATGTTAAAGGGAAGATACAACATTTGCAAACATCAAAAACCGAAATTATCGAATTATCACGAATTATCCCTTACTGGATTGAAAGGGAATGACAGTCTTAAGCATCCTGTAAAATTGTGTGTCCTAATGTGCTGACATTTTCAAGAAAATTTGGATTTTGCCAACGTTGGTCGGCGGACCAGCGTTGGAGAAACCTGGCTTTATTCAAGAAACGCTCCTAACATAATTTTCATGACAGTTGTTCCACGTTTTCTTTGCAATTGATTACACACCTGTGCAGGGGTACTGATTCTCTGACCTTACAAATCCCCAAAGTCTATAAATTTCTCTGTTTCATCTTAAAGCTACATGTATAGTCCATCATTTGCAGCCATCCGAAAAGTAACTGGCGTAATTATTGTTGAAAAACAAACCTGGTTGAAAGATAGTAAGGGAACTAAACTCCCTGTGAAATTATTCTTTCTGGGAAGCTGTCATTTTGAAGTAATCAACGAAAGAAGGCATTTCCAACGGTGATTCTTAAGAAGCACCGTAGGAAAATTTAAATTAGTAGTTCGTTTTGTTATTCAGCGCAGCACGCGCAAGCATTGGAACGACGCACACGCGCGCGCGGTTGTTATAATTCGTCGGATCAGTGCGCGATGCCGCGTATAACTGCAATTCAAAACAATTCAAAACATGATTCAGTAACTTTTGATTTGAAACTGAGATCTAAGAATGTTGTTTTTCTCGGAATGTACAGCTGAAGCTGAGCTGAAACTTCATCAGGTTAGTCGCTCAGTATCCTTCATCAGATTTTGAACTCTCTTGTTGCTTCAAACGAACAAAATGCACAAATTACAAATGATGGACTGTAGCTTTAAGTGGGGTCAGGGAACCAGACTACAAGAACATGATTGGTTGTCTTTTTTTTTCCAGCAGCTACAAGCCCAAAACGTGAAACAAGTCAGTTTAACTATATTTGCTATAACATACGAATCCTCTAAATGCATTTATTTCTGAAAATTGCAGCAAAAGCAAATGTTGTACATTCCCTTTAACTTTATATTTTCATATCTTGTTCGGAAAAAGAGAGTTGAAATTGTTGACCAAATTATGATCGTATGGGAAATTAGAACCTCCAGCCCTAGGTACAGTAACAATGGCCGGGCACTTCAAAAAAAATCAAGCAAATCTTGGTGTTTGATTCTGGTGAATGAGGGTCACAGTTGATGATTGGCCCAAGAGGAAACAGTTTCAACTTTGAGTTCATGTTAAAGTTTTTGAAGTTCTTGTTGCAGCAAAAGACCTGCATTGAGCCAGAATATGCACCATGTCAGAGTGAAAAACTATTGAAATTGTAGCATGAAACCCATGTTCAAGCAATTTTTAGGTTTAAATTTTTCCCTTTCATCCTGATGACACCATATTCATATTTTTTTGTTGTTTACACACTCTGAACCCCAATATGGAATAAAAATAAAAACTGAATTTATGTCTAGTCCAGCTACCATGGAGCTAATACATGTAATACAGAAAATGAAAATGACAAAAGACGGAAAATGCAGAAATATAAAAACTTCTTCTAACAATTAAAAAATGAATTGAACAGAACTGCAGATGGCAACTATAAAACAAGGGTGATATTCAGTGACATCATTGCGACTATTCTAGAAGCCAGAAAATACACGCAAAAAAATCACGCAGAAAGACAGTTGCACAAACTGACAAACCATGAGTTTATGAGCGAGACTCACCGTTGGTCTGTTGGTTCAGCACGGCTTCCCGACTCGCCTGACGCAGGAGACGTTGGCTCATCTGTCGGCTCAGCTGCCGTTTGACCCTCGCATGGATGGGCTGACGGCCTGGCTGCTGGCCTGGGTTCTGACCAGGGTTCTGTTCAGGGTTCTGTTCAGGGTTCTGACCAGCCTCCTGGCTCCCCTGGTTGTCTGTTTCGGCGAAGGCACTCTCGGTTCCATCGATGTTGTCAGCGTTCAGGTTGACGCTGTGCATGCTGTGGGTGTCTTCCTCCAGTTCTTGGTGCACGATGTCCAGTTCTGTTAAGGTAGAACAGAAACAATGCGATAAAAACATACAACGGCTAGACTGAGCACAAAATATACATATCAGTTTGCCAGAGGCCAGTACAGGGGAACGCTGCTATAACGAACATCGCGGGATCCACAGATATTGTTCGTAATAGCGATCGTTCGGTATAGCGATTTTAAGCTGCTGGTGCTCCGGTACTCACTTTCCAATAAATAGCGCCCTTCATTACTTCACCCTGCACGCCCTGGTAGTTACTGAAAGACGACTTTGAACACGTGCCGACTACTGAATTATGTAATTACACAGTTTTTGAGCTTACTACCTACAGCAATGGGCGGCTTTCCCCTTCTATTCCTTGGGGAAATAATAGCCACTGGTCGCTCTTCTGTTGACATTTTTCAACAACAATTTTCGGTACGCTTTGTGCAAAAAAATCGGGAGTCAAGGACGATGTTGGGTATAGCCGAATGATCGTATAGCGGTGTTCGGTATAGCAACATTCCACTGTATTTTATTTAAAGCACTTGATCTTCATAATATCCACAAAAGTTTTGAGAATCACAAGCACTCCTCGAAAGTCATCCAGTCTCAAGTCAGGTCACAAGCTATTCAAATGAAATGTGACAAAAGCATTCCTTTGTCAAAGTTGATCCTCTGTTTACTTTTGACCAACTTGTGATGGACTTGTGACAGAGTCAACTGCAGCACTGGGGAATAAAACAATCAGACGCGACAAAAGCAAGACATAGACCCACCGTCCTCATCAATCAATGCCACACCGTCCGTCGATTGAGCCCGATTCCGTCGCTCACGGATGCTGTTGCTCCTGGCCGGGAGCTGGTAGCTCCTCCTTCTCAGGCTACCACGCCCCATGAACGGGCGCGGCAGGAGACCATCGTCCGATGACTGCAGGGTCTCGCCCTCGTTGAAGACGCCGGAGTCGTCAGTGACCGACAGGAAAACCTTCGAGACAGGGGCAAGAGAACGTAGTCATTTTTTTCCTCAAAGTGAATTTTTTCCTCTAAGTATGCGATGTTTATGTTTATGTTTGGTTAACCCTTTCATGCCCACATTGTTTATTCACTTGACTCTCCCCAGGACCAAATTGTTTGCTCTGTCGTGCGGAAATCACTAGAGCGTGAAAAAAATTACCACGAGTCGAAAACTCACTTTTTTCAACCCAGATTTTCACTGCGAAGGAGTGATTAAAATCATAGGTGTTGTGAGAAAAGTTTGTTCCTTGAACGTTACTCATTTATGTGATGTAAAAACAAAGTCCATGTCTGCAAATATAAGAAAGTTAAGCCTTTTTGTTCATCTGGTCCCAATTATCAAACTGCAAGCCATTTCACCACATGACCAAATGGCACTCCATACCTCAAATTGTGCGTGGATACTTATGAAGCTCTTTTCTCATTTTTTTGTAATGGTATCACTACGAATAAACTACACCATTAGAACGATCCGAAAACACTCTTTCAGCTGGTATAAAGTTGATGTATGGGCGGCCAAACATATCAACATGCCGCTTTTCTGAAAAGTAGTGAATATATCTGTGTTGAGGGTGTTCTGTGTGTGGTTTCCTGGTCGACTAAAGTCGCCCATGGGAATCAGCAGGGGGGTACTTCTTGTCGACAAAAGTCGCCATGGTAAGGAAAGGGTTAAACAGGCATGCAGCTGGGAAGTCACAAAAAAAGAGGAAATTCAAATCTTTCCAAGACTTTGTACAGTGTTTTTCTATTTTCAATGGCACACATGGGAAGTAAAAAAAGAGGAAATCAGCTGATCCGAAGAAAAGTTGCATGCCTGGTTAAAAGGGCAAAACCAAATAACTGAATGGAATACCCACCTCTTCCAAGGAGGTATCGGAGATGCCGAAGTCACAGATGTACAGACGCTCCTTGTACATTTCTAGTTCTTGGAACAGTGACTCCAGGGCGCTACCGTGGATGGCCCCAGAGGGCAGGATGTAGGACAGTTCCTTGCCGAGGTTCTCACAGAGCGTGGCGCCGGGGACGTAGCTCTGAATGAAGCTGGTTAAGACCGACTCCTGACATGAACCACAGTCTGAGAAGCAAAAAATGCAAAAAAACCCTCATCAAAACACGACAGGATATATTTTTCATCAAATTAGGTTTTGCCCTTCACCGACGTATAAACACTGTATACTCAGTGTGTTACCTCCCGAGTGAAAGTTGGGAAAAATCACTCGGGTGGGACTCGAACCCACGACCTCCTGCTTTCTAGTGCAGACGTCTTACCACTGGACCACCGAGCTAACGGGATCGGTTGGCTGGTTCGAATCTGATGTACATAGCAGCGGGTACCGCATTAACTATTCATAAGATGGAATTTTGCGTCGGGGTGAGGTGAAGGGCAAAACCTAATTTGATTTACATCACCCCGACGCAAAATTCCATCTTATGAATAAATATTTTTCAATAAATATTAGGTTCAATGATGTAATACTGTATGGCTTTGGAAGCAATCTCTTGGTATGTCCCACTTGTATCAACTTTGCTCAACCTTGCAATTATTGAAACAAAATTTGCTCGAATTATTTTTATTCCTGTTTTAAAACAACCAGATGTATTTAAAATAGTTCCGTTACTTTTATTTACCTGGTATATCCACAGGTGGCTTGTCCTTCTTGTGCCTCAAATCGTCGTCATCAGGCTCAAGAGCAACTTTCATCTGTAAATAAGAAATTAACAAATTGAGTTTCTTTTAACACTACAGGGTGAGTCAAAAAAATACGAAACCCAAATGGTAGCACCAATATTTTTATAAATGAAGTTCTGCATGCAGCACTATATAAATCTAGGATATGAAAGTGTTCATTCAAGACAATTCTCATAGGGATGTGTGTGAATTGTTTTCGTTTTGCTGAAAGAACACACACCGTTTTTGTGATCCATGGACAGAACTTTAAAACGGTGGTTGTGTTTAAAATTCCGTAACTTGAAAAGTACAATGTACATGAGTGATTTGAACGATTCTTGTACTACAAGAAAGCTTATGAATTGGGCTTTCATATCCTAGATTTTGAAAGTGCTACATGCAGAACTTTATTAAAAAAATGTTCCTGACAATTGGGTTTCCTTTTTTACTCACCCTGTATTATCCGGCAAGCACTCAAGAACTTAAAGATATAAAAGTTTGGGATTTGAACCTAAAATCTCTCAATCGCAAGCACTGGTTTTAACCAACGAGGTTGCACGGGTCGGCCAACCTTTTTCAAAGAGCATGCGTGAAAATGTCAATAAAATGGTAAAAAAAAGCTACTACAAACTGTTTTAAAGACAGAAATGACCTGATATTATTCAAATTGTAAAAAAAAAGCTTGGTCTCAGGTTTTGGTACGGAAAAAGCAAACATTTCTCAAAGACCATCCTTTTTAAAACCATGGATTCCCTTTTGGATTTAGATTTCTCGTACCTGGGAGGGTTCAACCAGATCCAAATCCAGCTCCTTCTTCTTCTCATCGCCAGGGAGATTCATCATCGCCCCGGCAACCAGATCCGGGCCGAACATGGGACTGAAGCCACTGTTCTGGAGTCCCGCATCGTACATCGTTGAGTCGGTGAGGTGTGGCGGAATCACGACGTCATCACCAGGGAGGCGCTTGTTTAGGACGAGGTAGTACCCGACGCCGAAGCGGCTCTTGAGGAAGAGGGAGGAACCGGAGCAACGAAGCTGGCCTGAGGAGATGATGGCGATGCGGTCGCCTAGGACGTCCGCTTCATCCATGTGATGGGTGGACATGATGATGGTACGACCTAGAATTAAGGCAAACATTTTAACATAACACTTAACAACCCCTTTGCCATTGGACAATGTAAATGCCAAAGATGAAAACAGTTCTGCTATAATGTACCTGCATAAAACACCTGAACTGAAATTAACTTTTTGTTCTTTTGGAGATGTCCATATTTTAAGCCACCCATTTTTTTTCTTTCTAGCAATACAAGAGTAATTCACTTTTGAATGAGATGCTAAACAAAACAAACCAGCCCATGTTTAGTTATGGAATAATTCACTCATCAAATTTTCAAATTACTTGCCACCCAATATTAGTTCCGTTCTCACTGGGTAGACTGGTTCCTGCCCCCTATCAGGATTGATAATGTAGGGACCAGGGACCAGGAACCAGCCTACTGGCAAGACCTGGTTCCTGCCCCTATCAGAATTGATAATGAAGGGACCAGGAACCAGCCTACTTGCAAGACCTGGTTCCTGCCCCTATCAGAATTGATAATGAAGGGACCAGCCTACTTGCAAGACCTGGTTCCTGCCCCTATCAGAATTGATAATGTAGGGACCAGGAACCAGGAACCAGTCTACTTGCAAGACCTGGTTCCTGCCCCTATCAGAATTGATAATGTAGGGACCAGGGACCAGGAACCAGCCTACTGGCAAGACCTGGTTCCTGCCCCTATCAGAATTGATAATGAAGGGACCAGGAACTAGTCTACTTGCAAGCCCTGGTTCCTGCCCCTATCAGAATTGATAATGTAGGGACCAGGAACCAGCCTACCTGCATGACCTGGTTCCTGCCCCAATCAGAATTGATAATGTAGGGACCAGGAACCAGTCTACCTGCAAGACCTGGTTCCTGCCCCTATCAGAATTGATAATGTAGGGACCAGGAACCAGCCTACTTGCAACACCAATCTGTTTGTGCCTTTTTTTCCCAAAGAGTTGAAGATGCCAAAAACAGGAAAAAAAAAGTTTTTCTTGTAAGGAACCATAAAAATTGAACTTTGCTAGGAGAAACAAATCAAATCTGTTGAAAAGCACAGCATACATCTTTTTAAATATGCTGCAAGATACTTTTGAACAGAAATGTAACTCACTGTAAAAAAAAAAATGGGCAACAACTCTGAAATTCTGGCGCTACTTTTCTGTCCCCCAGTCTAGACATTTCCAATTACCCATACATCGCTTCCTACCTTCCTTGTATCGGCCGAGCAGGTCCCAGATCTCACGTCTGGCGTAGGGGTCAACTCCGGCCGTGGGCTCGTCCAGGATGACCGTCTTGGATCCGGCCACAAATGCCATGGCGATGGACAGTTTACGCTTCATGCCACCTGAAAACAAAACAAACAATTGGAAAAAATATGGAATAAGCAGCCACAATTCAATGAAATAAAATTTTCACAAAAACAAAAAGGGCTTATCACTGGGTCTCTACTTTGTATGTTTTTTTCGGACAAGCGCACTTCAAAGTGAAATTCTCTCGGTGAATAGCAATTGTTACAACTGGGATGCTTCTGGTGTTGCTGAAAGCAAACCATGAATTTGAAAAAGTGGCTTCTCTGAAAAAAATGCTTGAGTGCATTGAGGACCTCTGCTACTGGTTTGGTGTCAAGAACAGTTTCTGTTGGGATATATCTGTCAGGATCTGCAATTTTCAGCCTAACTGGGGAGTCAGGTTGGTGTAGGGGTACTCTCCTCGCCTTCCACCGCTGTGACCCGGGTTCGAATCCCGCCCGGGCCAATATGTGGATTGGGTTTTCAGTCCCTACCTGATTCCGTGGGTTTTCCTCAGAATACTCTTCTGGGCTTTTCCTCCCACCACTAAAACTGTAATTTCTTCACATTGTCTTCTCTTTACTGGGCCCCATGGGAGACCAGTGGATTCCACTGAATGGGCTACCCAGTTAAAATAAGAAATAAAGAAAATACCGGAGAGGTTGGCAGTCATCTCCTTCCTCTTGTGAGGCAAGTTGAGATGCTTCAACATTTCTTCCATCTCCACGGCAATCTCTTCCTCAGTCGCTCCCTTCACCCTGGCGTAAAACCACAGGTGCTCTTCCACAGTCAGGCTGGTGAGAATCATAAAAAAGTAAAGAGCCATTTAATCCACCTTTAAAACTAAGACAAGAAAAGAGATTTATAAGATGGAATTTGCATCAGGAAGATGTACATCTTATATAGGGTTTTTGCCCTTCACCGAACAATTTATAAGCACTGTATACTCAGTGTTGTCCGAGGGGTTGCAAGAAAATATTCACAAGCTTACTCGGGTGGGACTCCAACCCACGACCTCCTGCTTACTAGTGCAGACGTTTTACCACTCGACCACCCTTGGACAACACTGAGTGTATAGTGTTCATAAAATATGTTGGTGAAGGGGAAATAACCCAATATTAAAAGGAAAAAACGTGGGTTAAATACACTGTCCAGTTATTTGGTCCTCAACATTTGAGTTTTGAGAAATATAAATGCGACACTTACTAGTCAAAGAGGACGTTGTGTTGCGGGCACATTCCAAGACTCTTACGGATCCTGTTGATGTCCTTCAAGATGTCCTTGCCGTAGATGTACGCCGTGCCGGCCGTGGGTGGAAACAAACCTGTCAGAATGGACCTGGGGAGAAAAAGAATTGTACAGGACTAAATACACGTCCTTACCAACGACTTGAAGAAGTTGAAATTACTGAAATTATTATTGCTAATGACACAGACCTCCAGTCTACATCCAGTAATACCAGGCATGCAACTGGGAATTTAGAAAAAATGAGGAATTTCCATGTACAGCGTTTTTCAATTTGTAATGGCATTCATGAAAAGTAAAAAACGAGGAAATCAGCGGATCCGAGGAAAAGTTACATGCCTGTAATACCTAATTCCAACTTTTTTTGGGGGGGGGGGGGGGAGGAGGACACACTTACATTGTGGTTGTCTTGCCAGCTCCGTTGTGTCCGAGGAATGAGGTAATTTGGCCCTCGTAGAAGTTGATACTGAGGTTGTTGACGGCCAGTTTCTTGCCGGTCCGGTACACTTTGTATAAGTTCTTGATTGACGCGCCCAACTTCAGGTGCGTCGGCTCACGTTCAAAGTCCGTGTCCTCTGATTGGTGAAAGAAAGTTTCAAGGAATTACTTAAAATGAAGTATTTGAAAATCTGCAAATCTTTGTAATGACATTCTGACAATAAAAACGTATAAAAAACGTACGTAAAAACTTAATAAAAACGTCAAAATGTATCTGTAGAGGATATTCTCAAAAATTTCCCAATTAGAATGAGCAGTGTTCCAAGTAGAATTTTCCAAGTATCCCAAGTTTTGAGAAGTTCCCTTTTATACTTAACATGGCTGCTACAATCACTGGAATAGTCTGGTACCTGTGGGAATGCCATTGCTGGAGGTCATGGGTAGCAAATCGGCATCCTCGCTTGTGTCGATCTGGGAACCACACCAGTAGGATCGTTGGAAGGGGAAGTACCAGCTGCGGGGCATGCCGTAGGCACCTGTAGGATTGAAGGGAGACAAGATTAAACTTCACCTCGTATTTGGAAGAGATTTTCCCAAATCCTACAAACTCCTACACTTTTCAGGAAACTACTGGCACATTATTTGTCCATTCAAGACTTTCAACGAACAACAAGCCCCATGTAAAGGAACTGTGGCTGGGCTCTACCTTCCTCAATCCTACAAAATCCTACAAAAGTCTTGGTGGGTTTTAGAGGGTTTTGGAGTAGAGAAGAAATTTATCTTGGAAATCTGAACTCTTCTGAGCATAAATGTGAGATGTTCTGGTGAAATGAGACGGAATTGGGCACAAGTCGTGGTGGAGAAAAATGCCAAAAACAGAATGGGAGTGATTTTTTTTTCGATTTTCAGATATACTGACATTTGTAATCTTTGTTATTTCTACTACACACATTTGAAAGAAACAGAACAAACATCGTAGAATGAAAATGTTTTTAAGGAAAAACAATTCGCATCTTTATTTTTAGGACTACAAAACATGAAACTGTAAAGGCCTTTTTCTCAGTATTTTACTTTATTGACATGTCGATAAACGTTAACTTTAAACAGCCAGAACTTGTCAACGGAATGCCCGATTCAAGTGCAACAAACAGTATTGTAAGGAGAATTTTATTGTCTTTCCTAAAATCTACAAACTATCATGTCAAACTAGGGCTCGCTCGATGACGGCCATCTCTGTAGGAGAACTGCAACTGCGTATTTTACGCAATCAAGCACGCATTGCGCAGTGTTGAAAGTGTTCCAAACACGCGCACTAGTTGCTCGAATTGCGTTTGAAATACGACACAGCCGATGCGCATTATGCAAGTTGACACCCAAAATGCTGATGCAGGTGGATGGTCTGTAGGAAATGACGTCATTTGAACGAGACCTATAGGGAGTAACAGGAAGGTGATTTGAGCAGTACACGTACAAATAAGTCAAGACTCTAGTTGACTTCATCAAATTCAGATTCACACGTACCTGGAAACACAGCCTCTATGTACCAGGTCAGCAGCATGTAAAGGAACGCATCCAACCACATCATGGTGATGACCTGATTAGGCGTCATCTGCTCGCCGGACGAATTTGGAACTATCCCAAGAGTCCCCCAGGTCAACCCCGTCCCCTGGATCTCAAAGAGGGCGACGTACTGGCTGGCGTAACCGAAGGCGATAGTGTTGGACAGGCACTGTATCAAAGAAAACAAACATTTCGGAGGTTTGAACGTTATTTTGAAGTAAAGTCACTTATGATCGTACTCTAAAAGTGTGAGTCTGCACCAGTGGGTCGCGGGTTCAAGTCTCCACAGGAGGTCGTGGGTTCAAGTTCCAATCAAGCAAGCTTGTGAATTTTTCTCATAAATTTCAAGACAACACTAAGACCTTAAAAACGTGGCTTGGAACCCTTCAAGGAAAGAAATTCAGCTCACCATTGCGAGTTTGGCACCGGCCGGGATGAACTCGTCCCAGGAGTAGACCATACTGTAGGGCACGTAGGACAGGAAGAATAAGACGGCGCCGCAGGCCGCAGAGAGGTTGGCCTTGGAGAAGAAGGTACTGATGAGGAAACAGAGGGCGATGGTGGAGACGCTGAAGGAGACTAGCATCAGGAGGAGGACCGAAGCGTCGGCCTGGATCGTGATCTGGCCGACCTGGCAGAGGACAGCGAAAAAGGAAACAAACTTTAATGCATACAGGATCATTTGCTTTTAATGCATTTATTTCGTTTCCAATAATAACACCACTCAATATCCAAAGAAGAATGCTCAAAACCTGACCTGTTGAAGTTTCAGCACAGTGGATACTACACTTTTTGAGAAAACCATGAAAAACCATGCACAACCTTTTGTTCAAGAAACAGGATTTTGTCTACAGCACGCTATATTTCCAAAAAAACCATCAACTGACTTATCATTGGAAATCACCTGCATTTCTTGATTTCTTCTAAATGACAGCAAGTAAGACAGAATAATTTCATGGGCTTTTTAGCACCAGTACGATCTATAAACCAAGTAAGCTTCTTGATAACACATGTAATTGGCAGGCCACTTTTGGAAGAATGAATGATCTTAAATGCCAATGGCCCTACATGCCTTCAATGATTTGGGGATTCATATGTGAAGCGACTTGTAAAAAACAGACTCTCCAGTGCAACTGGACAATTTTTTTTTAAATATTATTACAGATCTTTCCCTATACATAATGATTTAATTTTTGAAAGCAGACTTTCCTAGGAAAAAATGTGTCCAAAGAATGAGCTCCACTCATGCGTGTCCCTGTTGAACAAAAGCACACACCTCAAACATGGCTGCAGTGCAAAGGGTCTATTCTGCCATTCAAGGCTTGCAATCAAGACAGAGAGACAGACAAAATGACAAACAGACAAAACAGCATACCTTGAGAATCAGCACCAGCAGACAACTACTGATGAACATGACAATGAAGCTGTTGATGAACCAGGCCACCCAGTGCACCCCGTTGCCCATGCCCATCACCTTCATGACCTCCTTGAGACGTAGCTCCTTCTCCAAGACGATACCCTTGATGATCATGGCTACGGAGAACAGCCAGGCGATGATCATGAGGAGGGGTAGGATGGCTCCCAAGGTCTGGACAAACCTGGTTGCGACATCACAAGACAGAGGATTGAAGATGCAATTTTATCCAGAAATCGTCACGTTTTAATAGTGTTTTAGGACCGTAGAGGGGGGCCATAGTGTCTACCCATCCAAACTTCTTTATTCTTCTGCCGATTTTCCTAAAATTTGGCGAGAATATTGGTGGGCTGGTAATCTACAAAATGATGTCATTTGGTGACCACAAAAGGGCACTTTACCATATTTTTGCTCATTTTTGGTCAAAAACAGTATTTTTGGCATAATTTATGCCTTTCTTTCATTTAAAAGCATTCAAATTTGGTACAAACATTAATTTAAGTGACAATTTACTGAGGAGAATCAAGCCCAAAAATAATGAGAGCATTATTGTCTGAAGCCACGTTTTCAAAAAGAAACATGAGACTTGAATCCAGATTAATACTACAATGGCTCAATTTTTGAGGACCAAAACGTTTCACCCTGATATTCTCTTTGCACCATCATCACACAAGACATGCACTGAGTGATAACCACAGACGACTCACGTGTCGCTGATGTAGCAAGGGTAAGGAAACTCCTGAATGTAGGCCCCAGCGCCGGCGTCTTTCTTCCCCAGGGACGCCTTGATGATGCCCTGGTCAAACATGTCTTGAAGGAAGACGAAGCCTCCACGGATGTACTCGCCGTATCGGTAGACGTCGCTCATTGGTCCCGGCTTCCAAAAACTAAAGACAAACAAATAAATAAACAACAAGTTATCAGTTAAAGGCACATAGGATCATTTGCATTTATCCCAAAAGTAACCTACCAAATTATTATCAAAAAGCTCACTTGGATTAAAGGTCATACTGGTACTAAACACCCTGCGAAATTATTTCGTCTGACTTGCTATTTCTACTTACTATTTCTTGTATTTGTCGGTGCTTCGGACCATACTGCTATCCATGCGTAGCTGGTAGACTACATGGGGTGGAATGGTGTCATCTTCAGCCGAAGTGTTGAAACCTTCAAACACAGCAGCTAGGGAGACGGGACAGAAATTGAAACTCAGTGTTTTAAAAATTTAACAATATTCAACAACCATCGATGAAAATGACTGTGCTGTGATCTATGGGTGCTCAAACAATATTTGTTGTAAACGATTTCAATTTTTTTTTAAAGGGTTGAACGGGTCATCTCGAAAAGTATTTTTTCAGATCCAGTTTTAAAATCACAAGTCAAAACACAAGTCCATGACAAATATGCCGATTTTGAGGATTTGTAACTTCCTAACATTCCAAATACATGAAATAATTTGAAAAGTATCTTTCAGATCCAGTTTGATGATAAGATGAAGATCGTTAGATCCTGTACACTCATTTATAATACACATCAAGAGAAAACGTGATTTATCTTAAAAGAAATTGTGTAAGAAATTTATTAACTGTCCAACATGAGTTCACCTTTCTATCTAGTAATGATAACTTTATGCAATTTTGTTTTGTGGTTTGAAAGTTTTTGATTGAAAATATGACAACTTAACAATCTGAATCAGTATGAGATTTCTGCTGTGATTTGAAAGCTCCAAACCTACCTCCCCAGAAGAGATTATCTCCCTGCAGTTCCTTGGCAGCAGCTTGGAATTCCTCATCTGTGCTGTAGCCTCTCATCTTCTTAAGGTTCACGCACTGTGCAACACAAAGTAATCACAAGTCAAACCCAAGTCAATCACAAGTCAATCACAAGTCAATCACAAGTCAATCACAAGTCAACCACAAGTCAATCACAAGTCAATCACAAGTCAATCACAAGTCAATCACAAGTCAATCACAAGTCAATCACAAGTCAATCACAAGTCAGTCACAAGTCAGTCACAAGTCAGTCACAAGGCTTCACAAGTCAAATCCCACTCCAATCACAAATCATAAGGAGTCAAATCCTATGTCAATCACAAGTCAACCACAAGTCAATTACAAGTCTTCGCAAGACAAATCACCAATCAATCACAAGTCAAACACAAGTCAATCACAAGCAAATCACAAGTCATCACAAGTTAATCATAAGTCATACACAACTCAAATCACTAGTCAATCACAAGTCAAACACAAGGCAATCACAAGTCCATCACAAGTCATCCAGTTTCAAGTCAAGTCACAAGCTATTCAAATGAACTGTGACAAATGCATTCCTTTGTCATTGTTTGTTCCGTTACTGGCGACCAGACTTTCGATTTGACTTGCGACGGAACATTTGCTTTGAATCCACCGTTCCTATCCTGGATAGAAACCTGTATTAAAACTACTGGAGTTTACAACTTTTGTAATGTGTTTCTGAAATTTAAACAGGCTTACCTTGAGTATTTCCATGGTAGCGTTTGCAAACTCGTCTAACGCATCAATGGCATTTAGAAGATTCTGGGTGAAGTTACCGCTATCTCTACTGTCGCTCCGGGCCTGGAGTAAAACCTTCTGAATCAAAACCAGGTCGGTTGTCGAGTTTCTCTGCAACTGATCTTCCAGTTTCTTAACAAGTTCTGGGTTCTGACTGAACTCCTACAGATCAAAAAACAAAAATATAAACCTTCAGATTCCTTGTGGCATACTCTAACACTGCGGCTTCAATATCAGAGTCAGGTTAGTGCTGTGGTATTTTTTTAGTTACTGACACTTTTATGACCTGGGTTTGAATCCTTGCAAAGTGGATCGAGTTACAAGTCCCCAGTTTAATTAAATGACGTTTCTCTGGAATATAATTCTCGAGTTCAGGTTGGTGTGGGGAGTCAGGTTGGCATAGCGGTACTTTCCTCGCCTTCCACTGCTGTGAACCCGGGTTCAAATTCCACCTGGGCAAACTTGTGGATTGTGTTTTCAGTCCTTATATGATTCCTTGGATTTTTCCCAGAATATTTTTCTGGGGTTTTCCTCCCACCTCTAAAACTGTAATTTCTTCTCATTGTCTCCTCTCTACAGGTTTCTTCAGGCTTGCGGGCTACAGTGCCTAGGGCGCTTTTGAGGAATCCTTGGTTTCATTACCAGAAATGAAATAATAATATCAATAGTAATAATCATCTTTAGTTGAAGGTTTCGTCAAGCTTTAGGCTATACGTACAGTACATATAGCACGTTGGAGGAACCCTCTCATTAAAGAATCAAAGTAAGCAATTAAATTACCCTTGGCAAATCTCAACAATGACTTTTCCAACAATGATGAAAGTCGAACGTTTTGTTCCTGAAGCCTATTATGCTGGCCGTTAAAGTATCGCATATCTGCCTAAAAAATCCTCCCCCACCCCATGGTAAAGAGAGGTTGCAAGCTTGCAGCAATGGTTAACGCTCCAAACTGAAGACTTACATTGGCCAAGTCAAACGCTGCGGTGTCCTCCACGTATTTGCGGAGCGTCGGTGAGTACTCTAACCATCTCGCTGTCAGATTCTTAAACATCTCCATGGCAGCTAGTGGTTGCTCAGCCTGCAACAGGAGACGGTGTCTCAACGTTAATTGCAAACTTAATTAACAAGCATTCTTGTAAATCAAATCAGATTGGCAAAGTGTGAAAGTTGTATACAAGGGTTAGCATTAAAGCTATGGAATACACTCAAGAGTAATACAATTTTTGCCGTATAGTTAGTGCACCGTTTCTGCTGAACGAACAAGAATTGTTAAGGAATTGGCAACTGCGCCCAATTTAATGGCAACACTATCCACAAAATGTTTTGCTTGCAGTCGATGCCAAAGTTTGCCTGTCTGACTGGTTTATTTGAGTTGAACCTACAACCATTTGGCCTGTTGTGACTACAGAATGCCAGGACGGGCGTCGCCAGACCAATTTGAATGGGGGGTAGGAAGGGGGAAGGGGGTGGCGAGAGGGGGTGGCGAGAGGGGGGTGGTGAGGGGGGGGTGGAGAGGGGAGGAGTAACAATCAAGTAGCAAAGAATTTTCTCTGGTTGCCTGACCACCTCAAAATCAAAAGGGTAGGGTATTGGCTGGACACAATCCGACTAATGGGGGCGCTGTTCAAAGTGATGAGACTGGACCCTATTGGACAATAGGCACTGCGATTCATTATGCTATATATATGCTGACAGACACACAATGTTGCAAACAGTGCATCTAATTTTCCAACAAAAGCAAACAATGGTGGGCGGTAGGGGGTTGCATCCCCAACACCCCTACTAGCCACGCCCCTGCTAGCCACGCCCTGCTAGCCACGCCCTGCTAGCCACGCCCTTGATCTCCCGGCTGAACAGGTGTGAGCCCCTGTACCTCCTTCATGATGCGCTGCGTTGCCTTGGTGTCCGGTGTGTACAGGATGTACCCTTGGACCATGGGTTTCATCGTCTTCCAGGCAAGCTTGCCGAACGGTGACGACTCGATCTGCTGAATCCAGGCACAATCCTCTGTTAGAAGGCCAAAAAAAAAGAGAAATAAAATTATCATCATTTCCAGAATTTATTGTCAATTCTAAGCTTATAATTGCTTGATACAACTTGAAGATGTTGAGACGCACATACTGGGAGTCCCCCCCCCCCCAAAAAAATTGAACACTCTCTAAAAGCCGCCTCTTTTTCAAAGCTTTCAAAAAAAATACATTGAAAATATCGATACTAGACTCTCGGCCCAAGACCTTGACTCAGTGCACATCCTCCAAAATCAGCCACACATTTTTGCCACATAGCCTCAATACTTCAAAATCCTCCATTTTGCAAAGAGGATTCTGGAGCATTTGAAAAGGGTCAATGTACCTCGTAGTCCGTCCGTATCATTCTTAACGTCCTTGGGCGGCTTTGAACTGGAGGTGTGACTCAGCCCCGGTGAGCTGGAGAGCTTCTGGAAGCTGTTGGAGTTGGACATCTCCGCCAGGCTGAAATTGTTGAAGTCTTTCATTTTGCCGACGCTGCCGCAGACCAGCTCGTTGGTGTCGTTGCTGTTCAGGATCGAGTCAATGTCGGTCAGGAGGACTTGGAAACTATCTAGCTCGTTGATCTTGAAATGGTAACACAAAAGTAACAATTAGATTCCCTATGTGGTTTTACCGGTTTGGGTTTGTGACTCATGAACAGAGGGTCAGGGGTTCAAATCCAGCTGCTGGCCTTATGCTGTGTCCTTGAGCAAGCCACTTCACCCCCACTGGCCTCTCTCCATCCAGGAGTATAAATGGGTACCGGCATTAGCTGGGGAGTAACCTGTGATGAACCAGCATCCCATCCAGGGAGAAAATAGAAACATTCTCAGACATTTCGGGCCACGGAAAACGGAGATAAACGCCGGCCCAAAAAGCCATAATGGCTCTGCACAGGTTGTACTTATACAGTCCCTAATCCTTCAAAATCCACTTTTTCTTTTTTTTTCAAGGAATTTGAAGGAAAAGGGAATGTGGATGCACGACTCTGTTACTTTCCACATGGCTTGATTCCCCTTGCCAAGTTCAAAGCAAAGAGCATGCCTTTAAGTTTCCTGCACAGAAGCTGAATAACTGAACATTTTACACAGGAATAAAAAAATGAGCTATTACCTCATTGCCAATGTCGATCATATCCTGGAGAGTTTCCTTGTACCACTTGTTCATATCAGTGCTGTTCAACTGCAGAGGGAACAAAGTTGAGAGATAAATGTTTGTTATTACAACAACAAACTTCAAGAACTTTCAACAGGGTAATAAAAAAAAGCTATTTAATACAATGTAGTTACTTAGGAAAATATCACGGAGCTGCAAAGCCCAAACTACCTCAGCACAGGACAAATATCTGCTTAGCAAAAGTATCTGCTTAGCAAAAAAAAGCTTAGCAAAAAATATCTGCTTAGCAAAAAAATATCTGCTTAGCGAAAAATATCTGCTCATGAAAAAAATAGCTGCTTAGCAAAATGTCATGCAATATGTATAGCGTACCAGTTTCCCCCTATTTCATGCTTAGCATGTACAAGTAAGTTCACTTAGCAGTATTTTGTAGTAAGCGGCTATTTTAAATTCGGCCTTGCTTATCAACCAGAATGACTTAAACAATGTTACTCGTCTGGGCCTGATGTTGCAACCATCTCCAGAGGACTCTACAGTGGCAATTCATAATTATCCGGGACAGGTTACCCATTCCTACTGGTCGAGAGCCCGTCACGTGGGAGGTCTCACACCAGTTTAAACATCGGTCAACGCCACATGCGCGCAGCACGCTCCGCGCGCAGTGTGCTCTGCGCGCACTGGCTACAACAGGGCGTTTGGGAACCACTGATAAAAACTGCAGACATAGAGTTATTGAGCACACGGTAAAATGGCAGAACAAAATAGTCAGAACTTTGTCAACCTTTTGAAGTTTTATGTTTTTTTATCAAAAAAAGGAATTTATGAATGGGGATAAAAGTGTTATGGAGCAGTTATGTTCAGTAACTGTTTTCCCACTGACATGACTGATACCAAAACAAAGCGACTTACAGAACTCCACAAGGCGGTGAAGTTGACCAGTGTTCGTATTTCCTGCGACAGCTTGTCCAAGTCAGTGTCGGACATGTTGCAGAGCGTCGTGCTGAGTTCTTGGAGCTGCTCGGGATCGGTCGTCGTGACGTAGTCCTTCAAGAGAGTGGTGTTGCAGACCGTGCTGTGCATGTCGTGCCCCTGTAGGTACAGCATCAGCTACAAGGCAAAGGGCCAATAGTCATGAATTAGTAACAGTGTAAATGCTGTATATGGCCTTGAGTGATCCCTGCGTCAAGTGTTCACGATACATACCATTTTGGGATTGTCGACTGAGTTTGCAATGAGTCTGGCATCGGCCTCAGACAAGCCCATCTGCTGCTGCAGGTAGACAATCAACGCAGTCTTATTGGTCAGCAGACTGTACGACAAAGGCAACCCTGGAAAAAACCCATAAATAATCATTTATTACAACTGCCCACTGAACGATTTTATTTTCAACCACATCAGAAAACACTATAAACCACAGCCCGTTGATTTATTCCTCATTTTGACAGAGCAGGCCTACATGACAATATGTTTTGTATCAAAATGTATATTACATTACTAAAACCACAGCCCTGGTGATTTAATCCTCATTTTGACAGAGCAGACCTTCTATTGTTAATGTACAAAATTAATTCAGCTATTTTTTTACCTGAACCCTGTAGCAGGCCGTCACTCAACAATTTCAACTGATCCAAGCTAAAGGCGCTGCCGGGAATGTTCCCACCACCAGTAAACTGTCAAAGAAAGAACAAGAAAGGGCCATTTAATTTCATCATTAAAGCTACAGTCCATCATTTGCAGCTTTCTAAAAACATATTTATTGTTGAAAAACATAATTGGTTGAAAGATAGTAAGGGGACTAAACTCCCTGTGAAATTATTCCTTCTGGCAAGCTTTCATGTTGAAGGAATCAACAGAAGAAGGCCTTTCCAACGGTGCTTCTTAAGACGCACCATAGGAAATTGAAATTAGTAGTTCGTTTTGTTATTCGGCGAACACGCGCAAGTATTGGCACAACGCGCACGCGGTTGCTATAATTCGTCGAATCAGTGCGACATCGCGTAGCTGCAATCATGATTCAGAAACTTTTGATTTGAAATCGAGATCCTAGAATGCTGTTTTACTCGGAATATACAGCTGAAGCTGAGCTGAAACTTCATCAGGTTAGTTGTTCAGCACCCTTCTTTAGATTTTGAGCACAAGCACCATGTTCCCCGCCAAAGTTCAAACCCACGTACCACGGCACATGAGTCGAACACCATAACCACTGGCCCACGGGGCAGTACAGGAGGTGACAGGCAGGGTAGTTTGGGGTGGTATACCATTCCATGAAATATACTGGAATTTTGATTAACGCGGGAAAGTCCGTGTAGAATCTTTCAGCGCAATGCCAGAGGGAAATTACACGGCGCTGCTAAAGTACATCAATTTGCTAAGCACAGCAAAGACTCGCTCAGCAAAAACTAGCCAGGTTACCAGCCAAAATGTCACGCAATGTATATTGCTTTTTAACCGGTCCCCAGCTGATTTTTGCTTAGTACAAATATCTGCTTAGCTATGTTTTCTACCCCGTGAAATTGGGCCCTAGATGTCTTACCAGAGGCAGCAGTTTGTTCAGATCGATCTGCTTGGAGATGACCCCTGCGATGCTAGCGAAGTCGGCGGTGGTCAGATTGCACAGCTCTCTCTGCATCTCATGCAGCGTGGTCAGGTTGGTCACGCCGAAGATCTGCTTGAGCTTGGCTTCGTCGCAGGACGCGCTCTGGAAGGTGTCCGGATCCGTCAAGGCGAGGAACTGCGTTGAGAATGGGAACAAAAATGCGATTAAAGTTTCATACCCCCATATCTTTGGGTTTCGTCCCGCATAAAAGATTACTTTTCTAAATCGCTATTTTTCTAGCAATACAGAATTTATTTACTTTTAGATGAGACATCGAACGAAAAAGATTGGCCCATGTTGAGTTATTGAATTATTGTTCAATTTTTGCAATTTACTTCTGTATATCAGGTGCTGATTTTTTAATGCAAAGCACATTAAGTGTCTCATTGAAAAGCACATGTACATGTACATGTACGTAACTTCTTTTTTTTTAAATAAAAATTTTAGCATTTTCAATTGAAACTTTAGTTTTCAGGATTCTACAACCAACAAGCACAAACAGTTTTAAGGATGGTTCTTTTGGTGTTTTTGTCTAAAAAGTTTGGGTGCGTCAAAACATTATAATTTGGTAAGAATTTCATCAGCAGCAGTTCTCTGCTTATAAATGTGCCAGTTCTACACTGTCATTGTTACCCCCTCCCTTCCTGCTTATCCCCTCCCCTCCCCTACTCATACTCCATCCTTTCTAGCCTCACCTCCTGTGCACTGACGTTGGAGTTCAATATCGCTTGAGTTACGGCCGGCGACAAGTGCAGGTCGTTTGTCAGAAACCGCGTTACTTCGTCCGGATCCTTCAGGTAATTGATGAGTGACCGCGAGCCTGTCGTAGAGTCAACAAAATTAAAGACTCAATAAAAACCCCGCCGTGACACTAAACAAACGTGAATTTGTTTACAGGAATCATTAAACAATCTCAGGCATTAGAACGTTGCCGTGTAGGCAACTTTTACAGTCTGTCTCCCAATAAGTTTGTTAGCGCACAAAATGACCTGAAAATAAATTATGACATCAAAACTGTCCCTTTTTCTTGTTGGATGATTTACAGCAACCTTTAAATGAAATGCATAAATTTACAAACATCAAGTAAAATAGACTATTGAGTATTTTGTTCGATTATTATGACAGAGTATGGTTTTAAAGTATCATTCGGCCAAGTAAAAAAAATTAACAAGTTTCTCATCCAACGCCCACTTCCTTTTTTCCCGGTTGCCTCCTTGGTTTGTTGGGGTGTTTGTTTGTTTGTTTTTTTAATTCATACACTTATATTTTCCATTTTGTCAATATTATTGTCTTTCTAGTTGTTTCCAAAAAAATTGTAGAAAAGATTATGGCTGCTTTGGACATAATTTTGCATCAGCAAATAGTCGAGAAAATTTAAGAAACCATTTGCTGTCTTGGAGAATCCGTAATTTTGGGAAAACAAAAACCAAAGAAAAATGCCCGCCTCCTTCACTTTTTCAAAAAGGCCAGATGAAAAACTACTTATTTGTTTTACTAGGCCTTTATACTTGATACATTTTTTTGGAGCTTGTTGTTAAGATATTTAATTGCTTCTTATATTTTTAAAACAAGATCAGCTGGATTAAAGCAAAGTGTACGGTAGTTTAATAAAATCTGAATTCTCAAAAAAAAGTTAGAGCTTTTCTTTTTATTTGTATGCAATTTTAGCCACAAAAATACTTTGTGAAAGAGCTTTGTGTTGTATGTAAATTTGACCCCAATTTTTTTCTGAGTAGTTTTCTTAAATTCCATTTCTCTAAATTTGCTGGAAAACGATTAAGGAAGTTTGTGTTGAAATAGTGATACAGTGTATCATGTGTCAGCTATTACGCCATTCAAGTGCCTACAGGAACAATGGTATCCTGTAAAAAATAAAAAATATATGCGTCACTTTCGCTTCATTTGCGTTTTGTATTGTACAAATATTTCTTTCAATGTACGTCACAGTTAATGTACTCCATATGGAGACGTCCTGTGCAATCCATTTTGACTGCTTATTAATCAATGGACAATCACTGACGTGATAACAACACTTGTTTTTCATTTTCCTTTCAAGATGGTCATTTCTAGAGAGCAGACTGGAACAAAAAAATAGTCATTTCCGTTTTCTTGGAATGGGGGAAGGGGTGGTTACATTTTAGATACCTTCTGATGTGGACTTTGGTTATATGACATTTTGCATTGAGTAAAAAATTTGGGAAAATGAAGTCTGGGTTTTTTTTAGGGGGGGGATTTCTGTTTTTTTTTCTTTTTTTTTTAAATCAACATATTTTTAAGAAACCTTTTTTTAAGGTGAGTCTTTTTTCATGTAAGTAGACAACTGAAACGTAGTGCTTACTAGTTGGCCTTATTCACGAGTCGGCCATGTAGTGGATTGAGAGTGAGGTGAAATCTTCATTTTTGGAACTTGTGTGGAGAAATGAAAGCAATGACGTTACAAATTTATACCAGTCTGCTCTGATGAATAATTTAAAATATGTGATTAAACCTACTCTAATGTTTTAAGCCACATTAAAAAAAAAAAGTGAGGCTAGAATGAATAAATAGTCTGGCACCATCCCATTCAACAGTTCACAATTTATGAAACCCATTCAGAGAACAAAGTGGACACACTTTTTCTCATCTTTTAATTTCTTATTTTAAGGGATTTTGGCCTGTTGAAATGAAAATTGAATATGGATCTTCTATTTACTTATGCTCTGATCTTGTAATTTATATATTTTCGCTGTTTTTCGGCAATCTACACATGTACATGTATCATGTAGTCCAACAGGGGATCCCTACATGTACGTGTACATACAATTATTGGGAACATCTTAAAAAATAGTGAACAATGTCATGAAATAAAAAAAAAACCAATATCTTAGATTTTATTCTCATGCTATCAAGGCCATCTCTGCAGAATGACACGCTTCTGATTATCTCACATCAGTGATAATTGCTGGTACTGTAGGTGGGTGGCCATTGGATGTCTGCTTGTTTACTGTGCACGTACCTCCTAATGTACCAAGTACATGTAGGCCTAAATGTTCATACACCCACATGGTTTTTATGCATTGTATTCAATGCCCATTTCAGTGCCATTTTCATTAAAACCACACATGCGCGACAAAACAGCCAAGAGATATTAGCACTGACCTCATCCGGACAATATGATGCTAATGACAGGCTGAATTCAGCAAGGTTTGAATCAGCAAATCATTTGAACGAATTGTCATATGGATTTGCTCCGTTTTTCAAACAACTGCAGCATTTGCATTAATGTATGTTTTAGGCCTAATTCATTTCACCCTCAGTTCACCAATTTACTTTGTTGTACTGATGTTTGTCTAGTCTGCATTTATGTATTTCGTTTATCATTTTGATCTTTGTTATACAGGACTTGCACTCGACAAGCCTTCTTGCGAGTACGTCCCCCGAATACCAGCATTACATTTCTTAACTCCATGAACATTTGTTTATTTGTATTGTACTATTCATGGCTAATTACATACCATGTACCTTTACATGTACATCCAGGATGGAAAGAAAGTCAAGTCAAGTCAGTCAGCATTTGGATCGAACTGCATGGCATCCAGATTGCTGAAATTGTATAATTTTACATATTTGCATAAAAAGTGAGATACGTCCATCCTACTGGGATATCATGAAGGTATTAGCGGCAACTCATGGAAAGTTTAATTAGTTTTTTTTTTTTATTTCATTACATATATATATTTTTAAAATAATTTATTTGTTTGTTTATTTATTTATTTATTAATGTTTGTTGGGAGGGTTGTTGTTGATGTTGTTGTTGTTGTTGTTGTTCAGTCCAGGTCTTTAATCTAGCTTCCCTCTGATGGTTTTACAATGTATCACTATCAACTTCAATGCCACAAAATTGTGTCAATATCTCTTGAAGCATGGAGGTAGAACATTATATTCCGATACGTGTACAATCTACATCGAATTCCAACTCTTTTCATCGACAGCTTGCTGCTGACTGCAAATTATAATTGACATGATTGGTGATTGGAATTCATCCTTATGGTTATTTATTGGGTCTAACTAATGTACCGTACGGTACATGTGCAGCGACGAACATGTCCCACGACAAAGTAAAAATGTAGTGTGGGTTTTGGTTGCCATGACAACTTACTCGAGTTACATTGAACATCGTACATGTACTACACAGTATTATTCTGCACTGGCTGCCACAAGATTGGTAATTAAATAATTAAACGTTGTATCATATATGCAATTAGGTATGGTGACAATTTTCTCTAATTTTTCGTTTTTGAACATACTTTTTCCATACATATTTATAATAGCTACATGTAAACAAGGATGGAGATATCCATATATGTGGGTTATCCATATATATGTGGGTTATCTGCACAGGAACTTGAGTTGTGTAGTGTGGCTTTTTAAGAACATGCACACACTTTTTGGAACGTACTGTAGATGTAAGAATGCCTTGATTACAAGTGATAAATTTAAATTTCATCAGATGTGCACAAACCAACATTGTACGCATTCAAATAATAGCAATGGGATTTCGTTAGCGCCATTCCATCTACATGTATCAGTACATGAACGGACGCGTACATGTACATCATGGCGCGCAACAGTAACAACACCAAGAAGCCAACAGATGTGTTTTGAGCTGCTTTTGGAATGATGAAACAGTGTCCAGGGATGTGAGATTGGAGGGCATGGTGTTCCACAGAATTAGGACTGGAAATTGTGAAGGCTTTGTCAGTGAATATGCAATGGATGACTATCAGCCCTGGCCAGTTGAGATTGGAAGAAAGTGAAAAAAAATCCACAAAGGGCCCCAGAGCAACCTGGGCCAAATTTCACAGCACTGCTAAGCACAAAAAAAGTCTGGCTTAATTAGAAGCAAGTTATCAGCCCAAACTCTATGTGATTTTCATGCTAAGCAAACAACAGCTAAATACTAATCATGAGCAATACACATCACGTGGAGTTTTGGCTGGTAACCTGCTTTATTAAGCCAGACTTTTTTTGTGCTAAGCAATTTTTTGTGCTAAGCAGCGCCGTGAAATTGGCCCCAGGGTCTAGATGTTATTGTATTTACCTAAAGACACCTTACATGTAAAATAATACCCATTTGTCTAAATTTGTACACTATACACCTAACAATCAGGACTTCCAGATTTCGAAAGGGATTCTTTGAACGTCCTAAAATCAGGAAAAATCCAGACAAATTTCACTCCTGGACTATACATGTACTGTACGTACAATGTAAGTGTACAATTTCCTCTCATCATAATACTTGTTAAACATACCGGTATTCTGTGCCAAGAGCATACATTATACATGTACATGTGCACTTGTATAAATCATAAGTGATACATGCCATGCACATGCACTGGAGTTCATCTTTTGCATCAGCTGAGTTTCGTACTTTATTTGTCCTGACCAAAATAACTTTGTTACTCAGCACCAGTTGGCACTAGAGAGACAACGGTTTGATTAAACACTTGAAACCATTGAGATTTAATTTCGCATAGTGACAATCTTTTTTTCCTGTTGCATTTTTTTTTCCACACGTACAAGTGTGTACTTACATGTAGTACAGAATGACCCATGATGGAAAAGGGGGTTATCGTAAATTTGTTATCGTCAAATGTTCTATTATCAGCATTTCGAGTACATGCACAAGGCAACTGAGTCATTATACAATGTATGTAAGAGGAAAGTCCATGACTATCGACCACCCTCAGATCTTTGCTGAACTATCAAGTATTTGCTTAGGTCGTTACAATCAATGTTCAAGTGAATGACTCGAAAAGCTGCACGTACAAATTTACAGTATTTTGGCGTATATTTAGCATACATGTCTAATTTGTGAGGCTTTCTGGAAAAATGAGATGGAACTACAGTAGGCACAAGCCGTAGTGAGAAAAATTAATAGAAAAAACCGAATGGGGGTGATTTCTCTTTTTTATTTTCAGATTTATTGATATAAATTTGTTATCTGTGATAAAACTACATGTACACATATTTTAAAGAAATAGTATAAAATTTGTTTAATAAAAGTGTAAATTTGTTATCGTCAAATGTTCTATTATCAGCATTTCGAGTACATGCACAAGGCAACTGAGTCATTATATGCAAGAGGAAAGTCCACGACTATCGACCACCCCCAGATCTTTGCTGAACTATCAAGTATTTGTTTTGGCCGTTACAATCAATGTTCGAGTGAATGACTCGAGAAGCTGCAAGTGCAAATTTACAGTATTTTGGCATATATTTAGCATACATGTCTAATTTGTGAGGCTTTCTGGAAAAATGAGATGGAACTAAGCACAAGCAGTAGTGAGAAAAATGAAGAAAAAAAAACGAATGGGGGTGATTTGTCTATTTTTTGTTTTCAGATTTATTGATATTTGTTAGCTTTGACATGTCTACTACACATATTTTAAAGAAATAGTATAAAATTTGTTTAATAAAAGTGTTTTTGAGAAGAAATAATTGGCCTTTTCACGAATACAAAACTCGAAACTTTATAAGCCTTTTTCTCTGGAATATACTTTTTTCACAGAATTACGGACTTTATTAACAACCAAACCAAACGGAATGTCCAAATGATTTGCGACAAACAGTATTGTAAGGAGAATTTAATTCTCTGTCCTAATACCCATAGACCGTCATTTCAACCGCAGCCCAGTTCTGTATCATTTTGCCAGAAGGCTTCACATTTGATAAAAGTTTGCGTAATATGATGAAAATTTAAGTTTGTTACATGTTTCTGTCAAATTTGCAAAAACCCTCTTTCTTTATTTTTATTGCTCTCAACATAAATGACTTGTATGAACTCAAGGTTTATCTCCCTACATTTTTTTCCAACACCAGAAATTTTGGATAACCCAAAAGTTTACAGAATAACTTAAATTTACACAATGTAGGTTATAAATCCAAAATGTCTGGTCTTGTGATTTGCCTTGCGGTTCATTTTCTAAAAGCTACACGTAAAGTTGGTTCACCCTAATTTTTTTTCCAGCACAGATTGCAATATCTTCCTGGTTCCACCCTGCGTTTGTACTGTGTGCGTTAACAAAACTAAAAATTGCACAACAGACGTCAATGCTGACGTTGGCTCCACAGTCCAAGGGCTGTCAAAGTCGAACTAATTAGCATAACAATCAGGCTAGCTGGCTGTCTGACTATGAGCGATTATTTTCAGCATTCAATGCAATCTGGCCCTTTTGGGGTCCTACATGATGAAGTCAGTGAGTTAGCAAAAAAAATCCAATATTCATGCAGCTACAAATAAGTTGATGGTAAAGTGAATTAAAACCACCAAAAAAAGCAGGAAAAAAATAAAGTTGTTTTTACAGCACAGTTTTGTTGACAGGAAGCAAAAATTAGAACAATTCTACATGTAAAATCTTGAGAAAAAAGAAAGTGTCACATCACCATATTTTCTTTTTTTACTTGAGCACTAAATGCAATGGATAGGGGGAAATTTTGTGGATTTTAAAAAGCAGTTTCAGCATATAACAACCTCTCTTTATTTAATAAAGAGAATACAACATTTGCTTTTGCTGTAATTTTCAGAAATGGTTGAATTTGGGGGTTATTTCAAAGCAAATGTTGTTACACTGACTTGTTTGACGTTTTTGGTTCACAAATACGGGAAAAATCAAGAAAACAGTCATGCGCTCTGTCTGGTTCACTTAAGATGAACTTAAGATGAAATGGAACAATTTATAGATGTTGGAGAATTTTAAGGTCAGGGAATCAGTCTAGCTGGTTTGTACCCGTTCACAGGTATATATGTAATCGATTGTTAAGAGAACCCAAACTAACTAAACATGATAAACTGTGAGTAGTATTCAAAATTTATTAAAAACATTTTTTTTCCAACGATGGTCAGCCAATCAGCGTTGGAAATTGGTGCAAAAATACCACTTTTCTTGAAAATGTCAGCACACCAGATGCCACGATTTTACAAGATGCTTTAGACTGTCATTCACTATAACAGTCTAGGAAGGTATTTCGTGATAATTTGATAGTTTGGTGCAAAAATACCACTTTTCTTGAAAGTGTCAGCACACCAGGTGCCACGATTTTACAAGATGCTTTAGACTGTCATTCACTAACAGTCTAGGAAGGTATTTCGTGATAATTTGATAGTTTTGTTTTTTGATGTTTGCAATGTTGTACATTCCCTTTAAATAAAATATTTCATGAAGGTGGTGTCAGCAGAGCGGTGAGTGTAGAAATCTGACTTGTGAATTCTGTGATGGTGAAAATTGGTGAAATTACAAATTGAAACTAATTCCCAAAATGTGGTCAAGTACTAATGCGCTTGGAATGCTTTGTAAATGAACAGATTTGCAGGTACATTTTGTATGCTTGATTCTTTGTAAACAAGGTCACATTTTAACATGTAAAAATTTGGTGAAAGAATTATGGGTTTTTTGGGGGTTCAATAATGTCAAGTCCTGAAAAACAGAGACAGGGAACACAGTACTAATGTTTGTGTGTAATATTCAAATAAACTGAGCCCATGCAAGAGGTTATCATTGACCAAAACATTCTCAGCCATTCTCTGCCCACAGACAAAAGATGGAGGCAAAGTTTTGACAGCAGCCACATCCACTGTTTTGCAGCTATGGCTAGCAACGACATTGACACGCTACAGACACTATCCATATCCATAGACTAATACTGGCCATCTCGGACCTTGCCTACCGACCAACTTACCAGGGATGCTGTCCGCTATGCCGTTGAAGTCGTCCATGTAGGGCAGAAGCTTGTTCAACTCGTCGACTTTGGCCAGGAACTTCTTCAGTGCCTCCATTGTGGTCTTGTTAGTCAGGACCGTCTCAATGTCGTTCACTAGTTTGGATAAACTGGATGAGGGAGGAGACGGGAGCCCAGACTTACAATATGATGGAACGAAGGAGTGCAATGTTAAACTCTAACTCCGTAAGGTTGTGAAAAATCATATTAAGATTTGAGGATTCATGAATGTTAGGATTAGGCCAAAAAAAAAAAGTCTCCGGTTTCTGGTATGCGCGCGCAATGAAAGATGATGTCTCAAAACCGCCAAACTCACAGGTTTGACTGGAATTCTGCTGCTGCGCAATTTCAACGTGTTTTTAGATGGGGTTATGATCGAGAATAAGCTTTATGTGGCCTCTCTGGACTCCCATATATTTGCACTAAGTTTAGTCGGGCACCATTTGCAGTCATCAGCCGACATTTGAAGCAAAAAAGTCGGGTAAAAAAAAAAAAAAAGCCGCGTCGCCGCACCACTTTTTAGACAAGCTCCATACCAGAAACCGGAGACTTTTTTTTTTTGGCCTTATGGGGCTTTTTTTTTTTTTTAAATGACATGACTATTTTTTGGGAACATATTTTGTGCAACTTTCTACTCCTATGAAAACCACATCCTTTTTAGTTAATCTTGTTAAAAAAAGTGCACTTCCCCAACAGTCCTGAATCCTCCAATTTTAATACGATTTTGCATACCCCCTAAAAAGTTAGGGTTAAACACTTAAAATTGTCCATGCTTTTCCTGACCAATGAGGGCACTGTTGCTGCAATGTCATTTCAGGAAACACTTTTCAGTTTCGTTAAAACATGTCATGTTTGTGAGAAAACCGTGGCCCACTGTACTGAAACAACAATGAACCACCAAAGAAAAGAAGAGTTAAGACCTGTAAGCAAAATATCTGAAATTTTGGAAATATTTGTGCTAACCGCTGAATGAGCTTTAACATTGAGGTTTCTGCCTGAAATGACATCACACTTTTGCTCTTGAATATGCTCATGAATATGCAAATTCATTAGCATAACAAACAAAAAGTCACCAAAATACCCTTAAAACTGGCAAAATGCAGTGTTAGATGGGACACAAAGGTGCATTTTACAAGGGACTCCATTAAAAAACAATACGTTACAGCCTTTAAATTACACATAAAGACCTTATAAATTTCATCCAAATGAAAAATGTTATCAACAGGAACTTTCTAGCGCATCATTTGTAGTTTTTACTCCATTTTCAATGGAAATCTAGTCCCATGTCGAGTAAAAAATAACTAGGCTCTCCTTTCCTGCACCCTGGATTTTGAAGGATTTTGGGATGGTAGAAATAAAGTGCCAAACTAGGGAGATTAGAATCTCTTCCGCTTCAGCCATGGTCAAAAATCAGTCCTATCTAGGCTTGGAATGTAGTTTCATTGAGAGTAAGGTCATACCTTGTTCGTGAAGGACACACTGAAATGGAATATTAAGAGGTGCTTGGAAGCACATCAGCATGTTGAAGGCTGAGACCTGGGCTATTAAATGGAGGCCATGGCTAATGGCCATGAGGGACATACTGGTAGTCTTAATGTTTTGTTCAATCTGTCGCAACTTCTCTCAAAATTATTTTTACAACTTTCTTTTACATCACATATTGAATTCAGCAAACTGAATGTCTTGAATGGCACAAAACATATTCAATATGTAGTGTGGGGGGAAAAAAGGCAGTGTTCAAAGAAATTTGTGATGCTGTTTGAGAAATTTCTGATATCGTGGCTGACGTGACATTGCCAACCGAATTGTGTCGAAGAGGATGGAATGACAGTTGGACATCGGACATTTCACATCATATAACATTTTTCTCAGAAAAAAATTCCCCTTTGCAAATTCTGTACCGCATGTATGCACAGCTCAAAATTTACAATGCTTTAAGCATGTAGTTCATACTGTTCGAGCAGTTTTTGTGGCTTTTTTTTAACTTGTGAAGATGGTATCGTTAGTGAAATTGGAGCCCAAGTATTGGACACTTACCCTGCATCCCCGTAGTTGTTGATGTGTCCGATGGATTCACCGTACGTCTCTTCCGGACGACACTTGCTGTCAAAGTCGCAGAGGAAAGACTGGAAGAACGGAAGGAGGCCTCCCGAGGGCAGGGCCTTGCTTAGGAAATGGCCTGAATCAAATGAAACCAATCAAATGAAACCAATCAAATGAAACCAATCAAATGAAACCAATCAAATATCATGAAATCAAATCAAAGAATCAATTCACTCAATTAAAACATTTACAATTTAGAAAAATATTCATAATCAACAAGAGACCATAACTTTGACCAAAACAAATACAAGTTTACAATCTGATATTTTATAACTATGGTAATAGTAATAAATCTTTAAATTTGACACAATAAACTTACTATTTCTATTGTTTTGTGCTCTGAAAAATTGTTTTTGCAGTAGATTGTCACTGTGGTTTTTTGAGCTGTTTTATTTTTACAAAAAATATAGCCAGAAGTAGATAATAAAAAGAGGACAATGTCTATTTCAATTTGGGGTTTATTTTGCGCAAATTGTCATGAACTTCTGCAACAATATCATTCAAAATATGGATTATTGACCTTAAAATAACTGACTTAATTGTTCAGGTATGCAACTGGGAATTTTGGAAAAAAGAGGAAATTCTAAAGCACATACAGTGTTTCTCAAGTTGTAATGGCATTCATGAGTTGTAGGTAAAAACAACGAGGAAATCAGTGAATCCCAGACAAAGCTGCATGCCTGATTGTTGCTTTTGTATTAATTTAAAAAAAAAAAATTAGGCCCTAAATTTTTATGAGATTCATAAAAAAGGCCAAAAGGAAAAATAGTTCTGCTTTCAGTTTCCCTACATACCCTATTTAAGATTTTATCTTGGAACACTATTATGAACAGTACCACTACCATGTATCATAAACCATTCGGAACGATTCATGTACAAATTTCAAAGATTTTTTTTTAATGTTTAACTACAAATAAAAACTCTCAATGGTTCTGAGTCACCTCTAAAAAGCGGTTCTCAATAAAATAATAAAACATTTCATTATAGAATTATAACCACTTAAACACATTTAATCACAAGTTAAAGGGAATGTACATCATTGGCTTTTGCTGTAATTTTCAGAAATTAACTATTTTGAGGGGTTAGTATAACAGATCAAATATTGTTACATTGACATGATTGAAGTTTTGTGTTCGGAAATACTGAAAAAACCAAGAAAAACAAAAATGTTCAAGTAGTCTGGTTCCCTGACTCCACTAAAGATGAAATGGATCAATTTATAGATGCCGGAAAATTGTAAGGTACATGTAATGGAATCAGTCTAACTGGCCTGCACCCGTTCAAGAACATGTAACCAATAGCAAACAAAATTTGGACTGCAACAAATGGTAAATTTGTAGCAGTAGTTGAAAAATAGTTAGGTTTTTCCAATGGTGGTCGGCCGACCATGGTTTGAAATGTATACGAAACACCACTTTTCTTGAAAATGACTTGACACCAGGTGCCATAATTTTACAGGATGCTTCAGTCTGTCATTTACCAACATCCTAGTAAGGTATTTTATAAAAACTTGGTAGTTTTATTTTTCTATGTTTGCAAATGTTGTATATTCCCTTTAAACTTGACAAGTCCAACTTGAAGGCTATAGATGGGAAGGTTAGAAAACTTGCTTGTGTGCCTTCCTGAAATTTAAGAAATCTGACTGATTCAAGAGCAGGAAGTTCAGAATTTCTCCCAACTCAAAAACGGGCCAGACAAATACAGAAATGATTCACTTTCTTTGTTCTCGTCTTCATAAAATGTAGGCCTACCACCCAGTTTGTTTCCCTCAGGCATGTAAGTGAAAGAAGTCATACTACTTTCAATTGGGTTCAAAAACTTTTGTGGCCTCAGCTATATTTTGTACCAACTAATATTGTAACAGCACATGTACATTTGTACATGGTACCATGTATTTAAAAAAAAAAATGCAGCAAAACTTAAATGGTAACTTGACAATATATAAATCATGTCAACCTGTGAAATATTTGTACATGTATACAAATGCACATAATGACATAAGCCTACATGTACTGTACATGTAAGGACTGCATTCAGGGGAGGTGCATGTCTGCAAATCAAATACAATAGAATTGCCTTCAATACAAGCAAGGTCAATGGTGCAATATATCAATGCTACAGGTAGAAGCAAAGTCCTGTACCAGGTACCATCATGGTACCATGCAGCAGTGCCTGTAGGCCTACGTGTACCCTACTGGTACAAATAACCAGGATATGATTGTGTTGATCAATAGGCCTACTGGAACAGGATGTAGTGCTTGGCCCGGTTGGACACCACAGTGCACTAAACTATTTTATCCTTTTGACGAAAGTTCCGGATTAATTCGGAAAATTGAATACGTGCTTTAAAAGATCTTGAAAAATGGGGTTAGTTTTGCTAGTGGTCATGTTACTGCCAATGGTTTTTTGGTAGGAATGCTGCCCAATTTTGAGTTAAGTTTCGGTTGGAAAGCCGTCTGCAGATCTTAGTCATTGCATTGGAATTTGGAAGTTGGAATTTGAGAAAGAAGAAAGAGCCAGTATAACTTGTCCTAGATCTTTTTGTGTAGATACTGAACTAACTTTTTTAAGGATTCTTTGTGTGTAGTACTTCACCAAAAAAAATCTGGTTATTTTGTCCATAATGGTTTGAAAGACTACAGATTTTCCAGACAAACCACACCTTTAGGCCAAGTAAAAAAAAAATAAGCCAGTTCCTTTAATCCCCATTTCTCATTCCTTTTTTCATTTATTCATACATTTGCAATATATTTTGCAAATTCTAAACTGTCAATAAATTGTCTTTGTATTTGTTTCCAACCAAAATCTAACTTGATGTACAAAGGGTTACATCTCCTATGAACACAATTTTTTTATTGATAGCAAAAGAGTTAAAAAAAAATTGAAGAATCCATCTGCCATCTTGGTAAATGGGGGCAAAAAAGTCCAAAAATCACCCACCTCCTTCAGTTCTTCAAAAAGCCCAGACGAGAAACCTTAGGCCTATGTTATTTTTTTTTTTTTATTCAGTCTCATTGCTGAAATGAATTCCCATCAAAATTCAAATTAAACCCAGTTTGCATAGTCAAGCTGATACAATCCGCATTGACTTGGAATGGTGACCACAAAAAATGTAAAGTCTGGGGAACAAAAAATATAAAACCACAAATAAGGACCCTACTTAAAAGTTTAGAGAAATGTAATTAAACTCACTGTGTAATCCCATCCAGCCTATACAATGTCAGTATACATTTTCTCAAGGTCTTATCATGGTTATGTTGCTGGCACTGTGTACTTTTCTTCCTCTGTATTATTTTTTTTTTAACATCCCTTTCCTCTTGCTCGTACTATTTCCAAGTTTGATTTCAATTACAGACCGCCCAGCTCAAATTCCATTATAACCACTCTAATACAGAAATCTTGGTTGTTGACTTTTAAAAGGGGGAGGACAGAACATACTCAGCAATGAAAATCAAAGAAATTTAAACTTGAGGAAAAGAAATATACAATCATGTACAAAATATTTGTTGTATCCTGATACTGAAAAGGTTGCTTTTGTAATGGAAAACTATGACAATTTCTTCAAGTTCTTCAGACAGAATCTCGGTTCAAGATGGAATTCAAATGATAGGTTTTGCCCTTCACCGACGTTTAAACACTGTATACTCAGTGTGTTACCTCCCGAGTGAAAGTTGGAAAAAAATCACTCGGGTGGGACTCGAACCCACGACCTTCTGCTTTCTAGTGCAGATGTCTTACCACTCGACCCCTGAACTAACAGGATCGATTGGCTGGTTCGAATCTGATGTACATAGCAGCGGGTACCGCATAAACTATTACAATGTATAAGATGGAATTTAGCACTGGAAAGCAGGAGGTCGTGGGTTCGAGTCCCACCCGAGTGATTTTTCCAACTTTCGCTCGGGAGGTACAATATGTAACACACTGAGTATACAGTGTTTAAACGTCTGTGAAAGGCAAAACCTATAATTTGATTTATATCACCCCGACGCTAAATTCCATCTTATAACAAGATGGAATTGTTTCATTGCGGTACCCACTGTTCTGAATCGAACCAGCCAGCCGACCCTGGCAAGCTTGGTGGTCGAGTGGTAAGACGTCTGCGCTAGTAAGCAGTAGGCCTACTGTAGGTTGTGGGTTCGAGTCCTCCCAGTGATTTTTTCTCACAATCACTAGGGGGAAACACTGAGTATAGAGTGTTTATAAAATATGTTGGTACAGGGCAAACCAAAATACTTGGTTACAGATTCATTTTGTAACAAGTGGGATTTAAATGAGGTTTCAAGTGATAACATGAAGCACCTAAGAAATATCATCCTTTCCAAAACATAAAGATATAGCCTACATGTACAATGTACATCGACTAATTAGGGCTGTGCATCAGAACCGGGTATCTGAGTGTATTCTATGACTGAATGTTTCAGTAATTAGTTCCAGATTATGGGATCGGGTGCCCGTAACCGTAACCAACTACATGTATACAAATTACTTAAAATAACTTCTCGGACAATCAAAAAGAAATGTTTTGAACGTCATTTGTGGGGAATTTTCCAAATGAAAACCAGGCAAGTTGAAAACCAAAACAGATTTCGTGTGCATTTTAACGTGCGACAGATGACGCTTGCATACAGTTTACTCTGTGAAGCTACAGACTAGATGGTAGGTTACACATAAAACATTTCAGGTGGGCGATCAAAATGACAGCTGAACAATGGCCTCTTTGTTCTGATTTTAGGAAATCCTCTGATGTATTACAGTCGACTCTCGTTAGTACAAACTCTGTTAATACAAACTTCTGGTTATAACAAACATAAAGCCTTGGTCCCGACTGTGCATTTATGTGCACAATGAATGGGACTGATGTTCCTCTTACAGTAATATAAAATTCTGATATAACAAACAATTTTGCTAGGTCCGAACGAGTTTGTTATAACCAGACTTGACTGTAGTTGTAGTGGTGTGAAGTTAAACATGGGTACCCAGCATACCAAGGTACATGTACATGTACCCTCACCAATGAAAAAACCTCAAAATTCAAACCCTGGAAGTTGTCAGAAAGGCTTTATACAAGTTATAGGCCTAGCCGACATACATTGTATAACTGCCCTTAACACAATTCCATTTCAGCATTTTCGATTAAGAATTATTTTGTATGAATTCAGCAACACTTTTATCCGTGAATGAAGAGCAACTTACATTCATGGTGGGGAGAGGGCAGTTCATCTCTCCTGACTAAGGCGATGATCATGAACATCAAAATCGGCCAGATGATCTCAACCAGAAGACGAATCTGAACGGGAAAACGAGAAAGACACTTAAACTTCCATCGACAATAGTTGAATTGTTGCCAATTAAAACTGTAAACTGGGAAATCCTGATCCATGAGAATAGCACACAGCAACTGCACATATCTAGGTCCAAATTTATCAATATTACAACAGCGGATCGGGGGGGGGGGGGGGGGGGAGGGACCAACGGGGGCCATGGACCCCCCAAAAAAGAACCCAATTTTATATTTTTAAGAATGTCACAAACATTGCAGCTACGCGCAAAAGCAATACATTTGCACCCCATATCCCCAAGTGCATTTCCCCTCCAAATTTAATATTAAAATTTTAATATTAAATTTGGAGGAGAAATTTTTGGTTCCCCCTCCCCGATTACAAAGATGGCAGTATCCGCAAAACGGCTAATGGTTGTGGACAACTAACATGAGATTTGTATGTGAGTCCATAACTTGGATCTCTTTAATTTATACATGTACATGATGGAGGACTACGCCTAACTTTAACTAAACAGATGAAAGGAATGCATGCATGAAATTCAGGCTACATTAATTGAGAAAACTAAACCAGCATCTTGAATAACAGATGTCTTACCTTTTGTCTTTTGCGTAGTGTGTAATTCTTCCAGCATAACAACTTGAGTTGAGAGAAGAACGCCATTGTGTAGTTAGGCCTAGACCTATGCCTACCTGCCTACTTTCTGGCCAGTGAAACTGTCAACAGTAACACAACTTCACAAGTTGTAGCCTACCTACCAAAGTTTTTAGGAATTTATAATCCTTCTTGGAAATATATGGAAATATAGTTAGCTTATTATGTCAGGTTCATCTTTTCTTCGTGATTTAACGTTACACTGACTGCAGAAGGCACAGTTTATCGTGACGGCATCTTTGTTGTTTATCCGGTGAACTGCACCACACGAAAATGTCCGGCCGGTGTTTAGCGCGCTGCACTCGATCTGTCTGCAGGGCTCAGTGAAATCTCGCCCCATGAAGTTTTGTGGTTGCGATAACTTGGACTTTTATCTACAGTCTCACACGTGACTATCTTTTAACAACATGATAACAGCGACGTTAATGTTACTACCTGCAAGTGCAAGATTGCACAAGCGAGACCTTCAGCTGTTCGGATATAAACATAATGACGTGTGCTTTCCATTTATATTTGCCGTGCACACACGGTTTTCGCTTTAGCTGTCTTGTTTTGTAATCTAGTATTCGATGAGCGCGCCCTCTATTGTTCAAACCCTTTTCATCATTGAAATTTCCAAGAAAACCGGCCGTACTCCACGTCAGACGGAAGCAAGTGGATAAACACTGCCAACCATTGTCCATGCTAATTACCTGTCTCGGATACGGTGGTCCTTAAATCCGTAATGAAAGAGGGGGATTCCCCCGTACCCCCTCCCGCAAAAAAAGAAGAAAAAAAACACCTGAGAGATAGAATAAATAAAATACAGGAATGAAGATAAACAAATTATGGGCCAGTACATTATCAGGGCCAGGGACTGCAGGAGCAACAGTGGCCGCGTACTCCCGCGTAGCCAAGGGGGTCGGGGAGGGGGCAGGGGGAGTTCCCCCACATCACACACACACATTCTCGGTGTCCCCCCCCCCTTCGAGGTCCCCCCCCCCCACGAAAAAAAAATATATCTATTTTTGACTTCCTTGAATGAAGAGAAATGAGCGTCCTCTAGCGTCAAAAGAGGTCCAAAAGGAGGTGTCCGTAATGATTAGGCGTAGGGTTGCCTAACGTCCGGGGGACTTGAAGCAGTTCAAAGAAATTCCCAAATTCCGTAAAAAAAACACCAAAAAACACGTTTTGACGTAGACATAATTATTATAAACGACCATCATCTCATTTTTTTTTTTTGGGGGGGGAGGGGAATTTCTTTGACCTTGATCAAGACCCACGTTGGGTTTAGCCCATGATTGAGGGCCAACGGGAGCCATGCCCCCCCCCCCAAAAAAAGAACGCAATTTGTTTTTAAGTGACATGGCAATAAAAGTCAGATCGCACCAGAGCACCTAGAATCCAGAATCCCTTATTTTTGACCCCCTTTTTGGGGACCAAAATTTTTTTTGCCCCCCCCCCCCCAAATGTGTTCTGGATCCGGAATTGCTTTAAGTCGGTATCTTTAAAAAAGGAGCAAAAATCACTTAGTTGCCCACATGCCCAATTAACAAGGTACACTTCAGCGCGCATTCAAAGCAATTCCGGCTTGAGTCAAGTCTAGGCTTAGGGTGACACCTCGTTTCCTCCCTGGTGCTCGACTTTCGAGTTATTTGGATGGACAGGGAAGGAGGTGTGTGGTGGAACGGGTACCGAGACACGGCCGGAAGAGTTTATTAAAGGGGCTCATGAGTTAGTCCGACTCCTGAAGACTTGGGCATCCGCACAACATAACATTTTGTTTTATTGATTTTTTTCTATATCCAAAGACAATTGCAAGAATGATTCATTTGTAATATTGAGAGCTTATACTGTAATCAATCGTAACAAAAATTAAAACTCCTCGAAAATACAAAAATAATGTATACTTTGAACGAAAGAAAATATGCAGCCTGCTTCACCTGATGTGAAATATACCAATGCAAATAAATAAAGATTTGGCCTAATCTGTTAAATGGAGAACCCCGAGCAGATTCCGTGTATCATTACTAGCGATAGACAATTCGTCATGATGATAGAAACTTAAATGTCCATGTCTGAGCAGAGCGTTTTGAGGGCCGTGAACTTGAGGATATTTTGCAAAAAGTAGGATGGAAGCCGTGCAAAGAACTGCTTGTATTAGTGTGAATGTGGATGCAATTAAGCCCTAAAATGGCGCTATTTTGCAATGGAGCTTATAGGCACTCATTTTCAAAATTGCGATGGGCTTCAGGATTGATTAATTTTTAGGGTTGATCGTCTTTGGATAGAATTTTCTCCAAAAAGTCATTAAATAACCCCAAAAATTGTACGGGAAATGAAAGATGATGAAATAATCTTTAGTTTGATGTGTTCAAAACGCCAAAAAAATAATTGTCCGGTTATAGTATGAGCATCCGCTTTGAACAGCGCCCCCATTGAAAGATGGTCCCCCATGGCATTTAAATCTTACCCTCTCGCACAAAACTGTTGAAACTCGCTCCATAATATTTGTCATGCGTTTACGTGATCTGAATTTTTGATTTAATTCCATTGGAAAACAACAAAGTTATTAAGGATCAAAAGCAGGACTGTTTTTGACACGTATGGGGTATGTATTGTCAGACTTGGAATGGAGCATGGTGTTACACTAATGGTCTTTGTTTCAAAACCACAGAACCGAATCCGACAAAGCTTCGCACAAGAAAGAAATAACGGGGCTCATCAATTTTATAATTGGATTGGAAATTTTCTTCATAAATAACGATAATTCTATACATCCTCCAGAGGGATATTAATTTGGTTTGGGACACCTTGTTTTATCAACACCAATCAAAGGATATCGCCAAAACAGAAATTGTATGAAAACTGATTTTTACCAATCATTTGGTGACATCAGATTAAAAGTTGTCCTTTTTGTTTTTCATATATTATTCAAATCAATCACGAGACGAATAACAGTAGCTGTAACAAGACCAAACATATTCTAAAAACAGGAGCAAATCCGCGAAACTTCACGGTATGAGTTAGACTGATGCTAGTTCTACAGAAGGATTCAATTGAATCGGTACCTAATAAAATCATCTGTGAAAATTCACTGTTAGCTATTGCTAAATCATTGCCTAACGCCAGTTGAAAGTATATAGGCCTATTTCTCTCCTTGAATTGGCACTTTCCATTAAACAAGTCCTCAGCTGTAAGAAATCCTTGTGCACTTCCTGTTTTTTTCACTAGTGGGCGCGAGATGCACGTACGGTCTCACCTGCCATAAGACCACCTTATCGTGAAAATGACAGAACCGTGGTCTATGAAGGTTGCAACCAGTCATCGTCAACAACCTAGTCACCAACGAAACACAAAAAGTAATCTGTGGGCACAGTCCGAGAGGGGCAGACCCACGGCTGCAACACATTGTCACTGAACTAGGCATGCACGTACATGGATCGCAACAGGAAGTCAGTGTTTTAAGATCGAACAGTCTAGAATCACTTTCGCCTTAACAAAAACAGAAGAGTCGTTTCACCCTCTTCAAGTTATTCCTTGCTGCCTGTCGGTGCTCCGGCTGCGCAAAGGCAAGGAACAAGGTTCCGCAGAAGGTGTCAAACATGGCAATAATGGCACCGACGGCCATGAGAGGGTTCAGAACGGCTGAGGTCAGGTAATTGAGGACTATAATGTTCATGAATACACTCTGCGGTAGCCAAGCCACGACAAACGCGGAGAAGTGTACGATGAAGTACACGGTGGTTTTGTTGGCCAAGTGGTTCGGTCGAGGCTGCGGCGCGTTCTCATCGTTGCCTTCCTGCTCCGTCTGCTGCGCACGATCTTGAAGATGCTTCAGCATCAGCATTTCATCCCGTATCTTGCGCCGCTGTTGCCTAGCGATGCGAACGAGAGCAGCTATCAGAAAAGTTACCGCGATCATACTGGGGAAGATTGTCAGATCCGACATGACGATAATGGGGATTTGAAAACCTTCCCCCTGTAGGAAACTGCCCAATGACTCTTGGCTGTTGAGGTCAAAATTCAACATGGCGGAGAGGAGCACGGCAAGCGCGAGGACCAGAGACAGGCACCAGGACGCACCGATCACCGCGGTGCAACGCCTGGGCGTCGCCAGCCGGAGATACTGCAGGGGCCGGGAGATCTTCATGTACCGGTCGGCCGCTACGACCACCGAATTCAAGAAGTAACCGAGAAGTCCAAAATAGGTAGAACTTGTGGCTATTGCGAGTTCGAGCGCGGAGTGTTTCAAGTTTGACATCAGGATCACAGCCAACCATAAAGTCAAAATTCCAAGAACAATCTGAGACACACAAAGACTGGCCATGAAATAGTCGGACACATTATGGAGGATGTGTTCCATAGCGACTGTAGCTATCAACCACACGTAGACGAGACTTGTTGTTACTGCGATGAAAATCACAAAGATGTAGCCGGCCAACAAGGCTGGGACTGGCTCATCATCGCTCACGGATGGCGCAGACGCATTCACGATCACTTCGTCCTCCATAATAGGACTTCCGTCAGAAACTTTCAGTCACCAAAAGCATCAAAATTGACAAATAACCGTCAATGCGTTCAAAAACACACAGAATTCCCACCTACTTCAGCGCAACCTGTCTCCCGTTCTATACTACTTTTTATTGGTATGATTGCAGAACGCAACGACTATTCGCACGTATACGGATCGGATAATACGCTTTGGCTGTTTGTATCTCAAAATTATAAAACTGTCATGATAGGGTTTGCACGCACAACATCTAGTCTTTGGACTATCCCATTGCACAGCAAGGGTTTAGATATGCCATTCGGTGATTAATTATGCAAAACAAGACTGCGTCTTGACCTATAGATTCTGACCAATCAGCGGGCCACTTCTATCGGGTTTTCCGTGACTTGTATTACACAAAATACGACTGCCAAATTGACCAATCAACAGCTTTGTTCACATTCTGATCGAAATGGCGTCACCATGGGCGTCGCGGGGGCACTTGCCCCCCCCCCCCCGGACGAGCCGCAAAAAAAAGGAGAAGAAAAAAAAGGAAACAAAAAAAAAAACAAGGAAAAAGAGGGGCGAAATCATATTATTGCTAATTTAATGGGTTCGGGAGGCAAATATCCCTGCCCACCCTCCAAAAATAATCAATCGGGAAAATGCTGGAAAAAATAGGGATTTGGGGGGGAAAATGTGCTTTGCCCCCTGTAGAAAAAAAATCCTGGCGACGCCCAGGGACGTCATTGCAGTCTCTGATGTCGACACCGATGGGGTGGCGCACGGGGTCGCATAAAATGTGCATTTGCTCACATAAATATTTCAGCCGTTAGTTACGGATGCTCCGTTGGACAACGGGTTATACTGGTGTTTTTTCGTTTTAGAACAAGTTCATACCGTATAGATGGTATTCATGTCTTATCACACCTCAGAAAAATTATGTTCAAATTGGAACACGTCATTGGCCGATTTCGCCGCGCGTCCGGGAAGTAAAAATTATACGCGCCCAGGTGACGTCATCACGGTGAGTATCCAGCTCGCTGCCGTCATTGTATTTTTTTTTCTGGTAGCGC